TTTTTTTCATGCTCTTCGTGTTGCCAGTTTTTTGCAAAAAAGATGGATAAATTCTGAATGAATGGAAATTTTTTCTAGTTTCTTTTCTTTTGCAAATTCAGAGTAAATGATCTCCGACTTGTATTTATTATCTAATTGATAAAAATTGTGAAATAAATGCACCGCCTGGGTGCAAAGAACAAAGCCCTACTTCTTTCTATTACCTACCGTAATCTTCTATTCTCCCTTTTTTACTGAATCTATCTCCCCAATTATTAACAATGTCCATGACCTCAGCAACCGATTTTTTCCCATCTTCTTCTCCTCTTTTTTTTGTCTCAATAGGAAAACAACGCATACACACAACACAGGCTGGACACGACGGTTTCAATTTTCCCTTTCCAACCCTCCTAGGTTTTTTTCTTTACAAGGAGTGACCTTTATTACACTGGAAAATTGAGACTGAAAGGGAAAACTGGAAAAATGGAAAACCGCCATTGCAAGAAAGGGTTAGAGAAAGAGAAAGAGAAAAAAACACTAAAATTCAAATTCCGATCAAAAAGGTCTCCTTAGAACCAAAAAAAAATCATAAAAAATTCAAAAATCCCATTAGACAATAAGAACCTGATGTCTTCTACCATCATAATACACACCGTTTATCAGCTGGCCTCGCTTTCGATTTTCTTGAGAATTGAGAGACCTCCGTTTGCCGTTTTCTCCAAAATAGGCACCCCACGCTGTGATGATACGGTAGGCAATTCATTGAAATGAAGAAGAAAGAGAAGGAAAAGAGATAGAAGTTTTGGAGAAGCGAGAAAAAGATTTATAGACTATTGTACCCGATGGGTAGTAAAACCCCAAAGGCTCCAAACAACATTTCAGGGGGGTTTTATTTAGTGACATTTGTTTCCATTCGCCTCCTCCTGTCCCATCTCCTCTTTGCGTGCCGCGATAATTTATTCATCCGGTAGAAGAGGAAAGACTGGTCCTTGACTTTATGACTCTTTCCTTGGGCGATTTTAGTGCCCCCCGTCAAATCGAAAACATCTTCTTTTTCATCTCCTCTTTTGGTTTTGAAACAGCTGCCACGTCATCTGTTCTGAATGGGGAGAGTAGTTGTCTACTAAATCGTAATAAAAGGTCTGGCCACCATCACCGCTAGACACTAAAAATCTAGTTGGCCTAGTTGTTTTTAGTATGTGGGCCCTTGACAGACAAAGTTCTCTCCATTATTGCTTTGCTTTTTTGATCTTTTGAATAGGAGGGCGACAAAAGTAAACGGGGCCCTCCGAGCTAGACAACTCCAGACAACACACCAACAGACTCATCTGCACTTTTGCATTTACTCGGAAAATTGCGGGCTCCAGTCTAGCGCCTCACAGACTTTAGCCTAGTCGGATTTCACAATGAGTGGCACTTTTACGAAAAGAGAAGATAATGATGATGATGATGATGATGATGAGTTGCGGATGATCACAACTCAGAACACAGACCATCGCACAGGAGCTTGTGCTTACTAGTAAAAAACTAGACGATGAGCGGCAGACGATTTGAATTATTTAGAGCACTAGGGAAAAGCTCTTTGAAATTCAAAATAGGAATCGTGGAATGGACCTTTTGTGTTTATCTGTTTTATATATTCCGGTCGGAGAGAGAGATGGAAATTTTGGATCGGAAAGAGACAGAAGATAAGAAATGGACTACCTTCCGTTTCCTTTGTTTGGGTCTACGCATATTTTTCCGAATGAATCACCTTTTTCTTTTATTTTTCAAAAAATTAAAATTAGTTTGTCCTTTAGACTAATAAGAAAGTTAATGAAAAAATAAGTCATCTGTAGGCTCTCCTATCCCTTCCTTCTTTTTAGTTGCTTTTTTTTCCTTTTTCTTCTTCTTTTTGTTCGTGTCATAATTGAAATGAAATCTCGTTTCCTCGTCTCATTTTAAGTTATAGTGGTTGGCAATGCCGTGGTCACCCCATCTATTCATTTTTTATCGTTATGGGTTATCAATCAAAAAAAATGTCGACACATGGGTTAGTCCTTTTCAACCCTTCCAATCGAAATGAAACTTCTCTTTCACACTCTCCAGGAGGTGCAAAGGTTGAACTTTCTAACTTACTCGGGGTGTAGACAGTACATTTCGGTGCTGCACTGGCCGATTTTAATCCAACGCCTCTCACAGAAAACTTGAGCAAACATATAAACATGGGTGGAAGAACAGAAAAGAGCCAACAATTTTTTCTCGTCCCTCCCGAGAATTGAATGTGTCTGGTGGTGGTGGGACAGAAAAAATTGTGATGGCGGCGGTAGCTAGACGATGAAAAAGTCCGCTTTTGAAGTCTGAAGGACCAACTTAAGATTTATCGCGCTTGTTCACGTTAATTAAAGCGGCTTGGGTCACAAAGGCCTCCGCCGTTATTGCTGTTGGAAGGGGGACCCGCGGGGCGCGCTTCAATCAATGTCAACTTGCTCTTTTTCTCCTCTTTTCTGATTCCAGTGGCCGAGACTCTCGGCCCGGGAGAGTACTAGGGACATTAGACTATTTGAACAGATTTTGTTTGAAATGGATGGCTGGGGATTTTTAGGTTTAAAACATTAATTTGATCTGTCTGACCTGTTTTTAGTTTCAATCGTGTTTCTGCTTACATAGCGGGCGCCCGAGACCACTATTTTCACACTGATAATAAAGTGAAAAGTAGTACGGTACATGTGTGTGAACGTTACGTTGTTGTGGGTAAGCGTTTGAATTTGCAAATGGAGAGAGAACTGTTGTTTTTTATTGATAACAATTCAATTTATGTACTCTTTTTGAAATTCTATCTCTTTCTCTTCTCTTCCAAAAACTGCCAGGGTGTCCATGAGCACAAAAAAAGCCATAACATTTTACTGCCTAGGCGCTTTCTTTTGAAAAAGTTCTAGCGAAGAAAACTCGTACCAGGTGTGGTTTGCAGCTTTTGCACGGGTGAAAAGGAAGCGTTCCAGCTGTCTAGAGGTGAAACAAAACACCATTCTCTTAAGCCCCGCGCTGTTTTATTGTTGTGTTTACGTGTCGACCTCCCGAATACATATACACTTCGGAGTGATGGAAAAATGAAAATGCGCCTTCTTCTTCTCCTTCTTATTTTTCCCTCTGCCTCCTGGATATCGTACCTCGCATAAATTAAATTTGGAATCGAAAAAAACCGTGACTTCTCTGTTTTTGTTGTTTGCCAAAGTTTCTAATAGGACTGAAATGGGACTGAAATGAGGCTGACCGTCTATTTTAATTTATCTATTTTCCATTTTCTACTCTTTTGGTATCTCTAATAGACAAAATTTTTTTGTGCACCATTTGCAAGAATCGCAACAATTGAAAGAAAGAGAAAAGCGTGAATTGATAAGATAGATGATCCAAACGGTTGGAAGAAGAGGAAAAAGTGCACTTATCAAGTCTTCTCTGCGAATCGGAGCTCAGAATGATAGTGATGATAAAAAGCGAGAAAGCAGTACGAGAGAAGTGCGAAGAGGAGCCAATTGCTTCGGTTCATCTGGTTCAGAGCGTTGTACACAATGCACTTTCTGTAGAGAATGCCTGCTTCTTCGATATTCACTTTGTAATTGATTGCTACTCAATTCCACGTTGGTTCCGTGCCGTCTTGGAGAAATAGCCTATCAGTTCTGGGAACCGAGTCACTTGACTCACCTCTTTGATTGACACCTTTTGAGACAGTGAAGAAACGAAACTCGCCGCACAACAAAAAACCGTCTCGCAACATATACACGTACACAACAAAACTTTGACTGAAATAGATAGGGAACGTAGATTATCAGCAGTTTTCATCTTGTTGTGCGCTCCTTTTTCTTTTGAAACGGAGGGTTACTGTCAACTATTATTTCCCCCGATACGCTTTTCTGCCTATTTTTTTTCTTCCTACCATCAGATTACAGACCGATGACTTGGGTTTCAAAGTTGATGATGTTGAAAAATCATCAACTTTCATATCCTTCCAACATCCGGACACCGAATATGATGATGGAATATGATGATGTGTTTTGTCGTGGTATAAAAATCAGATAACCCGCCCTGCGTTTTGTATATGGCAGATTGTCATCTTCTGGGGCCATTGGGAATTATGATGTCATTGAATTTGTATACCAGATGGTGTCAACAGGTGTGGAAACCAATACCCTTGACATATTCAAAAAAAAGGTCGACTCTTTTTTTGCTTTTATCTTTGGTATGAAAAGTCCAAGACACAAATTTGGAAATGTATCGCTCGGAGAGGGGTAGACACCAAAAACCGCGACTCTCGACTCCACATTTCCTGCTCTTGAGAGCCTCATTCGGAGCTTCCTCCCCTCCATCTTAAGATTACATCATTATTCTTCTCTTTTGAACGCCTACAGTAGTCCACCATCAACACCTTCCCATTCCCCATTATTCATAAGACGGTCATTCTGATGCAATCTTCTTCTGAGCCTAGCCCATACCCCCCCCCCCCTGTGTGAACATAGAAACTAGAGAATGAGAGATATAGAGAAGGTAACAGTTTTGTTGGGTACGCAAAAGAGTGAGATACACTGGGAGAAAGGTTGTGAGATTGTCTATGCGTCTCTTGCCACCCAAGGCCTAAATTCTGCTCTCGCCGTCGAGCGTCTCGCCTGCAGCGCCCAGCCTCCTTCTCCTGCCCCAGGCCCAACCCCTTTTCGCTTATTTATTGAGATCCCGCCCCTCGAAGAGAATCGCTCCCCCTTCACTCGATTTATCGGTGCCTGTGTAGAAGTGGGCAACCGAGGAGAAGAATCGGTTGGTTTTTTAACCGGTCGACCTTATTCTTTGGCTCGCCTTTTCCGTCAGTGTTTGGCAATTAAGGCTTGTGACCTTTATGATTTAGGATTAGCCCAATAAAAAAGGAATGATGCTTTCATATATTCTATAGCATTTTGTCATCTGTTTGATTTATTCTCTGGATTCTTCTACCGTATCCAAATCAAACTGCACTTTCCTAATGAATATTTTTCCAGGTGATTCAATTCAACAAAATGAGTTCAGTTCAGAATACCAGAGAACGGGTGCCACGGGAATCAAAGGAATCGCGGGAACGCCGTGAACATAGGGAGCGTCGGGAGCATCGGGAGCATCGCGAACACAGATCTGGATCCGCCAGAAAAGAGAGGAAGAGCAAGGATCAGGAGAAACGTTCATCATCTGTCGTTCTTCGCAAACGTGGTGTCGTATCAACGCAGAAGCTTGTCGAGGTGCAAGAACGACCAGGACAAGAGATTCTTATGGAAGGAATCGACGGCTACAATCACAGCTGGCAGATCGTCCAACGATCTGTCGATGTTCTCATGACAGAGTCGCTGATTCCAGTGCCAAAAGCCACCATCAAGAATCGAGAGCCAAGACACTTGCCAAAGCGTCGCATCGGCGTCAACCTTCGTCGCGATGTGCTTCTCAACAATTTGATCGTCAGGACCCAAAAGTTCCAGTTGGAGTGAGTTTGGGCTCTTTCTCTTCCAGACGCATATAGCATCCATATTTTGAAAGGAGACCATTTCACTTTTCGCCACTCCCAGACATATTAGTGGCTAAGAAGAGAGCAAAATGTATTTGTTTTGTAATAGTGTCCTTTTCTCATAATAGAGAAATGGAAAGGAAATGATTTCTCAGTAAAGAGCCAAAACAAAAATCCACCAAAGAACAACAATTACGTCTCCAACGCCCTTTTCTAAAGATATGTAATTATGCGCGTGGTTGATGATTTGTCACACTACCTAGATAGTAATTATCTTAAAAATTCCAGGTATGAGAAGGAGAATGAAGGCAAATTCCTTCGTCAAGTGATCATCGACTACCCAACCGAGAATCAAAAGCCACGCAAGGAGCGTCACTACGACTTCTGGCCATTCTTCGAGCAGCTCCCAAATGTGGTCGAGAAGAAGGTTGTTGCTCCAATCAAGTCCAAAATCGTCGAGGAGGAACCTATCGCCACTCTTGAGTTCGCCTCCAACAACGATATCGACATGGGAGAGGAGTGCAAGGAGAACATGATCTTTCTGCCAGCTCCACTCAGCGACGACATCACCAAGGAGATTGCCGCGTTGTTCCCAGCTGAGAAACCAGTCGGCCCATCGCTTCACAAAAACTTCTACAACCGCTACATGCGCAAGGGACCATTCTCCAAGATGTTCTAGAGCTTCTCCTGTCCTTTCATCAAAAATTCCCAAAAATTCACCCTGGCTTACTTCAATCTCAATCGTCACGACCACTTCAATAATAGTGTAGACCACTTTTCACTTCATTTTCCGTAGTTTCAAGTAGCAATTTCATATTTAACTGCACCCTCTCTATCTCTCTGCACCCCTTATTTCTTAAAATCCCACTAGAATTTCCCCCCAACCACCCAAGCTGTATTATACAAGCTTAGATGTTCATACTGTAAGCTTTATCACACAATTTCGCGTCTACCTTCACTCTGCCTCTTCCCGCTCTCTTATCTCTACAAAAAACCACGTTTCGAACTCCCGAATCTAACCAAACCAACTCAGTTCCCACTAACACTCAAACCTGTATACTTTCGAAATGTTTGTAGATAATTTTGAAACTATCCAATCACCCAAAAAAGTAACAAAAACGTCTCACAAAAAAAGTAAAAAGGTTCTCCAATCCCTCCAAAAACAATTCCCATTCCATTCTCTATCCCATTGCTGGCCAAGCTGTAATATTCATATTTTGGTTATCTAGAATTCCAATTTCATTGTAACCACCCCCACCAAAATAGTTCAAATAGGAGTCCCTCCTTCCACAAAAAAAACCCCTACTGGCCTTCGCTAAAAGTCATAAGTTTCACCTTGTACCGTACAAATCGATATCATTTTTTCTCCGACTTTTGGTCCATTTTCCTACTACCACAGTACCCGCAATATTGCTTGTAACGTTCCCAACCCATCCTTGTCCAGAAGGACACCCCGAATATTCTTGTCTGACTCCCAGTTTATTTTTTCCTCGGTTACAATTTTTTTTTCAAAACCAACGTGCTACCATTTCTTGTTTCGGATTTTCGATCTGTTGCCTTTCCTCGGAGGGGTTGATGTCGTCTAAAAATCTGCCCATAGCAAATCAACTTTTTTCCCCTTCAACTTCCCACTTCTTCAACTTCCCCTTCTCCCTGAAATTTTCCATTTATTATTAGTAAAATTCTTGTTGATTGATCGCTTTGTCGATCTCTTTTCCATTTACTCGTTTTGATAGTTTTCTTTTTTCACCACCCATTTTCTCTCGATAAGCATTATTTTTTTCTCGTCTTAATGATATTTTTCTTCTCCATCCCATCCCCCACACACACTTCTTTGGTCTCTGCTTTTTTTTTCTCCTGTCAAGCTTTTTCTCTTTTTTTTCATGTTTTGTACATTCACATAATTAATGAAAAAAATGGTTCTAAAAATGTTTACTGGGCAATTTTCAAAAGATAGAAATGAAAGAAATGGAAAATGGAGAAGCGAATGAGATGGAATATGAGATTCCATAGTAGAGATTAGGCGTAATAATATTAGTTTTAATGAGGCTTCAAGGGATTCTAGGCTTCAAGGATCTTATTAAGTTTGGAAGGGCTTCATTACATAGTATCACATTTATTCAAATGATTCAAAGTTCCTATTTGAAGAATCTGAGATTCATTAATAATTTTGTTATTGCGCAGACAGCTAAAATACCAGAATTTCGTTTTTTCAACTGCTTAAAACAAAATGTGGACTTCCTATTTTCTGGGCTGGCTTATTCTTTTCCTCTCTCCAAGGGGACAGTCTGTCTAGTCCGTAAGACGGCTCGAGAAACTTTTTTTCGCCTCAAAAGTGTGCCAAACATTTCTACAAACACCCAGGCTCCTCAATAAACACAAAAGTCGGTATACTTTGGAGGGTAGTGTGTGGTAAGATGCATTTCGAGGGTGCCTCTCAAAATAAACAGAAATTGAAACTTTTTTGGTTTCTTCCGGGCAGTTTTCTATTCACCAATGTTCAAATGGTACGGTGTTTCTCGTGTGGTTTCTTCCTCGGCACTTCCATAATAAATTGAATTCCATTTATTCCATTTAACTAGACTGCATTACAAGTGACAGCATTGTTGCGGCGAGTCGATTGTCTAACGATTGATGATACCTGAGGAGAAATTAAGACGTGGTGCAGATGGGAGTGCTTTGATAAATGAGAATCGGCGCAAATTCAAAGAGCACGAGGAGGACACAATGGAGAAAGTAATGGATCACATGGGTTGGCGGACAGAAAGAAAAAATTAGGAGATGAAAAAACAGTTTTGTAGTTGAAGGAGGTTGAATATCCTCAAATGAGTTTGGAGTTCGAAATTGGGGAATGTTCCAAAAAACAACATTGTTACGGCTTTATTAATAAGATACCGTATTTCTTTCAATATAAGCTATGCAAACCATTAACTTGAGCTTAATTATCTGGATTCCAGTAAGAGATATGAGAAATTTGTCAACTGATAAAAAATTGGTGATAATATGATGAATAATTTATCAGTTAACAATTTTTCATATCTTTCACATGAATCGAGATAAATGGGCTCAAAGTTGATTACTTGAGTGGGCTTCTGTTCAAGGAAACACTGGTAATATTTCTCACAAAAATCTGAAAGTTCCGAGTTTTTACACAGGGTAAAGTTTTTCTACAATGCATTAAAACAAGAGTTTTGGCAATAATTGTTTTCAGCTTCATCTCATAGAATTCCCACAACCATTTATAATTATTCTTTTATTTTTCTAGGAAAAATGAATTCTCATTTCCCGCAATTTCCGTTCTCTGCAAAAAAACTCCAACGTCTTTTTTCTAGTCTTCAGTCTCATTTCTGATTCTCGCTATATTCTTGTTTTCCATTTGGGGACTTGATAATGTTCTGAGAAATTCATACAAATCATTTGTATCCGAAAGAAATAATTGGAGCAGAAACTATAAAATATTTTAGTTTGTTGTTGTTGTTGTGTCCTGTGCTCGAGTTTTTATTATCGTCATAATCTTCTCGCCAGCTTCTTCTTTCTCTCATTTTTCTTGCCATTTTGTAATTGGAAACGTGATGCTAAGAGCTTTGATACAATCGTTAATGTATCTGGAGAAAGGGATCAGAAAAACAATGACATAAGGCATATACACTTTCCAGATGGTTTTGATAAAAACAGAAAAAGAGAAGATTCTTGAAGACGAAAACAGAATGGGGTGATTCTCAGGGATTCTCAGGATGCAATGGAAAAGGGATAAACGAAAACCTTGTGGAAACTACCGGAAAACTTGTAGTAGAAGGGCTCACACCCTGTCAAGTTTGAGATCAATTATCTCGATTCCTCTATATGATATCAAAATTTTGTTAACTGATAACATTTTTGTAATATTATGATGAACAGTTTATGAGTGAACAACTTTTTAAATCTTATACAGGAACCAAAATAAATTGGATCAAAATTTAAAGTTAGGGGCTTGTCTATTACAGGTTTCATGCTATTCTTTATAATAGAAGGTGAGATTTTTGAACTTGATCTTCAATCCTCAGTTTTTAATCCTAAAACTCATCATTTTTTGGTCGTTCAAGAAAAAACTCCAATTAGACAGTTCCACAAGACTTTTAAGACTTGAAATTTGCCATTTCCGCCCATCCTAAAAGTAATGTGACTCAATTCCATTTTAAACGTACTGTACTCAATTCCCCTAATGTCATCAGTCGTTTTTTTCCAGAACCGGTTTGAGACAACCTCTCATTACTTACGTAGTCTTTTTTTCAGTTTACGACCTTTTCCGTCATCTGAAACGATTTGGAACACGACGTTTTGAAAAGAAGTTACTTTTGGAAAAAAAACCTGGGGAGAAATGAGTAAATACTTTCTTTTCAGGATGATATTTGCGGAAGTGTTCTCATTTGCTTTTTCTCAAATGTCATGCAGAAAAAATGGCGCCTATTGACGTTCATAAGTTTTTTTTTCATCGTGCGTTTGTGCCTATTTGCGAACGACCGTCGCAAGAAGAGAGAACTCCACCTCCCACTGTCTTCTGCCACATGTTTTGTGCCATTTTCTTTTTTCTTTGACCTTCGCATATTGTTCACAAACATATAGTTAGTCGCGCGAGGACACGTACTCAAGTAATGTCATGTGCAAGTGTTGGGAAAAAAGAGATCGGAAACTGAATGCAAAAGTTTTCAAGGTAACACACAAAGGTTCTCAGAGTGGGAGAAAGTTGAAAAAATGGGTAAACGGATTAAAGGGGATAACAGAAATGGTGGGAATCGTTTTTTCTAATCCAACGGATATCATAAATTGAAAGCAAATCTTGAAACTCTAGGGAGCGTTGGTCAGTTAGTATATTGTTTCAAAAAGAAAAGTAGCAAAAATGAAGAAACAAGTTTTCAGCTCATACGGGGAAATCATCAAAAGGGGAGCAAAACGAAATATATGGGAGAAATTCAAATAGTAGCTCGAATAAATCGCAAAACGGGAAAAATGAAGTTTCGCAAAAATCTGTTCTTATAGGCCCAGAAAGTTAAGCTTGTAGACCTAACTGCTGAAAGTGTCGCGCCCGCCCTTGCCAGCTGAGCTACGTTGGTGTAAGCTGAATTCGATGGGGTATATAAAAGTGGAAATGATTGAACACCAAATCAATGAAGGACGTGCTGTAATAATCTAGGAAAGATATGAACACATATTTTTGACACCAAACTTATAGTGTCAGTTTCATTAAGGTAGAAAAGAAAACACGTATTTCTGTAAAGATTTTGAAAGTTACCGAAATATCTCTAATAGAAATCTCTCTGATATACTCACCCAACTTCGACTTCAGCTATCTCGGTTACTGTAAAAATATCAAAAATTATCAACTGATGAATTATTCATCATAATATCACCAGTATTTTATTGGTTGATAAATCTTCGATAACTTCCAAAAAAATATACGAGCTCAATGTGAACGGTTTGCGTGGGCTTTTATGAGTGGAAATACGGTAGGTGAGTTAAACATGTAAGCCAAGAGGTACAGCATAGAAACGATGAGCATCATTTCATTTGTCCCATCAGTGTTCTTTTTTCAGATTCTATTCTGATGTTCAAATAGTCATCTAACCAAAAGTTTTGTCGCTCCGTTACGACCATTTGCAGTTTCTGAAACATTTATTCGAAAACCTGGTATCATTAACTGTCATTATTATTTTGAGCGGATAATTTTTCAAAAAACTCAAACAACTTTATGGAATAGATAACGTAACATTTTCTACAAAAATCGTTTCTTTGGTTACACTCATCATAAGACTACTGCCAACCTCCATCCTGTCTGCATTTCCGTTTTTTTTCACATTTCTTTACAGTCTCCATCCATCAGATCACGTTACCAAGTTTTCATCAGTTTTATTCTTACGAAACCAGAAATGAACTTACCGAAGCGCATCCCATTTTCCTTGCCGCTCATCTCATCCTTCTTCTTATCTTTCCTATGAATCGAATTCTTTTTTTTCTTGAAATGATGTGTCACCATTGCTTGAATTTAAATCTAGTTCTCATGAGAATCGAATCCTCTCTCTCCCGCCATAAGTATGTATATATGTATTTATGTTTCAACCGGTTTTTTGTTCAAGTCTTCCGATTTATAGTCAGATAACAGATTTATGTAAGGCTTGATTTCTTTATGGCGAAATGTGGAATTCGTCGGAATTTCAGAAAACTAATTTTGCACTTTAATGTGCTCTGATTAAGTTATCAATGTATTAACAATTGATTTATAGCTCAAGAGTGTTTTTTTTTCGAAAACCGTACAATAAATACTAGAAGCTGCAAATGCTTTTGCTCTTCCATCAAAAAAGGAGGCTTCAGAAAATTCGAAAAATAGGAAGACCACTATTTCGACTCGAATTTTGCCCCATCATCAATTTTATGTATAGTAAATTAGGAGCGGTTGTGAAAATGTGGAAATTGGCGCAACCAACTATAAGACGGGTTTTTATTGTTGTCAAAACGTTGTGTGTGGGGAGGAGAAGGGCCCCTGGTGCGGGTGTGCGTACACGACAAGCCGGTTATTGAGAAAATGCGAACGAATCGAGGACCGGTTTTCGGAATAGTTGCGTCTTTTCGCTCTCCCCGTCCGCATGAATCTCTTCAACAGTCTCTCTACCTCTCTCTCTCTCCCTGTCGCTGCGAACCGTGTTGCTGTTTGCCGCCTCTGGGTCTCATTTGCCTGTAATTCAGTTTTCTCCCAAATTTTTTTCTCACCATCACTTTCACCATCAGTTCTATTTTTACCTCAGGTGTTCGAAATTGAGTATTTCTTTTGGGAACTTTTAGATTTTTCAGTTTTTTTCTGACTATGTTCTAATCATTCATATTAATTTCGGTCTGGAGCCTCAGATCCATACATTTTTTTCTTTTTCAGATGTTAAAACAAGTAAAAGCTGAGATCGTAGATTTAGAATATGAGGAAGCAGAAAAATGGAAAGAGCAAGAAGAAGAAGATGATGCTCTGCTGGTGGCGCGAAAAATCAAGCAAGAATTAGAAGCGGAATCCCCATCTCCGTCTTCAGTATCTCAAACAACAGTAAGGGAAAGGTGAGATTTTCACATTTATAAATTTTTAATTTTTCGTTCTATGAACTTCAAGAGGTATAATAGAAAAATAAAATGATCTGGCTTCCGAACTTTCCACACAAGCCTATGATCATAAGTACTACTACTGTACCCTCAATTTTTCCCCGTTCCAAATTATTATACAGTTGTTCTGAATACAAGAGAAAAAATTCCCCGTCAAAACCGGTGGGTGATGGCTCGTCGCGAGCCACCACCACTTGCATGAATACCGGTCTCGCGTCTATTTGCGGCACCCGGCGTCGATCAATCGAAACTTTCGTCGTTTTTCAAATTTTGGAAGACCGGTTCTTGCAGTTAGGTAGCTGATTTTGTTCCTAGTTGCTTTGCATGATATGAGCAAAAGCGGATGTGGGAAAAGGAGATTTTTGATGTACATATTTTTACATCTATTTCTATTTTTGAGAAGAGAGTACTGCTCATTAGTAGCTTCCTCTCCCTTCTCCTATTTCGTGTCCTCAAAGTTCTCAAAAACTTTCAAAACGCCTAATTAGATGAAACTTGCAAGAAATCTACTCGGATTCTTTTACTCTCCAAATAGGATGAATCTGCTCCGAGGGATTGACATTAGGCTAATGAAACAAAATGAAAAAAAAAACGCGGAAGTATTCAGTTTAGGCTTTCTGCTCTTTTTTCCTGTTTCATTTTCATTAATCCTGACAAGTGTGATTGGCGTGCCAGAAATAAAAATCAAGTGCACATTCGCAACAGAGCGCAACAATTCTCTAGTCAGAGCTTTCTTGCAGACGAGTGTAAAAACGTTGTAAACATACAAACACATATTGGAGCATTGTCAGTGCAAATGATGCTATTTTGACGGATGCTAATCGGTGAAATGAGATCAAAGAATGTTTCTGTAATCAGATGTTGGGGATAGGATGCACAAATGAAAAGAATAGCAAAAAATTATCAATCATAAAACTTTCTCGTTCATTATGTTTTCAGGCATCAAACCCACCAGCCCATAGAGATCGACCGACCGTCTGCTCCTATTGTGTTCGACCACTTCATTTGTATGCGCATTGGGCTCAATTCTCGAAATAATGTTCAAAGATTAATGGCACTTTTGGTGAGTGCGCCATACAAATCAATAGTGAGCAGTGAATTATTTCAGGCAGCTCACGAATTTGTTGATCTCACGGTTTTGCCAAGTCCGTCATTGATGCCTCCACCGCCACCAATACCAGCAATGATACCTTTAGGTTGGGATTATAAAGAAAATTTAAGATGGACAGAAATGCGAACATGAGGGAGCTGATGAAAAACAACTTTTTTCAAAATCAGATGATTTTCAAATTTCACGTATTATAAAACCTTTAGTAGAAGAACCTCACGCTGTTACGCTTGAGCTCAATTATCTCAATTCCTTAGCAAGATATCAAATCTGCCCACTGACAAAACGTTCTTAATACCAGCCTGTTTGCCGCGCCTCCGGCGCTTCAAACAGCCGGCTAGTGCGCCGTATCAGTTAGACATTTTTTATCCTGGACACAAGCCGAGACATATTGGCTCAAAGTTAGAAGTTAGTGGCCCTTGATCAGGTTTTACAGTATGAAACGAAATTCAAATTCAAAGTTGCAAACTCAGAATCTCAACATAGTGTTTCAGAAATTGGGAAACTTTAACATTTTTCTCTATTTTCAGCCATCCCTCGACACCAAACCCTCCCACCAACTCGATTATTAGCAGCTTGCCAGCAAGAGCCATCCACATCCAGTGAGAATCCACTAGACATTCTGAACATTCAAACTCGCCGACTGTTTCCCCAATTCCCACACATCAAAGTCAAAAGAAATCTGGCCAAAAAACTAGTGCCGAAACCGTTTATCCGACCCACGGTGAGCTTAATCACACTAATTGTGTTCAAAAACTCGTTTTTAGCCCTCAGCTGATTGTGGCATAATACCTATCAACATGCGGTGCAGGAAATGTGATGAGATTCTGCCCAAAGGGTCACAGTGAGTTTTAACGTTTAACTGGTTTATTGATATTTCAAGTTTTTAGTGGATCGAGTGCTTTGAATCATGTTCAAAAGAATCATCTGAAAATGGCAGCGTTTCAATGTAGAATATGCAAACATTATAGAACAACTCAAGAGCGGGTAATTCTATTTTAAGATATTTTTTACACGAATCGCGAATTTTCAGATACAATCTCATGTAACTACTGTACATAAGGCAAAATCGACAAAATTCGACTCTTCGTTAGCCGGTCCGTTGTCGGCAGACGATATGAAAAAGATGGAAGAAATGATAACGTATTGTTTCCCGAAACTCAAAATGGTAAGTATTAATGTAAGATTTAAAAGTCTAATTTATGATTTTCAGGAACTACAAGTCACCGATCGCCTAATTGCAAAAACAATGGAAGTGGATTTCGCTGTCAGCAAATAATGAGAATCTCATCAATTAAATTATTTCACAACACTTTAACTTTACTGAATCAGATTTCCCCTCCGCATTCTCTTAAAGTACAAACATCTAGTCTTACCGTCTCCACATTCTTTCCATAAAAATTAATCAGATTTTTCGTCTAATACTTTTATCTTTCAATTTCAGACTAGACAACAGGTATTTTGAATGAAAAAGAATTACAGGAAAGTCATAGGTACATGTGACATGAAATAGTTCCAATCAGAAAAATGTACAATGAACGAATTTATGGGCATTGACAGATTTTTTTCGTGAAACTAGAGTCTTCTTTTTTGGTGGTATTTAATTGCTCGCCGCTAAAATTGGAATGCTGAAACTTTCTCGGTTTCTTTCTCAGTTTCATACTGAATTTGAAATTTAAAAAAATATTTTATAAATTCCCAATTAGTGACATGAAACATTTGTATTAATTTCAGCTTACTGTTGATTTTCCTAACAAAAAGAATCCGTGAAACCTGTAATGGAAGGTCCCCACTGTTCAGCTTGAGCTCAATTATCTGAATTCCTTTGCAAGATATCAAAAACGTACCAACTGACAAAAAAACTTTCTATATCATTAAGAAAAATTGATAACTGATATATTCATTTAACAGGTATCCATGAAAATTGGCTCAAAGCTGAAAATTGCAGAGCCATTTCCATTGTACAGTGAATCTGAAAACTGCAAAACCGATATTCTAAGTAGCACATGTCAAGAAAATTTGCATACGAACCTAGTTTCCATCCGGTTCAAGTATAAGTATCAGACAAGTACCAGCTGAACCCAAATCTTCATAACAAACATCAATTTGCATTTTGTTGTTCAGTTTTGACAGAACATAACGAGCTGAACCTGTAGTCTGAGCTGAACACCACCAATATAAAAACCTCTCTTCAGAACATTCTTGTCATAACTTCTTATAATTCAACCTCTGGTCTATCTCATTCAGAGTATAATGTCGTTTTGCCAATGGGTCAATATCATCAAACTGATAAGATAGTGAGAGTGGTGCTGGACTCAACATACACCGGTTCTGGTCTTTCAAACTTCGCCAACGCTAATGATACAAAAATTACAAGTGGTTGATGCTCCGGCTCATGGATTAAACACGAACAATGTTGACTGTCCAACTTCTCTTAGTCGTCACAACAAAAAACACACATTTCTCTTGTCTCTCATATCAATCAAAAATCTGAATCCAGCAACTCAGATCCCTGTTTCCGCTCGTTCGTTTTTTTATTCTCTTGGTATTATATTTTTGTTCTTTCTTCCAAATCTTCTAACTCGTTCACCTTGTTTAACCTTCCCCAAGTCGCCAATTGCCCAATTCAACTGTTCTTATTCTTTCCTTATTCATAGTCTTATCTTCTTGAAATATCTTTTTAGGATAGTGTGACGACCCCCGACAAAAGACAACATCAGATGAATTATGCGCACCAAATGCCAAAATTCCTCTTTTCATTCTTCTCATTCGCCTCTCCGAACATCAGTCCATTTTTCTTATTAACCCGATTTCGGTTAGTATTCGGCCGCTCCTTCTTAACCGTCTGGCACCCAGAATGCACATAAAATTGCAAAACCGCCTGCTCTTATCGCACGGTTCCCCTATCTATTCCACATTGTTCCAACATTGCTTCTTGTGTTTCAGCCTTGTTCTTAAATTGATAACTAAATATTACCAGATAACTATTTTTCAGTACCAAACCATGCCTCTACTTGATATTCCAACTCTTAATGTGATACAACTGGGGTTGGGTTTCTTCTCAACATTCTTTGCCTTCAATTCTCAGGGGTTCATTGAGGAAGCAGTAATTGACAGTGCTGCAGATAGTGGAAATCTCAACAAACATGCTGGATACTACAGTTTATCTATTATTTATGCAGTTTTCACAGTTGCAAACTTTGTTGCTGCGCCGATAGTCGACATACTGACTCCAAAATGGGCAATGGTTGTTGGATCATTGTGCTATGCAATTTTCCAGGTAAGGAAATCTATCTGTAAACGATTTCAACCTTTATTTCCATTTTGGACATGATTTGGACGTAAACATTTAACAAAAAATCAAGTATTTCGCAGTCGATACCACAAAAAGCTGCATATCGTAATCCTGATCACATCTTAAATATTTTTCGATTTCGATCTTCTCTGAAATTCAAAATTACAGGCTGGCTTCTTGTTCCTGAATGAATGGTATTTGTATGCCAGTAGTGCACTTCTCGGCCTTGGAGCTTCCAGTAAGTACATTTTATTTGCTGTGTTAATTTTCACAATTACCATTTTCAGTCATTTGGACTGGTCAAGGATCTTATCTCTCTCAGAATTGTACAAAGGAAACCACCAGCCGTAACAGTTCAATGCTCTGGGCAATGTCTGAAAGCTCTCTTCTCGGTGGAGGTGTATTTCTGTTTATCGTGTTTAGTGTGCAAGGTGCTAGCGATCAGATTCCAACTTCTACAGTAAGATTTGGACAATCGTTTCTACTCCACAAGTAACCTTTTTTTTCAGATCAACATCCTTTACTCAGTATTTACTGTACTTTCGGTCATCTCCACATTCATTTTCGCCTTTCTTCGCGCACCTTTCTATCCGGAAACCGTCGATCGGAAGAACTATGGGAAGCTCGTGGGATCGACATTCAAGTTGATGTTCACCAAGAAAATGATCCTTCTTGCCTTCGTTTTTGCCTACACCGGAATTGAGCAATCTTTTTGGACAGGTGAGAGTAGGGGAAAAAGGGGGGGGGGGAAGCTGTTTTTAAGGGTAATGTGAAGTGGCACTTTTTGAGAACGATTTTTAGTCTGAAGAGAGAAATTTTGATGTTGAATTGAACTGACAGTTAGTTTTTGTATGTGATACGTTTAAGACATAATCTTGATAAAGAATTCTAAATTCATTCGTTCTCATTTTTTTAAGATGTTTTGTATAGGGAACAGAAATTTGGAATTCAGGAGAAGCAACCTAATTTTCATAACGAGCTCATGAGCTTAAACCTTCAAACCTTCAGAAACAACAAAACTGGTTTTAGGAATCTACCCAACATGCATCTCATTCACCAAACAACTCGGAAGCAATACAAATGCTCTTCTTGCTCTTAACGCGATTTGTACTGGTTTCGGACAAATTGCCGCTGGTGTTTTGTCAGGATTATTGGGAGACAAAGTGCGCAAGATAGGAAGGGACACTCTTATCCTTATCGGTACTACTGTCCATCTGATAGTTTTTGCTCTATGCTTCATCAACTTTCCACAAGACTCATCGCTAAAGAAAACTGACGAAATGGGAGGACTCATACAACCAAACTTGGCGATTGCTTTGATTGCTGGAGGTCTTTTGGGATTCGGTGATGCTATTTGGAACACTCAAATCTACTCGTTCCTCTGTGATACCTTCCCTAAACAGAGTGCCCAAGCGTTTTCGCTTTTTAAATTGTATCAGGTTTGTTTGCTCCGTGTATTTCTGGATGTTTTTCTTTTTCCATCTTGCTCAATTTCATTTGAGCCTTTTGTCAGCCAATTTACCTAAACCCTTTTTCTCTTTCAGTCCGCTCTATCCTGTGCTGCATTTTTCTACGCCCCCGTCCTCCAGCTCTACTGGCATTTGGTTATTCTCGTTGTCACGTCGTTGTTTGCCGCGTGTTGCTTCTTCTACGTGGAGCGGATTTCAAGAGACAAAACATCTGTTAGAGATTCATATAATTTTGAGGAGGACAAAGTGACTAATCTGCGTGGAGATGTTCAATACAGAATTAATGAAAACGAACAGCACAATAGTGGGTGAAGCGGGATATTGGGGGAAAATGAAATTTGAAATTAAAAAAAAAGCGTGAATGAAAAAACTGGGGAATGCAAATCTGATAACTACAAAAATATGAATATTTTTCAGATGTGACAATGACTTCTAGAAAATCAACCGATCCGGATGAAGATGTGAAGTTTTAGAAGGTAGGGGTTATCTTTTAGTCTGACTTTTGGATCTGCTTCGGCCCACACTTTTTGCTGGATTTTCAGCAGTACAGCTTCTTTGGTGAACTGCCAAGCGATCTTCCTGTAAAATTAGATACTTTCACCCGATATAAAACTAGTCCATGTAAACTTACATTGAACTTCCTTCCGCAATGTTCACATTCGACCATTAATCCTTGCGAATTCTTCCACAACACCTCGTTTGTCGCCTCCGCATCTATGCGTCCATCTAAAAGATCAGATTGTTAATTAATTGCAGGTTTCATTATTCCTAAGATGTACCATTTCCGATAACTGCATCAGGTTTCACTGGAGCAGCTCGTCTCTTTGACTTGGGTAGCTTCTCGTTCTCAGCGTGCCACTTCTTCAGACATTGTGGCTCATGTATGGCTGTAATACTCTTCTTAATTCAATTTTCCTTTTTTTGTTTCTCAATTTATATGTCTTTTCTCTCTATCCATCAGAATTCTATTATATTATAAAGAATTCCAATTGAAATGATGATCAAAAAACAAGAACTTACCAATGCTTTTGGATCCGAATTGACGTCCGCATATGAAGCAGAATACTGTAGGAGCGGACTTAGTGGCTCTTGGGGGCCCCGGAGTAAAGTTGTTCTGAAACTTTTGCATCAAGTTACTGAGTCTCAAAATAAGTATGACCCACCATTCCTAATTTGTTTCCAGTTCAATAAAGCGGTAAGAAATGTAAACCGGATACCAGAAAAACACTCTAGAAATGAGTGGGCCTCCTTCTCCCGGAATATAGCTCCCTCCTCTTTATGCGCTTCTCGCTCTCCTCCACAAAAGCAGCTCGAAGCAATGAGAAAGTTTTTTGAATGCATGGGAAAAGGGGGAAGGCCCTTCTCTCGTCTTCCTCACGCTCCTCCTTCCTCCTCTTCCTCACTCCAACGCTGTCGTCTTCATCGTCTCCTGCTCCTCATAACTTCGATGAAGACCACTTGTTGTTTGTGTCGGTCACATCACCCTTGGCGACACACACCCAAAGAATCGGAGTCTCGTGAAAGGGGGGCTCCGGAAATTAATTGTGAAACATGTGATTGTGAATTCAGGCATTATTCAGCGAAAAAAGAGCCGTTATGAGCTTTTGAGAATTTTAGAAAGAAAATTGAGGACCTCACAAGACGCAATATTATATGAGTAGCTCTGAAGGGCTTTCAAGTGTACCTGGAATGGAGTGCCAGTTAAAAATAAATTAAATATTCAGAAGAGTGTCATAATTGATAAAAGCGAACTTAAGGGGTTATAAGACTAACGGGGTTTGGAGTGAAAAAAATTTTGACTCATGAATTCAGTACAAATTTACATAGACAAGGAAAATTATTGACAAATTAGCAAAACCTTGAAAAATAGTCTTCAAAAGACACGAAATCTCAGTTCTTTTTCATTTTCAAAAATTTTCTAGAAATGTTCTAATAGTTTGTGTTTTAGTGGAAATTCAAAAAAGTTTTAAAATCTTCTAGAACTTTCCAGACATGGATAATAACTTTTCAGATTTTTTAAGCTTTTGTTGAGTTTAGCTTGCTAATTTTGAAACCAGTCGGAGTTGTGGTTTTTAAGAAGTTTTGAGGTTGTCAAAGTCAACGATTTTAAGCTACTCCAAGTGAGGAAAAATTACTAATTTTATTTGCAAACATATATTCAGACACCTCGAATCCAAAGACAAAGGTTGTGGTTCGGCTCAATAATGATATATTTTCAAAAATTATTAATAGGGGGCAACGTCCTTTAATCCTTCCAGCCTTTTCCATACGATCATTCTTTTTCCTTCTCTCTGAAATAGATTTGTATGAATAGAACACCCCATCTAATTTGCTGATCCCCAAAGAAAACTAAACACAAGGAGAGATTGAGAGAGGACACACAACTGCTAGAAACTAAAATTCCAATTGCTTGACTTGTTACTTGCAGAAACATATTTCAGACATGATTTTACTTTCGACCGTAGTTTTTGTTTCTTGGTTTACATGCATACACCTGTTTGAAGGATGGGGAGAGAAAACATATAGGCACATATTGCGTAACAAAGGATATCAAGGGTAGGCGGGCAAAGACAGGAAGTAAAGAAAATAAATTAAATATACGGAAAGGACGACGAGAAATTAAGAGAAAACAATAATAAAGGTGAGTGTTTCTGAGTGTGTGTATTTGTATTATATTCACATCTCGGTATTTCGGAAGTCTCTTGGCAGCGCCTTGTCTCCAGTGGCTTTCGACCGGTTTGTAGCCGCCTCGACAGCATCCATGAGGATACCCTGCAATGCAATTAATTTTTTATCAATCGTCATCACCCTCAATCGTCTCACAAATGACCCTATCCTTATAAGTGTACTATGCTCATTGAGTTGGTCAGTTGATGTCCTAGTTATCAGTACAAATGTTTTACCTTGAGCCCTCCAGTTTCCAATTTGTGCATTCCGTATACCGAAGAACCGGCTGGAGATTGAACGTCATCTTTCAGTTGGGCTGGGTGAACTCCAGTCTCCAAAACCATCTTAGCAGCTCCCAGAAGTGTATAAGCAGCTAGCTTGAGGGCAAGATCACGTGGAAGTCCAACTTTAACTCCTCCATCAGCAAGACCTTCAATCACAGCAAACATCTGAAATGAAAAATGAGAATTATGATGACACAGGAGCAGAAAAATGCACATAGCTAGGTCCTGATCCAGAAAGGCCAGTTACAGGATCAATATGGATTTCTGGGACTTCTACTGCAAATCCAACGGTGCTCAAAAGTCGTTCAACAGTTTCAGCATCACCATCCCGGCAGGCAGATCCCATGGCAAAGGCAGAAGCTCCGGCGCGGACGACAGATGGAGTGTTGGGCATAACGCGGACCACTCTGGATTTGGTTGGGAGGAGCTGAAATTTTTACAGGTTAAAAAAACACTGAGCTTGATCTCACCGATTCAATATTTCTGAGAGTGATACCAAGGGCAATAGAAACGACAAGGTGTTCTTTGCTTAGAGCTGGAGCGATTTCAGATGCCACCTTGCTCACGTGAGCTGGCTTCACTGCGAGGAAGATCACATCACTTTTTTGAACAACTTCCGCGTTTTCGTGGGTCGTGTTTAGGCCCATGGCCTTGCATTGGTCCAGGAAAAACTCGTCGCGTTTTGGGGAGCTGGCGATGATGTTGTCAGCAGTGATTCGACCTGGAGATAATCATATATAAATTTTCTGATAGCTCGGTTCAATTAAGACAACGAGAGTGAACTAGTTTCTTACCTGAATTGATCAATCCTCTGGCAAGTGCCTGAGCCATCTTACCGGCGCCAATAAATCCAATTTTCATTTTGTTAGAAATCTGTAAACTAACCGATTGAATATTTTTTTTGTAATTTAAACAAATTTGTGATATAATGAGAAATAAAAATTGGTAAGGAATAACAGCGCTTCATGGTAATGACCGCCTGACCATTCACGAACAAGTTATCAATACTGTGCAAACATGTACGACATCGAGGATAGAGAGTGGCCAAAACATTTTGGATGATAACAAATCACTGATAACATAACACCAATACACTATTGACCGCAGTAAAAATTCGAAGCAAAAATTGGAAGTCAAAATGAGACGTGGAGGAATCGAAAAATGAACAGATAAGCAATATAGAGATACAGAATGATAAGTAGATCCAGTTGATAGACGGAGGGATTTTAATAGTCGATTTGGGCGCATAGAGGCTGCAATGTTGCGTAAAGTGGTGAAAAAAGGAAGCAGAAGGCAGGTTTTGTAGAGACATCATCACTGAACACACCGTTACTTTTATATATCCCTTTTTTGATCTTATCTGTCTATTGGAGAAGATATCAACGAAACCGAACAAAAGGGAAAGAGATAGGATAAGGAACTCTGACCTCTCTCATTGTTTTCAGGTATTATCGTATCTACTATCACGTGCAACGACAACAACTCCGGAGCAGCCACACGCACAATTCTTATCAGTGTTTCAGTAGAGCGCCCAACCATGTTCCTTGTCTAATTTTCTCGTTTTACAATTGATTCACTTTCGATTTTGTTAGTAATTAATGAATTGAGCTTTATTTATCGAAAAGAGGCAACGTTGAGTATCCAGAAATCGAAAAATGACAGTTGTTACATGAAATCCTCGTAGTTATGATCCTCCACCACGAAATAATCGGTATCTTTTGGTCGTTTCCATGTTAGGCGAGCTAGTGGGTCGAACTCTGGAATTGGCTAAATTTCGATTATTGCTATCTACAAAAAACTCGTTTGGCTGAATTTTTATGATCCTTATAGCTGCCAGAAACTGTCAAAAATTTACAAAACGTATTTCCAAGTTTTTTTTCAAACTTTTCTCATTAACTTCAATTTCATACTTTGATTTTCTCAAAATTCGCACTACCTTTCCTTGCCGGATTGTGCTTCTTTCTCATTTCATCATCAGTTCTCGCAAAATACGTTTTGATGTCACATCGCTGTGTACTTGTGGCTAATTGAAAATCATATTTCACCACAGTCATTTGCATTGTAGCTGAACAGTATCCACATGTGTTCCGGCACTCGCGAAATGCGGATGGAAACGCTCCACATCCACCGATAGTGCTGAAACTCGCGTCTTGCCAGTAGTTTTCTCTGTAAACGATTTTTAGTTTTGTTTTGGTTATTTTGAGTTTTGTGTGAGTGAACTTTTTTGGTCTCCTGCTATTTTGATTAGTTAATCACGTCATGTTGGTGCACCTGCTTGCTAGTAGGAACAGTTAATTTAGAATACTTCCTTGTTGGAAGATCTTTCAAAACTCAGTTATGAAAAATCTAAATTCGTGCCAGAAGATTCTCGACTGCCTAGAATCACTATAAAAAGTCAACGTTTTCTGTCACATATTGTTATTATTACCTTTGGCGTTTTTCAACCATATAATAATAATTTTTTTTCCTCTCTTTCTCGTCCCAACTTTCCTACCTTTTAGCCATTTTTTGACACCAATCTCCTCCCCTTCGATCTATACACGTAGCTTTCATCGGGTCCTCCAAATGTCGTCTGACTACCAAATTGTATTTCTCAGAGCTCAAAGAGCTTCGCCTATCGAAACTGGAAGTTTTGGTTTACTATTTTTCGTTCTTCTTGTATTTCGTTAATTGAAATCAGTGTCTTACCAAGACGAGCAACACTGAATGAGGGCAAAATCCGGGTCATTAGCGCATCGTTTGGAGAACTTGGCTGGTGTATTAACTCTCATTCTGCTACACGTCAATGTTGTTAAACGATCCACACAACATGGTGTTCTGTCGTTAATATCATGCGGCTGGTTGAAGTTGAAGTTTGGAGTGACGCCTGTGTTTTGCACGTTTTGGACTCGGAGTCAAACAATAATATTTTTCTGAAGAATGCCAAATAATGAATTAGAGACTCACCGGCTTGCGCAACACCGGATAGTAGTGTTGTTGTGCAGACAATGAGAAATTTCACGAGCATGTGGAGTCAAAAAACGTCTTGTTAGTTGTTCCCATCAACTACAATAAAGATCGGGTAGTCCAAGAAAAATCAAAAGTCTGAATAAGGAGAAAGAAGGAGGAGGAGACTTGTTTGAAAAGGTGTGAACACCCGTTTCGGTTAGTAGTGTTTATTGTGTAGGCTCTGTATGAAAAACAAATAGTGCTCTCCGTAAAGAAAGTTGCACTACTATGACCCTGTTTTTAGAACATTCTCAAGCTTCGAAGGGTCATTCAGGTGTTTTGTGAGGGTGAGATAAGAACCAATAAGTCAATAAGTTTTTTTATTTTGGAAAAAAGTCGGAGATTGAGAGAGAGAGAGAAATAAAGAAATACTGTCTACTAGGGGGTCATGACACATAAATTTTGAAATGGAAAATGTATGGGAGGTAATAATTTCAATAGTTACAATAATTTAATTTTCATTTTAGTTTTCAGTCGTTCTAGAACAATCGTTCGCAGGCTTTCGGGTTCTTTGCCAAGTTCGAGTCATATCTTACTGTAGCTGTCTTGTTCACTCTGAAAAATATTGACTCATTTATGTTATCAGGTTACTGTAGATTCTTACGATGCACAGAATCCACAGGTCTTTCTGCAGACCCTGAAAGCAAATGCCGAGTGTTGACAAGTCAACGCTTTTCTTCCCCACATTCCAGTTCTAGTCACAAACGCCTCGCAGAATTGGGTTCCGTGACGATCGAAACAGTTAACAGGATGATGACGGAGAAGAAGCTCTTCTACGTCATGCTGGTAGAGATCAGCAGGCACTGGGATTGCTGGAATAAAGGAGCTTTTAGATCTGCAGGATTGAATCTGGATCTTACTGTCACTTGTGAACATATCAAGATTGAAATGGCAAGAATGACAGCACTGAATGAATGAGAAGTCAGCGTTACTTCTGCATTGTCTTGTAAACTTTTCGTGGTCCCGATTGTATAGAGCTTTGCATACATTTGGCATCAATGTATCCATACAGCAAGGCGTCCTTGTGGCTTTATAGGCAACGTTTTGCATGGTCATCTCCGTGGAGACCAAGGCTGAAAGAATGAAAAATTGGGAACCCAAAAGGAAATTCAGAGGTACTAATTACCAATTAATGCTGCCAAGGCGCAAAGTTTTTGTTGAGTCATGCTTCTTTGTGAATTCTAAGAAAGTCTACCGAAAACAAAAACAAAGAGAATTGGATACGTGAAAGCACGGTACTCATGCATTTATACCTGGTGTCAACCATCCGGTTCTGGCCCAATGTTTTCCGGCTAGTAGCTTTTTTTCACCCGCCTACTTCCACGGAAGTGCCAAGTGCCCACCCACCCCTACTAATCATATTGTGTTTTTTTTCCTCTCACTATCCAATTGTTGTGTCTGAAGCTCTTTTCCTCTCTTCGTCGGTATATGAATTATGAACATCCATGAAGTACGGAAGGAAGCGAGAAAAAGAAACAAATACACACAGGGCGGGAAAAACCGTAAGAAAGTTGCTTATTTTGCTCTCTGTGCTTCGGGCGGCGGTGGTGACGGGACGGAAGTCGCCGTGTCCGAGACGTTTGCCCTTCAAACCTATATACAATGTTTGCCGCGCGTTGTTGCAACTGTTGGAAAACGACAACAACGGTTTAACACCCGGAGCAAGCTTTGTGCCACGCTTGACAACTTTTTGCGACAAACGGATTGGATGCGCAAAGCATGGAGAAGTTTCGGTTTTACATAAATTTCAAGAAAAGGAAAGAAGATGAAATAATTCAAGGGATTAAACTAGAAAAATTAACGATTTGTGATAAAGGGGAGACTATCTGCATTGTGGTAGTGGTTGTTCTAGAGAATACACGTACAAGGACACACCATCCCTTTTGCGAGGTCCCCTCTACAAACACTTGCAACGACACTCCGCTATCCCGATCAATTACTAGTGTTTGGTGTCACCATTCACGGATTGGCGTTTTTGCTCTTGGGTTTTCTTGATTTATCGTTATTATGAAAGAGTTAATTCCTTTTTTGGACTTTTTGAACCCAACCTCGCGTTTTTAGATTCGTCATATTCATTACAACGTTTTTAGTTCAATAAAAAAATTACGTTTTGCTCTTTAGGTCAGCAATTACAAAATCGCTATTTTTCTTATCGTGGTAGCACACATTCCGACCCTAAACAAATTTTCCAAACGTTTCATATGTTCTAGTTTATTTCACATCGTTTCCTTTGTGCACAGGGATATATGTAACTAGTTTTCGAAATTTTCAGAGTTACAATGACGGACAAAAAGCATGCATTTTCCCTGACAGCAGATCTCCTTTCGAAAAACGATTTGGATCACGATGTGATGTTTTTTGAGCCTTTCAAAAGTGAGAAGGACCCGTTTTTTTTTTCATAAATCGCTTTTTTCTTCAGGTCACACAATCAAAGAAGCCTCCAACATTTTGATATCTGACTGTAATAAAGATGCATCGAAACGCGACATTTTCAAGTTCAATGTGACAGAATTGTTCAAAAAACGTTACGAATTTCTAGGAAATGCACATCATCAGAAAGTAAAACCCAATACAGCGCTGTTAGAAAAAGTGTAGGTTTTCAGGACTAAAACTTCTCAGAACTAATAAAACCATTTTTCTAGAATAATGGACGTTTTCAATCACACTAAGAAGAAATCGCTGCTGGACATGCAAGCGAGGTATCATGGCTTGGTAATAGAAGAAGATAAAAAAGAGAAAGTAACATGGACATCGGAAGATACAAAGGTAAATCTTAGCGTCCATCAGAAACTTTAGAACAATAGTTTTCAGCTCCTACCAGACATCCCATTTGTCAGGCGATGGTATCTGGAATACCCACATATGGTTGAGCGAGAATTAGTGGAAATGGTGCATGCAAGATGTTATGTAGTGCTACACATCGCTAGCTATGTTTTGGAGGAGCATGAAATGCAACAGATTTTAGATTCTGTTGCTGACCAGGTTCATGAGAAATCCGCCAGTCACAAACTGTTGGAGTATGAGGTATTTTCTTTATTTTTCCAGATTTTTGTTGAATTTGAGATTTTCAGTTACTTTTGCTACGCCTTCTGAAGGTTGCTACTTCATCTAACTGGCACCATTGCCAGAGAGTTCTTTCGGAGTGCCAAGTTCCATTTAAAAATCTTGTAGAACAGTTCAAAAGTGAAGAGAGCAAGGGTGACTACTATCCAGCTGTGGAGCTGCTTTTGAAATGTTACTGGATTGTTCTCTCGAAACTTTTAATTGATTATAAGGTGGGTTTCCTTTTTCTTCTGCACTCAAATCCTTCATTTTTCAGAACTTTGACTTGTCCATTTTTGGAACTCTCGATTCCATCGAGTCCCCAACAGTTTTACAATTTATGATCCAGTTCTGGGCAAAGTACCCAACTCCGTTACAGTCATTGGACAATAGAACATTATTCCACCATATGATCATTTATTTTGTATTGAACGCCGATCACAAAATTGACTGGGACTTGCTGAACTATATGATTCAAAACCAAAGACTATTCCAAACAGGAGTGGTCTCAAAAACGTTTGCAGTTTATCATGTTCTGAAAAACCCCGCATCTAATGTGGTATGTTTCTGTTAGCTGATGTTAGATCAAAGTTTTTTTTGTAAATTTCAGGCGGAATCTATTCTCAAGTGTTCCAATTCTTATGATTTTCTTGTGTTTACTAGGTGTGGAACCTCAAAAAATGTGCCAGACTTCGAGGAACCGGTTCCAATGGTTTCGATAGAGCAATTTGAATACATTTGGGAAAAAACCATCAGCTATGTTATAAAACACCACAGAACGCTAGAGGAGAAAATCGTAAATCGAGCAATAGTTACAAGTTTAGTGGAGCAAATTTTGACAAAATTGAAGACAACGGCTTATCTTTCGGACGAGCTTTTGGTAGAATGTCATAGTCGCAAGTATTATCAAGCTCTTGGTGGAATTGTGCAAAAAAGAGAGTTGGGAGCTATCGAGATGGACGTTGATGATGACGGCTTCAAGATGATTGTAAATTTACAAGCAGAATCGACCAATCATTTTGTGAATTTGTCACCACAAGAAGCGGATAGTTGTTTCAAAAAGATCTTAGAGCTGTTGTTTGCGATTCCCGAGTTTAAGAATGCCAGAATGCCCTATGACGTCATCAGCCTGTGCTTTCAAAATTCTTGTCTTCAAAGGGATATTGAATTGGTGAGATTGAAGAGATACAAAACATTTTTTCAAGAAAAATAATTTTCAGAGAAACTACATTGCTGACAAAACTGTATTTATCCTCCATGGCCTTGACAACTATCATGCTCTCAATTATTTCTTGTTGAGTCTTGTCAAAGTTCTCAAATCTCACTCGTCTGGTAAGTTCGTCGTCAACGGTTCTATAGAATTGAATCTGTCCAAAATGGCAGCTACTCCGCGCTTTCTATAGACAATTATTGTATGTTTTCAGAAGATCTCATGAAGAAGAATTCCCATAAAAAAGATGTTTTAGTGATTGGAATCAAACAACTCATGGAAAACATTGAAGAAAAAATAAATCGATTTGAATATCAAAATGTTGATGTGCTCGATTCACACTATAGTAAATTCTTAACCAAACTTGATTATTACTGTCAAGCACATCTGATTTGCCTTTCGATTTTGGTGTTTTGTGATCAGACCCATTGCTTCTCACCACTCCGTACATGGTTTGAAGCATTGAATCGAATTTCCATATTGAGTGAAAAACTGAATAAGAGAGGAATCTGGAACAGAGCTTATATTGATTTATTGAACCAACAGTGGGTGTCTGATTCTTTAGGCTAAACTACAAATCAGGACTTTCAGAATCTTCCGCAACTCCTCACCGTTCCCATTGCCATCTGGAAAACTTCTCGAGATTATAAGAGACCTTACTCCATATTTTGTGCTGATCAACCGGGAAGTGCTTAGCCAGGCCGATATTGAAGTTTTGATCTCCGAGATTTGCAACCAATCGGGTTTACAGCACTTGTTGCAAAAAGTAAGGACGTTTTTTTATTGGAGAAATATATTCGATATGTTTTCAGAACAAGTACCCTGTTCTACACTCCAACAATTTTCTATCTCGGTATTTAATAGAACGAATCAACAATTCTATTGAGCCTGGCTTACTTGTCTCTTACTTTGTTAACGACATACTCAAAAATCCCAACCAGTCCAGAGAAAATTGCACTTTCCTATTGGAGGCATTCCGTCTGTCATGGACTCATCCGCCACAACACGAGGATATGGAGTATTTGTGAGTTTTGAAATTTTGATGCTGTTTTAATGCTGCTCGTTTCAGAACCCATGTATCAGGAAACCAAAAGTTATCTTTGAACGTCTATTTCCAATTCAAATGCCGTGAAGATTTTGATGGTTCTGAAAAAATTTCTATTACTATAGGAAACTTGATTCTGAACATGAGATATTTCTGTGATTGTAATGTTCTCAGGTGTCAGTATACCACTAACAATGGGTCAGTGCCTTTAATGCAGGATAAGACAGAATGGATTTTGTTTTTTTCAGAGATAAAATTGTCGTTCTACTTGAATCGCCAGCACAAGTTCACGCAGTAATGATGCAGTTTAGTAACAACGGAGATGAAGTGAACATTATTGTAAGTTTTCATGGTTTCTTTAACATCGAGTACTATCTCACTGGCCATGGTACAGAAAATATCGCAATCAAATCGTTTTTTCAGACTCCACAGAAAACCCACCAACTCAAAAATCGCAGAAACACAAGACTAATTGACGAAATCAAGATATCCATCACTTCCTTACATCATTCGATTCCGATTATTTTTCAAGGTGAGCTATAAAACAATTATTCATCTGTTCAATTTTCTTTTCAGGTGACCGGCAATCATTATTTGACATCAAGGAACTAGGAATCACTTCCAAGAATTTGGAAAGCTCTAGGCGTTTCACATTATCAACGAAAGGGCGAAAACTCAATATCGGTCAAATGTTCCACTCTGTAATGCCTATCAACCATGATCAAACGTTGTCCTTGAGAAGTAATCAGCTGGGATTTGAAAACGTGTCTGAGCAAATGAGAGCTTGCGGAGGTTATGGCTTTCTTTTCCATGTAATTTCCAAAAAATTGGTTGAATCTGAAACACCGACCAGTTGTGAGATCTACTGGGAACTTCTTCTGACCTATCTCTACTCTCCGTATCAACAAAATGAAAAATTCTCAAGAAGTGAAGCTCTCCAGATGACTTCACTATTACTCCGTAACACTAAAACAAGGGTTCCAGAACCCATTTTTCAGGTAAGTGATTTTGATGAATTCTTTTTTAAAAAAGTAATATTACAGAAAATCTTCGATAAGTGTATGATCACCAATCATGAAATCAAGGAAGCTTTCTTTCTTATAGAGTTGCTATCTGAGCCAAATTACTGGGAGAGTGATTTGACGATGTTCTACAGATTGCTTACCAGGTTCAAGTCATCAAATCCTGGACCAAATCTGGAAAAGTGTCTACCATTGATACTACAGGTAAGTTCTTGAAGGTAATATTTCTTTCACAATTGAATTTTTCTGTAGATTGTCGCCGGAATCATCAGGAAAGATCTGGGCACCGACGAGGTTCATGACATTGTTACTGTTACTGTGGAAATTTTCAAGGAGTGGTGTAGAGAGCCGCATGCGGTTCGAACCACACAACTGGTCACTTTTATGATGGACTTGTTTGATTTTGAGAGAATTAGTCAGCAGATCGATAAATTCCTGTGGGTCGATGATAATGGTTAGTTTCATATTGAGTGTGTGTCAAAAAAAAAAGATTTCCAGCTCTGGAAATAGAGACTTCTCGTCAACCAATTCTGAGTATAAATGGGGATGAGTCGGATGATGAGATCATTAGAAGACGCATCAATAGAGAGTTGCTTCAACTTGATCTACCGCTTGGCGAAATTGACGATGATGAGCTGTTCAGAGTGATGACACCAGTTGAACAACCATTGGATAAGGTGCTACGGATGGTGTCAAGGAATAGGGATTATATGATGAAAGGCCTTCTACAAATCATTCACCAGTCCTATGTTCTTTGCCCGGACACTCAATACTCATGTTTTGATTCTATTACTGCCGAGGTAAGCTTATTGACTACAGCCCACCTAGCCTTTAATATTTAGAAAATCTGCTATCTTATCGAGGTCAACAACAATGGAAAGGTTCTAGGCGCTTTGATTGAAATGTACGAAGCAATTATCGTAAGACACAATTATTATGATAGCCCCTCGCAGTATTAATTTTTTCTAGAATCATAATGTTTACTCTGATAAGATCACAAAAATTGTTCAACTCAACTTGTTACCAATTCTCGCTCGTCAACTACGTGGGAAGCCGTTGGCTATGCAATCTGTCAATGCTCTCTTTTCAATCTTGCTCCGAGAGCAAGTCGACGTTTCCGCAGGACTCGATAACGCGCATCTCGAAACGTTTTATCCGAATTCAATATCTTGTCAAGCGGTGTACCCATTGTTCACTATATTTGAGGAGTCTGCAGATGATGTGGAGATAGCGGTATTCACTCTCGTTTGCACATCATTAAATAAGGTAGTTTTTTGTTAGAGATTAAGAAAATGTTCATGATTAAGGTCTACACTTTCAACAATCAGCTTACTCAAGCAATGACAGCAGCTGGAATAGATGAGCATATGGTGGCGATTCTGGCAAAACTGTCAAAGTTAGGAGATTTTAGGTAAAACTGTTTTTTCATTGATTTAGCATCACTTGATTCTGTTTCAGAATTCGGAACGAAAAACTCAAAGCTCTACTTGATCCTTGGTTTGCTTTTGCCATCAGTATCATCAGAATTGGGGTCAACGGTCGCACATCCGTGTTCGAAGGAGCATCTCGGTTAATCTCACATCTCCTATTGCTGTATACCCAGGAAAATGGAAAACTATTAGATAACCCTGAAAACGAAGCGCAAAGACTCATCCGGGACAATGTCTACTGGGCACTCTGTGTTTTACTACTTCAGCTTTTCAAGTTCCTTTTAGACATTGCTCTAGCCGACTCGAACAAACATCGATCTGCTAGCAACTCGTCACTGCATATGATGGGTTATGAAGAAGAGCCAGAAGAAATAGAAGCGACTCCGACGAAGCCAACAAAGTTCTGGGATGATATTGCACAGAAAGTCAAGGAGAGTGTACTTGGTCCGAATCACAATTTGTTGAAATGTCCATATAGGAAACATAAGGAATCTCCGTTGACTGCTGAGGAAATGCGACACCGTATTAAAGACGTATTAACGTTGTGTCAATTCTTCTTTAAACTCACGAATCGAGTAGACTGTGATGAGGAGGATAACCTTTATCGGATATTTTTCGAAGAATTGTCAAAATGGACACTTGATGAGAATTGGCCGAACTGTATATGGGTAACAGCTGATATGATGTTCGTTACCAACGTGTTTGCTAGTTGTGTAACCTTTGTTATGACGGATATTCATCAGTATGTCACTCCGTTTAGTGAGTTCAGAATAATTATGAAGTTTCAAATAGAGATATCTTTCTTCTCATTTTTCAGATAAAGTATTCATACGCCAGAAAACCTCCAGAATGGAAATCTTGCTTCACAAAATTATCCGTTCGTATACTAAAATCTCGACGGTGTTTGGAAATGTTATGGTCAGATTAAATTGAGATGCTAAAGAGAAAAAAGAAATTAAATTTTCCAGGATATTGACCAAATGATCAGGCTGGCTATGGAAAATATTACTCAACGGGAGGATCACAATTCCAATCTTTTCAATTTGGCAGTTCTCTTTTTGAATAGTCCAAATAGAGATAAGTTGAAAGGTAAGTTATTGTAGAGTTTTCGATTCATATCATTACGCCTTTTTTAGCAAACATCGACTATCCACAACTACGAACACCGGATCTCATTCAAAAAATGACTGTGGAGAGTGAAATTGCGTCTAGGTACTGGTTGGATCAAAGGAACGACGTCATTGCAAAAATCAATTGTAAAGGAAGACTTTTCGAGCCACATTTCGATGTGTTTGAAATCAATCAGTCTCTCGAACGATTGCAGAAAACTTTGGCAGCTCCAAGGAACATGAAAAGGGTTAATGAGATTTGTGAACTAATGAAGAAGATTGAAGATAATGAGGTAATTTATTCATTTACAGGACAGCAATGCTCAATTATTTTATATTCAGCGCGTCTTCTCAAGATTGTCACTTGTCAAAAACAACTACCACCCTAGAAAGATAACAACTACACTAGGACCACGAGGAGAACGTATGGTCACTGATGCCACGGATATCAAGACCAAGAACATGTTCAATGGACCAGATGACATTAAACGGATCAGCATATTCCCAGATGTGTTCGAGATTTTGTCACTATCTTGGATCAGGAAACCCAATATTTTTGCTCAACTGAGAAATTCGTGTCTTCATGGGATTCTGATATCTAATGGGACTCAAACAAATCCAATATTTCATGTACACCGCTCAGGAATTACCGCAATTCCCTGTGGGTCACACATAGTCGAGAAGACCTATCTCTTTGACGATATGACGATGATCTTCAGAAGACCTATGAGACCCTGGGATGCGCTAGAAGTTTCCTTTGAAATTATGATGAACACCCATGAGACACTTTTGATATTTTCGCAACAGCGGTTTGCAAAACTTCTTGAACAATATTCATCAAAACTAATAGCTACGGAGAATCATCTTCTGGCGTTTACGAAACGATGGGAGGAGGGAAAAATATCCAACTTTGAGTACCTCACAATGCTGAATTTGTTCTCCGGGCGTACCATTCATGACAGTAGTAGCTATCCAATTTTTCCAAGGATTTTGGCAAGATTCGGAAACGATAAAATCGATCTGGAGAATAGATTTCTGTATCGGAAGCTGGACAGACCCGTTGCTGCCCAAGACGCGTTGTCGATTGAGAAACATCGTGAGCACTATGCAGAGTTAAAGGTAATTTTTTGCAATGCATAACAAACTATTCAAGCCTATATTTGCAGGAAAACGAGGAAGTGAGTCATCTGACCCCTTACCATTTTGGCTCAATGTGCTCCAACCGTGGTGTTGTTTCATTTTATAACATCCGCTTATTGCCATTTGGAGAGGAAGCTATTGAATTGCAAGATGGAAGATTCGACTTCCCGGATCGCCTTTTTCATAGCATTGAGTCTGGCCTAGGTCTCGGAAAAATTGAGTCTAGCAATGACTACAAAGAGCTAGTGCCAGAGCTGTTCACAACAGTGGAAGTGTTGAGAAACGAAAATGGAAACCAGTTTGGAGAAAGACAGAATGGAGAGCCAGTTCAAGATGTTGAGGTGCCGAAGTGGTGTCATGTGCATGGTGTTCCAATTCATGAGAACTTCATTTATTTGCACAGACATGCATTGGGTAAGCATTTGGATCAGCAGTTGTGATAAAAACTAATTTAATGAAACAAATTTAGAATCAGAACATGTTCAATCAACGTTACACCACTGGATAGACTTGGTATTTGGGTTCAAGTCTAGAGGGAAATCTGCGCATGAGGCAATTAACGTTTATCATCCAGCTGTGAGTGAATTCAACCAGAGTTGTACCAAAATATTTTGCCTATTCTAGGTCTACCCGGGAAATTCCCCACCACCTGGTTTCGACAGAGTTATGACAAACGCCTACGAAGCTAACCAGAAAACCCTGGGCACTGCACCTCTTCAACTCTTCACACAACCTCATCCGAAACGAGAAGTCGTCCAGCACAGACATGGTTCTGTACGAAACATGCATGGCCTAGCGTAAGCTCATTTTTTGTAGTTTGAATATTTATAATTGTTATTAAGATTTGGAAAAGAGCTGACAGTGGGGCAGTATGATATGGGAGAATACACAATTGACAGACAAACTACTCAAAGGGTTTGGAGGAGGATGAAAATCTTGAAATCCAGAATCTTCAATAAGAGCAACGCGTCAGATTATGACAGTGTGCAGTTGTTCAAGAGGAACAAGGACAGTGAGTTCGATTAAGAAAAAGAAAAATTGCAAAATTTGAATTTCCAGAAAAAGATCGAGAAGCCACCGAGATGAATTATAGAACTATGGGTTCAACGTTAACCATTTCTGACGACTCATCAGAGTGTACCAAGGAGCATAACAAGAAGATTCTCGAGATGTCTGTGGAGGACAACTATGTGGCTTGTTTGGTCCAAGAGGGACCGATTGAAGTCTACAGGGTTGTGAACAAAAAACAACCAAAATCTAGAAACACTGTGGATCTGATGTTGAGAAGTGATAGCAAATCGTTTTCAATTGAATACTACGGTACAATCCCTGTTCAAGAAGGGCACTACACGTCTGTCGAGATTTGTGCATCGTTTTCGACAATTTTCACTGTCCATACAATCCATAAAAAGTCTGTGGTTTCTGTGTGGAACTTGCATACTCATCATATTCGAGCTTGCTGTACTATCGATGCTCTGGTGGATACCTGTGGGGTGTTGAAGAATTTGGGTGAGCTGATAGTGGTGGAGAAATGGAATGGAGAGCAGATAAGATATGAGAAGCAATGGAGGACTAAAGAAAGAGTGACCAAGAAGAAGAAGTATTTCGGGAAGTTTCCAAAAGTCACAACTGAGCAGATACTTGCGAAAATCAGTGTAAGTTACATAGATCACTTTCAAACAGTTAGTTCCTCAAAAACCTTTTTTTCAGGTTAATGCTAAACCTCTCATCTCGAAATACACCGAAAACAATTTGTTCATACATGATGGAGTCCTCTCGATTGCACCAGATCCTGGAATGGGCATTCAAACTTTGGCTATGATACGGAGCGACCATTCGATTGTCTTAATCGAGACCATTGGCTTAACTGTAATGAGAGTTTTGGAAGTGGAGAACAGAATGGATTTCTGTTTAAGAGAGTAAGAAACTGATTGTACAGGGTGCGGCAAAAGTATGGTAACACATTCAAAGAGATGCAACTTTCCCAAAATGACCCGTATCAACATGAAAATTGGACAATAGTTTACTGCATACTTTCTAAATTTGAAATTATAAAACTTGTTCGACGCGGTTGCCTTTGTTCCTCACAACATCGATGAGTCTCTTCGGGAACGCATCTACCGTGGCACGGGGGTTTTTTGGAGATAAATTGACCCAGTCTGAGACCAAACCTGATTTCAATGGCGACAAATTTGGTTCTGGACGTTTTTGGATCGTCGACTGAAATATTCCATATGCGGAATAGTCCAACAGATTCACGTCTGGCGACGAGGGTGACCTTTTGCAAGTCATACTGAATATTGAAAAATTGCCCGTGCATCATGGTTGAATGATCTTTGTCTTGTGAGCGGAAGCAGAATCCCTTTGAATAGTTCAAACATGGTTTTCAAAATAGGATTTGGCCCACGGAAGAACATAACCCTTGAAAATTTCTTCATATTAGTACTTTTTGTTGATTTTCACACCAAAATCTACATAAATTAGAATTTGGAAGTTGTTGCACCAAAAACTTTTTCGGTCATGTTACTATGCTTATTAGATAGCTCAGATCTCGGGGGAAAAACTCAATATTTTCTCGATGAGAATTCGACTTCTACCGTCAAGAGTTTCTCGTCGACAAACATCATCCTCATGTGTTCATTTTGGCGCGTGCCAGCAAATGTCGATTTACACTTCTGGACGCGTTCCAGATTGTTGTTTCCCGACAGAATTCCAGTCTTTTGAACACGATATGGGGTCAGTCCAAGCTCACTTTTAGCGATTCTACTGAGTAACTGTCTGCTCATTCTGAGCTCCAGGCTCATTTTTTCTTTCTTCGGTGCGGTTTTCAACAAACTCGTTCTTGGACGGTCTTGCATTTCTTCAGAATGATCAAAGTTTGAGATCTTATGTTTTTTAGACAGTTCTTCCATTCCATGGTTATCCACAGGGTTGTTCAAACCATTCCATGGTTATCCACAGGGTTGTTCGTGAGATTCCAAGAGCTTTTCCGATGCTACCTGTACACACCCCTCTCTTGGCCACCTCGACGAGGGACCTAGGTGTATAGAACTTGTCACTATTTCTGTAAAAATCAACCAAAATAATTGAAAATTTGGTAATAAGGTAATTAAGACATGCTGAAAATAATGAATATAAATTCAGGACACTAAAAGTGCGCCTGCGCCCACCAGCTTGCGCGAAACTTGTGTTACCATACTTTTGCCGCACCCTGTATGTCGCTGGCATACCCTTATTGTTACTTTACAGGTTGCGATATCTGGAAGACAACTCGCTAATTGCAATTTTCAAGGAAAATCGGTCATTGCGAAAAAAGAACAAGGAGCTGTATAAGAATTTGGGATGTGCTCCTCCGACTAAGACTTGGCGTTTTAGAGTGAAAGCTTAGAAATTGAATTTGCTACGACCTCAAAGTTTTATGAATAAAAAGTTATGTAGGTTGAAAATGTGTAAATCAATGAGAAATTGAGATTACAAGTGGGAATAAGTACAAATGAGTAGTTGACAAAAAAAGCTAATGTGAGAAGAGAATGGATAATACAGATTTGGGAGGTTGGGACTGTTTTTTTAGATTTCAATGGCAAGAAGATAAAATTCATAGAAATGGTGAATGAGATAAGCTGGATAAAAAGCACTGTGTTGAAAATTTTTAAAAGGAGGTGTGATGGGTTTCTTGAAATAAAAATACAAAAACACTCCGAATTGTAACAGGTATTGGGACTAATTTGCAGTGCCATGAGAAATGAGAGGATTACTAAAAAAAAAGAATTAGGAGAACAGAAAGCTTCAAATTTGGAATAAAATGAATAACAATAGTTGAATCACTCCAAGTACAAATGTTGTTGCTCGGGACGATGTTCAAGGATGAAGTTTCGAAAGTTGTCCATAAAATCATCATCATCAGCAAAGTACATCGCTTGTCTGACTAGTAAAATATACATCATCTCGACATCAACTCTATTTTCTTCTTTGACTTCGGATTCCTGTTTGACGACGACTTCATGAGAAACAGTGATCTTCGCATAGCACATTCCATTGGGAAGCGACAAATTCGGAACAACCTCTGGCCACACAAACATCATAAAGTTGCCATTCATATGTGTCAAAGTAGCCAGTCTTCCATCAGTTCGACGGACATCAACAGTACCACGCAATTGGATGGCGGTGGTTTCTGATTTTCTGAAAGAAAACACTTTAAATTGTTATATTTCTGTTTTTTTTTCTTTGAGATTTAAAAATTTCTCTAGAAAAGATCTGCTCTTAAAATATCGAAATTGACTCACTTGAAGAAAAGGTGTCTTGCTCGGTAATTGAACTGATGCTGGAGCACTCCGTGAAACTTTTCCATAATGTTTGGAAAATTGGAGAATGTCCCGTCTAGTTGGATAGAAATCGAGCTCAACGTTTCCCACTCTCTGTTCAGCCATTTTCCTAGAATCTCGTCGCGAATGCTCCCTGGGAAAGCGTTGGCACCTATCTCAATCGTTCCGCACTGGAGTGAAAATAACTGATCTTTCGTCATCCCTGGGGCATTTCCAATGTGGAGAGAGGAGATGGATGAGAGCTGAAAAAATATTAAGTTTGAGAAAATGTTTTTTTTATTATGTTTATTACCTTTTCAAGATCTACTTCTCCGTTCTCGCATTTTACTTCAAAAGCTTGCAATCCGTCCACATGGCTAATGACTATATTTGCTTCTTCAGCTTCAACACATTCGATTGTCAGCTTTTCGCATGACTTGAATGATTTCCAGTTCAGGTCTAAACTTGGGAAGAGTCTGAGGTCGATGTCGAGGCATTTGACGGGGCACTTGAAAACACCGAGCATATAATCCACGATTTTCTTCAAATTGTCTTCAGTTGGGTGACAGAACGTGATAATGTTGTTTCCTCTGCGGATGCTGAAAAATTAAAGTTAATGTTAAGAATCAAGTTGAGAATGGATACCTATTTTTCTCAACGGTCGGACCTAAATTCTGAGTCGTCACTTTTTGCCCTTTTAGCTTCTTCTTCTCAGTTCCGTTCTTCAATTCCCATACAACTCGGTCTGTGGGAGTGACTACAATTTCAACGAAAACGCGTCCTTTCGAATTCGCAGTGATATTACAGTGCTGGGCAGGGATCCGATGTCCTCTCAAGTGGCGCATCATCTTTTTGGAGCTGAATGAGAGTGAGACGCTGAAATATGAAAAATATAGTCAGTTCGGATAGTTACACTTACATTCTCATGGCATCGAAATTCAAAGCGATTTCTCTCAGCAAGTCCCAAGGTAATCTGAACAATCCTTTGGGTATCGTTTGGTTGGAGACTTTAGACACTGGTCGTCGTTTAGCTGGCATTTTACTAAAATTGAAAAATTAGAATTGGTACTTTGGCTCTGTAAATTGATGTAAGAAAGAATAGAAAAAGCAAAATATTTGAAAAACTTGGATACTGCGCTTACAAGAGAAGTTGGGGGTTCAAAAAAGTTCACATGCGTTGTGGACGAATTCGATCAAAAAAAGCTGATTTCTACCTCCGCGAAGACGTTGTTTGATTGAGTAAAGAACGATGTGCCAGTTTTCTTTGAATCATTCGCCCTAGAAGGGTTTTAGATGCGACAACAAGAACCAAAGCCGCATAGAAAAAAATCCGAGGCGCGTCTCTTCTTCTACAGTACATCGATCACAATAACCGTGGAATAAATCAAAGACGAACTAGATGACTAGGATGCTAGGATAAAAATTTATGTTGCTGATTTGCTGAAAATTCGCTGAAACTTTGCTGAAATGATTTTCTGAATGGAAATTCCATTATGAATAGAAACTGCTGGTTTTTAGGATCAATAATTTTGACGGACCATAATTCCATAGCAAAGATGGACACCGTGAGTACAAAAATGTATAAGAAGAGTATTCTGGAAGAGTGGATCGCAGGGCGGACGGAAAAGGTAAAATGAATGGTGGACTGAAGGGTGGACTGCAGGGTGGAACTGAAGGTGGAAGAATGGGCGGACCAGCCAGGTGGGCCAACAAAATCAATAGGGTGGTGAGTTGTAAAACGACCATTTTCCCAATAAGACCCTCCTCTGTTCTCCAGGGAAACAATGACGTTACAGATTGTAATTGACTGGGATGGGTAGACTTATGATGTAGATAGACAGTGGTAGAGGTATTATTTATGACTGTGAAGGGGACAAATAACTTCAGTTACACATTGTAATGGTGAAGAGACCATCTTATCTATACATGGTTACTGGGAATACCACTCCAAGACATTGCAAAAATTAGTTCAAAATCGAAACCGCCATTTGCATAGGATTAATGAAATACGGATTCAGGTTCATAGAATAAAATATGATAACTTGAACGAAGCATAACATTTACAGATGTGTTCTGGTCTCTACAAATTGAAAAAAAAGTCAAAATATCGAATTTCCGGGACATGTCGTTTTTATTCCGGTAAAGAGTTCAGGACCAATGAAGGTAAAGTTGTTTTTGAAATCACACAAATCATTCAGTCGGAATCGCTTATCCAGAAACCGATCATGACAAAGAAGTTGGCCAAATTCACAAACTCCAAAACTGTCATGCATATCGTTTCAAGGGGATCACCAAGTATTTATTCCAGCTTCCTGCTGAAAAAGATGCGATTCTCATGTGCTCTAAAAAACAATAACTTACTTGAGCCTACTTTTTTTCGCTTTCAACTTGGGAATTGCCCATTTTTGCAGTTCTGCAAGTATTGATGTGATCCCGACGGCGAATATCATGATGAATAGATTGATGATTATGTAGATTCCTAACAATGGTATGGACCCAGTTTTTGGAATCTTGTCAGCCATCACTCCAAGTATAAATGTCATTGTCATAATGTTTGTCAGCCCAACATTGAGCTGAAAAAATATATTTTTTCAGAAAATACCTTCAATTTACCCTACTTTTGACATTTTATCGGTTTTTCTATGAAGACCCCTATAATAGATAGTGCATTGATGATGAAGGAAGGGAACACTATCATGTAGATGTAGTACATAGGATTTCTTTGAATTTTGATTTCAAAAGTGGCTAGCTGCATGTCCCCGACTCCATCGTTATAACTGAGAAGCTCAACGCGGTTCGTGAGATTCACCAAATCCCATTCGGAGTTTCCCTTTAAGGAATTAGAGATAAAAATATAGGATAAGAAGATTATAGGATTAAGGCTCACCATCTTTTCCCAGATTGTCCTGTTCAGAATACCTTGATAGATGGAATTGAATAATTCTACGTGCTGCATGAAAAACAACGGCATGCAGAATTGAATAACACAAGTTTGAGAGTCATAAGGAAATCTTCCCACGTTCATTGGGCAGTTTAGAGATACTTTCAACGTAAGGGAAGTGTAGACATGACCTGTATTCTCAACACATACCATTCGAAAGTCTTGGTCTCGGAAATCAGCAATTTCATTTCTAGAATGTTGACTTTCAATTCATTTCTAAACGGAACTCACATTCTAAACGACGCTATTGTAGGACTCCAGACTCTATCTTGTCTCAAATGCAGCATTTGAATTTCACCGTACGACGAGGCGTCCCAAGCAAGACGAGGGTCATACCAGTACTAAAACATGAGGCTTAGAGTCGAAAAACCGTTTTTCACTCACTTCTGCCATTTCTAGAACAACGGAGACTTTTTCCTCGGGTTCTATAACCTCTACCAGTTTTAGGTAATACAAGTAGACAGTGTAATTGAACCGAGTGGGAGCCAATGGGTTATATCCGATCGGTTTTGTGATATCCACTTAAATATAAATTCGTATTTAAGATTCAGATAGTAACTCACACTTTGTGTAGACCGGAGCCACAGTGCTATCATAATTTTGGAACAAATGCGACATTAATCGTTGTTGATGGTTCAGAAAATCATTCCATTCGGCGACTATATCAATGAAATTTTTTCAAACAGTCATGTGAAACTTTCGACTTACCGTAATAAGATTTATTCTCATAAAAACAAAATACAGCTTTCAGATTAAAGAGCACTAAATAACTAGACAACACATGAAGCATCATTATTGGTAAATGCCACAACACTCAAAAAATGTGTGGGGGAAGGAAATTTGAAACTCTCAGAAATTTTTTATTCCGTTTTTCTTTGACCTCATTTTAACAACGAAGAAGGAAGTAGAGTCTAGAAAGACTTCTGAAGCGTGTCAATGTTACACATCCAAACTCTAAACGCGTGTAGTAGCTTTCAACACCTGTCAAACTTTATTATGACTTGGTGAAAAAATAAAATAACAATATTTATAAATCTTCGAACCAAAATCCAATCATTACAAAGAAGTTAGCGGTTGTCAGTAGTTCTAATAAAATTGCACAAGTGTACTCGAGAGGAGAGCCAAGGAATATTTCTAGCTTCCTGCTGGAAAACACATTATAAGGTTTTAAATCCATTCAATTATAAGAATTACCTGACAGATCCACGCTTAAGTTTCAAACGGGGAACTGCCCATTCCCTGAACTCTGTGATTACTGTCACAACTGCAATTGCCAAAACCATGATAACGAGGTTGATGATGATGTAGATCCCAAGCAAAGGGATAATTCCGGTTCGAGGGATTTTGTCAGCCATCACACCAAGAATGAATGTCATTGTCATAATGTTCGTGAGCCCAACATTGAGCTGGAAAAATTATGTTCTGCAACTTTAAAAACAAAACAAACACACCTTTGACATCTTGTCAGCATTTTTCAGAAATACACCAATAATGGAGATGACGTTAATGATGAATGAAGGGAAAACAATCATGTAAATGTAGTAGAGAGGGTTTCGGCGGATAGTGATTTCAAAAACCGCCTGAAAGTTGAAATTAATCAAGGCAGTTTTCTTGAATTATCAGATTCGATCTCCTTTTGAACATTAACCTTACCTTTTTTCAAGCATCACACCGGAAATTGATATGTTTCCGGTGCTCAAAGTGCTGATGCTCTTTATTTACTATTTTTTAACGTTTCCTGATTCCTACCCAACCTTACCAAGTCCATGTTCCCAAAATTGTCATCATAAGCAACCGTGTCCACTCTATTAGTGAGATTTATCATTGTCCATTCTGAGTTTCCCTGAAAACTACAATTCCAAAACTGACATCAACATTCTTTTACCATTTCAGATATTACGTTCTTTCTGACTAGACCTTCATAAATTTCGTTGCTGATTTCTACTTGCTTGATATTGAATAAGGGCAAGCAGAAATATATTTGGCACTTTTGAGTGTCAAAAGGAAACAATGAGACATCCATTCTGCAATTAGCTGACACACGAACCGAAACGTAGTTGCTAATCGTTCCCGCGAAGTCAACGTTAGCAATTCGAAAATCTGGATCGCGGAAATCTATGATATCATCTCTGAATAATAACATCGTGACTAGAGGGGAAAGGGATTAGGGGAAGAAGGGTCTTACACTCCAAATGAAGTCAGCGTTGGACTCCATATCTTATCTTGTCTCGTATAGATTGAAGATATATTTCCATGTGATGCTGGATCCCAGCTGAGTCTTGGGTCGAACCATCCCTTAATTTTTTTTTATTTCAAAGGAAATATGTTTTTCGTTATCACCTCCATAATTTCTAGAACCACTGACACCTTTTCTTGTGGTTCTTGAACTTCAACCAGTTTCAAGTAATACAAAAAGACAGAGTAGTTCCATCTACTAGGACCCTCCGGATCATATCCTATCGGTTTGAAACGATCAACTGGAAACCATTTGCTTCGAATTTGTTCACCAATTTCTGATAAACTCACAAATTGTATATATGGGGGAAATCCCAGGGTCATAATTTTTAAACAGTGTTTCTGTTAGATTTTCTTGGTGTTCCAGAAATTCCTTCCACTTTGGAACTGAAAAATTATATTGTAATCTTTACCAAGTTCAATAGCTTTACCGTAAAAATCAGGGTTGTAATAAAATCCGTTGATTTCGTGAAAACAAACGAGAATCGATATGGTCAGAAAAAACATGTGAATTTATGTTTAATAGAATAAGAAATCCTTGACTCACTGAATACAAAGTCAAAAAGGCAGGTGAAACTTGAGACTAAACACGGTGAAACATGTCGTCCCTTGTATTTTTGAAGGACGACAAAATGTAGTTTGAACATTGAATTATGACGTTAAATCATATTTGCAGTGTTTTGATAATAAGGCCTAGACTCGCAGCTATAAAATACTCTCATGATGTGCTGAAAATGCAAAAATAGGAATTTTTGTTCCCCGGTAGACGAGTGTATGCTCCAAGTGACGAGTCATGCTTATTAAAAGTCTTTCTAGCGATTTGAAATGTTTCGAAAAGTCATTCGAAAAGTTATTTTATAATAATTCGATGCCAGTATACACTGGGGCAAAAAGCTCATTAAGTGACGGAGCGGTATGTGATCCTAAACGAGCTTTGCAAAATTATAAAGTTATAATTAGTTTTCACATTTTTCTACGCTGGTCTGGGCGGTCTTTTAAGATTCTTCTCTATCAGAAGACAGAATGAGAAGTCAATCATGCTTAGGATACTTAAATTTTCAAGTTTTCACGCTAGAAAAAAGCCATGCAAATTACGCCACCATAGCTCAATTGGTAAAAACACGGAAACTCCAACAATAGACAGACAAGTTTAAATTCTCAAAGAGCTTATATGAAGAAAATTTAGAGAAATATATTATTTTCAAATTTCCCCTTTTCTTTAAGTAAACTGGTTAATAGTCTTATCTTTTTTATTATCAGCGAATTTTAAAAAATCATTTTTTATTTAAAAAAATTTCCTTACATTTAGTTTCCACTTTAATTTTACTTTTCTGGACTAGATTATTTATTTTCGTTATTTATTTTTATTTTTATTTTCCTCCAACACATGGGGAAAATATTTCAATTTTCTTCCCGGTTAAAGGTGGGGGGACATGAAAAAAAATAATGTTCTCGAAATTCCGTTCAAAGATGCCCCTCGAGGAGTTGAACTTGTGAGGGCGATGATTGAGGGTGCGGCGCCGCTAACGACTGAGCCACGCGGGCAAAGAGAAAGCGCACGCCCGATTGCATACATAAAGGCGAGGACGACAGCTGTACGCAGAGTGACATTAAGCGTTGTACACTGTGACGGTAGACTGTGACGGTAGCATACTCTAGCTACAAAAAAACTACGAAAAATCTCCTGTCCCCCCACCTTTAAATAAATCTAATAAAAAAACCAATCTAGAAAATATTTTTTGCTCTTTTTCTGCATCACGCACCTGCTAGGTCCCACCACACTCTCATTTCTTCTCCTATTCGACGGCATTAGAAGAAGAAGAAGAGAAAGTAGGGGGAAAAAAGTTCATGTCCTCTTCTCTCGCCCACAGCCCCACTCAGCCAATATGTCCTTCCACATGAAAAATGTCTACGACCTCTTCTGTTATCACACTATATCCCATTAAGCGCAATTGCGCTCCGTGGAATTTGCCGGAATTCGAATCACAATTCGCTCTTGTTTCTTTGTCTTCGTTCTTCTATGCCGTTACAACTCATTCTTTCTCCCAAATCAGTGAATTTTTCAGAATGGAGCAACGAATGAAAACAATCTTATCAAATCATCCGGAGTTCAAGCAGTACCTCGCCGTTTCATATCCTGATTGGTTCGAGAAAGGGGAGGGGAAATATGGTCAACTGAAAGAAGAGTTTCTTCAGGATGCAGTGAACGAAGCTGACTTTTTCGATATTGAAGGCAAGAAGAAATCGAAAAAAATGCCGAAAACAAAGGATGCGAGAGTTGCAACAAAACGTGAGTTTTAGTTTTTTTTTTCATCAAAAATCAACTTGTTTGGATAACTTCCAGATGGACTTATTCTCTGCAGACGTTGTCGCCTCTGGCATGAAAAACCAAACAATGAAGAACCTCAATACATCTGGTGAGTAATAAATCAAATGAGATCAATTTCCAAAACATTGTTTCAGCACTCATTTGCCTGTGGAACAAATTGTACAGGCGGTGGAAAAAATAGAAGAAGAAGTGAAAAACGAGGAGCCAGTTTTGGAGTCAAAAGCCAACTTCTGGCACATTGTGGCTAGGTATGCTAAGCGTGGCTTGGCAATGAATGCTGGCAAAACTGTTCATCCTATTCGGGAGGTTGTCAAGTTTCTGGAAGGCGAGGAATCCCATGAGGCAAGTAATTTAAACTAAGGTTTTTGAATTATCAATTTGATTTACAGTGGGCTTGGGTGGCTCAGGAGGGGAGAACTGTGTTCCGCTTCACCACAGACATGGAAAAAGTGATGGAAAAGCAACTTGAAGAGCTTCTAGAGTAAGCTGTTTTCCTAATTTTAGAGAAGAATTCTGTTGATTTCCAGGCTAACGAAAGAGGCCCTTCTGCCAAATCGTGAGAAAATGCGAAGTATCTTCAATGCGTCTTGCTCGTATCCAATTATGGACACAGACGCTATGCGCGCGGACATCGTGTTGGATAAGTCCACAATGTTGGTTGTGGAGTTCACCTTGAGAGAAGAAAGCTTCTTGTTGAGAGCGTTCCACAGATTCGAAGTTCATCCAGAAGTTGCCGCCCAAGAGAAACAACAGGAAGGAACCAAGCAGAAACATCGGAAGTCGAAGAAGAACAAGAACAAGAAAAAATTCTGAAGTATAGGTTGTTGGGCCCTTTTGGCTATTCTTCTTCATTTGTCTCAAAATTTCCGCGTCACTCGTCACAACCTTAATTGGTTTTACCCTGTCTGCTGAATTTCAAACTTTTGCTTCTAAATTTTAGTTCCACTCATATTCTCATTAGAAATCGCTATAAACTAGTTTTTTTTTTACTATTTATGCTAATTAATCTCGTAGTTCTATTTTGTGACCACCTCTCGGGATATGTTCTTATCTGTACCTCTGAATTCTAGAAATTTTGAAGCTTATTTTCACCTTTCAGCCATTATTTTTGCCTATCGCCGTGGTCCTCAACAAACACTCGTTCACGTTCTCAACCCTTCTCTAACAGTAGTAGTAAAATGTTCAATTTGAATTCTTATGTTTATGAGGAAATGCTTGCATGACAGCTCTACAAAACCAACGAATCTCTTTCCGCTCAAAAATTGACCTTTATTTTTGTACTTTCCTCAATTTTGTTATTTTCATACAAATTAAAACCGTTTATTTTTACAAAAATAATTCTATGAATCATCCAACCAAAATCCAATCATCATGAAAAACATTGCTAGTGTGGCCAGCTCCAGAAGTATAGCACACGAATATTCCAATGGTGGTCCCAGAAATGTCTCAAGTTTCCCACTGAAATAATCTTTAGTCGAAAAAATACTTTTACTCTGCTGTTTACCTAAACTTTGAATGCTTCCTCTTCAGAATCGGCGCTGCGCACCTGCGTAATTCAGTTATGCCTGTCACGATTCCAATGGCAATGATCATTATGACGAGATTCATGATGATGTATATACCAAGCAATGGAACTGTTCCTGTTCTTGGAATCTTATCAGCCATCACTCCAAGAATGAATGTCATTGTCATAATGTTGGTGAGACCGACATTTAGCTAAAACCAAATTTTACAGAATAATGTGAATCAGGGTTACCCTCGACATCTTATCAGCCCCTTTCATAAATACTCCAATAATTGACAAGGCATTGATGATAAATGAAGGGAAGATTATCATATAAATATAATAAAGAGGGTTCCGGCGGATAGTGATCTCATAAATCCCCTGAAATTCAAAAACTAAAGATGCGTACTAAATGGCGCCAGTTTACCAAATCCAAATTTCCAAAACCATCATCATAGCGTAACGTCTCCACTCGATTTGAAATGTTGACTAGTTTCCATTCAGAGTTGCCCTAAGCAATAATGAATTTTGAAAACAGTGAGGAATATTACAAACAAACCATTGTTTTCCACGCTTCCGCTTTCAAAACTCCTTGGTATATGGTGTTCAGAATCTCCACTTCTGCTGCGTTGAAAACCGGCAAACAAAATCTAATTTGACAGATTTGAGTATCAAATGGAAATCTGGACACATCCATGGGGCAATTGGCAGATACCCGAACAGAGACGTAGTCGTAGACCATACCAACGCTGTTAACACAAACTAGTCGAAAATCTTGGTCACGGAAGTCAATTAGGTCGTTTCTAAAAGATATAACTATTTTTAAAAAAATTTTTAATCTGAAATTTGCTTACACCCCAAACGCTGAGAGTGTAGGACTCCAAACATTCGTTTGACGTGTATAGAAAAAATCCACATCATCGTATAAGCTTCTGTTCCATGTCAACCTTGGGTCATACCAATACTGAAATCAGCTGTAATTGGTTTTCAGTACAAGTAAGTCACAACCTCCATGATTTCCATAACCACTGAAACTTTCTCTTCGGGTTCAATCACTTCCACTAATTTCAGTGAATAAAGTAGAATTGTGTAATTCCATCTCTTTGGAGACTCCGGATCATAACCAATGGGTTTTGTGGGATCATCTAGGTAAAGGAATTTGGAAAATCAAAATTTATTACAACTCACTTTTCGTATAGATTGGTGATAATGTAGCATCGTAGTCATTGAAAATATCCGAGTCAAGTTACTTTGAGATAATAGGAAGTCGAGATGCTTTGGAACTGAATGTTGAAAAACGATTCATATGTTTTTTTCTTGAAAATGACTCACCATATAAGCTGGTATCATAGAGAAATGCACAGATTGTTTTAACTAGGACCAGCAGAAACACAGAACACAAGCTTCGAAGCATTTTAGAACAAAAGATGAAGTACTGGAAATGAACTCAACCTTCCAGGAAACAGACAAACGTCAAAATGCCGCGTGTAATATAAAACTACTATGAAAAAAATGTGGTTTATTGAACTCAGAATGCGCTCAAATTTAGTTAAGCAGGCGTGCAGTTTGTAACTATAGTATTGTGTTTGCGTCCAACATCACATTTGGGTATAGTTTGATATTCTGAAGGTTGGCGAATGAAGTTACAAATAAGTAACAAATAAGATTTAATTTTGTTCATTACTGCAAATCGTTTTTGTTGGGTTATAAGAGTATGTTGTCCTAAAAGTTATGATATCCTAAGACGTTCTGGGTTTCAGAACTAGCAGTTTCTTTGAGCCATCAGATTACAGGGTCCGCCAAAATTACGTGTGCACAACTTTGAGGCCATGGCGCTGCGCACTGACGCACTTTTGGTGCGCAATTTTTTAAAATTTTTATTAATTATTTCATTATTTATTAGTTTGCCAAGTTTCATCCCAATCGGTTATGTTTTAGGTAAATGACAGCGGCAAGTCCTCATCGTACTCTGATCGTCGACTTTTACAAGCGAGGTTTAAGCACAGGAGACATTTCTAAACGACTCGGAGTGCACCGAAACACGGTTTTCGCGACCATCCGTCGTTTCAACCAGCTTGGCCACCTCAAGGACCGTACGGGAAGAGGAAGACCGAGGACTGTAAGAACTCCAGCGAAAGTCAAGGCCGTCCGGGAGAAAGTCAGGCGAAATGCTCATCGTTCCATGAAAAAGATGTCAGATGACATGGATATCTCCTATACATCAATGAGGAGAATTGTCAGAAAAGAGCTGAAGATGACCTCTTATCGAGCAACAAAAGCTGCTATTCTATCCCAAGCCAATAAGGAGAAACGGCTCATCAAAGCGAAGCGCCTTCTCGCTGGCACGCGCAAAAAGGATCATCTTATCACCATCTTCTCGGACGAGAAACTCTTCAGTGTCGAGGCTGAATTTAATAGCCAAAACCACCGAGTGCTGGCCACAAATATTCAACAAGCAGCTGAGCGTGGTAAAACAATCCATCGAGCCTCTCATCCTGCGAGCATCATGGTTTTCGGAGCGGTTTGCTATGATGGGAAGTGTCCGCTTGTTTTCGTTGATAAAGGCGTGAAAATCAACCAAAAATACTACGTTGAGGAGATTCTGGAGAAGCATGTGCTACCGTGGGCTCAAAACCACTTCGGTCAGAAGAAATACATCTTCCAGCAAGATGGAGCGCCTGCTCATACCGCAAAAATGGCTCAACAGTGGTGCAAGGACCACTTCCCCGCCTTCATACCAAAGGACGAATGGCCGGCTTCGTCGCCTGATCTGAACCCGCTCGACTACTCCGTATGGGGAGTTCTGCAGAATAAGGTCTCATCCAAATATCGAGGCCCTGAAGAAGTCGTTGTCTGAGGAATGGGACAAATTATCCGTCGAATACCTGCGTGCCACCATTGATGCCTTCCCTCGACGACTTCGTGCCGTGGTCGCTGCCAAAGGAGGTAGAATCGAATAATTTTTGTTGAATTATGATTTCAAGCGTTGAAATAAACTATCTGTTAAATTTCGTCTTAATCTCGCATCTACTTCTGGAGATAACGTCATCTACACTTGCACACGTAATTTTGGCGGACCCTGTATGCGGCTGTCCATATAAAACGTCGAAAAGGAGAGGATTTTTGTCATCTTTTCTCACTCTAGTATCGTAGTCTCTTCTAAAAATTATGGCTTAATTTTAATTTATTTCCTAGAGATTGAGTCACCCATATACAAAGTCAACATTTAGAGTCAGTGCTAGTCGCCCTCCAACCCACACATCTGAATGGTTATCTGATATTTCTTCCCACAAGTTCAACATCAGCAACTGACATTAAAATGGCTCTACTCCGAAACTTGATACCAGAGTTTTGGAGTTGACTCGTTGAAGCATATATCAACATCAAGATCGCCACCCTGAGTACCGTATCCATGAGATGCAGAATCCGAATTTTGTGCGAAACGACGGAAGATAGCTTCAGTTCTGCTCAACACTTCATACGTCGATTGGGTGCATCTTGAATAGTTTACTTAATAATTGAAAGAAAAGAACCAAAGGTAGTGATGCGAATCGGACAAACCTGAAAAGTAAGCTTACAGAAGCTGCTGAAAACGCGGTGAAACAACACACAGCAAAAATTCTACTTATCATATATAGGGAAGATAGGAAAATTTAATGAGGAATGAAGAAGAAACGACAAAAAAGGAAACGAATTGTTAATGTAGAACACAGTTATGAACTAATAAAACAATTTTCAGTTCAGAAAAACAAAACAGATTTTCTGAACATTTCCAAAAACCTACGCTACAATTGCGAAATAAAAATATGGCAGATATTATTGTCATTTAAAAACATCAATGTCTAGGAAGGGGGCATGACATAAATAGTGGGCAATTTTTTGGTTGAGATGAAGTATTGACATTTCAAGCCAATGAATCGAGTTTTGGAGCATGGTTCATATGTGTTGCCCTGGGGATAAAAACTGACGGCGAATCGTTTGCAATATGTTTCATTTCACTTTTCTCATTATAAAAACGGAAAAATTACAAAAATAAAAAGTTCAAAAAACAGTTTTTTCCTTCAAGAAAAAGAAATTTAATTACTTTTATTTCCTGAAGCTTTTTTGACGAGAAAGTTGCCAACAACTTTGGTTTCCGGTGCCCAGTCAGAAAGTCACTTTTACAATTTACTAGGGGCTCCGTTTGTTCTTCGTGTCCGTTATAGTTATTTTCGTTTTGTTTTTCTGAAATTACGTATCTATAAATTACATATTCGTCTTCTTCTCCACCAGCCACACAATTTTTTCGTCTTCTTCTCCACCAGCCACACATTTCGTCTTCTTCTCCACCAGCCACACATGGTCTACGGGTGCAATATCCAATCCGGACCCCGTCGTTGTCTCCTCTCGACTCATTCGTTATACGATAGCTCTTCAAAGATACCAACTACATGAAATAGTTCAATGGATCCAAGAAGTCGTCCAGCCGCCCAGCCAAGTCCTTCCAGCCCAATCAGTCGTCCAATTCTTCCATCTTGGCCCCTTCGTTCTATGATATTCCACTGAATGGATCTGCAAAGAAGTATGTGAAGATATTCGCAGGTTCCAAGATCAACACGCAAAACAAAGAGATCCTTCAGATTGGCGACATCCAGAGCAGCGAGTACCAAGCTTTACAAGCAAATATTGGAAATGTTTGGTTCGGTGGATCGATGCAAGCAGTAACGGCGTTCAATCAACGTAAGTTTTTACGCGATTATCATTCAATGTAGATTTTGTTTTCAGTAACACCTTGTCGTTATGATTCTTGGCCAATGATAGTCAGAGCTCCCATGCAGGCGGACTCCGCGCAGGAGCCGACATTGAGACAAATTAACGATTATTTTAATTTAATGAGTTTAAATTAACTATTTCTAGGACTGTCTTTTATCTGCCATTATATCGTATTGTTCGTTTTTTTCTTACAATAATATCCTTTCTTTTACACTAATCAAAGTTTTAGTTATGCCCGGCGATTGCTATCACATTAAAATATACAAGGATCTAGTCTTCGAGAATCTAAGTGAAATTCTCGGGAAGTGGGAATCCTGGCGCATTGGAAGGTTTTTATTTTATTTTCAAAATGTTACATATAATGATACCAGCCTACTGGCTGCTGCGCCTTCGGCGCAATTCAACATTTTTAATTGTTCGTCGCTCCACCCCTCACTTTTTGATTTTTCTTTCCCACACTGTAGAATATCTACGTCCTCCCTCTCCTCTTTCGGTGTTGCCCTCATAGCGCAGCTGTGTGCGTGCGCAGCCATTGTACAGAAGGTAGCGGGTTCAGCTTTTGTTGCGGCCGAACTCTTATTCAAAAACCCAAAAGTTGACAGAGTGACACCGGGACAGACAGACGTGTCTAGCGTTTTATATATAAGGAAGATACTCTACTTCCTCCTTGATGATTAGGCGCTTTCAAGTCTTCATATCAGAAATTTTTTTCATCTTTCGAATAAGTTAATCATATTCTTTTTTTTTCTCTCGATTGTTTCCTTCTATTTGTTTTGTCGATTTTGTGATATAATGTTCTATATGATAGGCATGAAAAAGCAATCATCCCCCAGGAAGCTAGTTTATGACTTTATGGTCATACTTGTCCCCCTCTCTACTCGGAAGCAATTAGACTTTTACCAATCTGTCTTTATGATGTGAAAGTGTATTTTTCCTGATAGCGCTTCTAATCTCAACAAGGGTACTCTCAAAAACCTAAAGTGTTCGGATATTTTGGACTAAATGTTCCTCTACCGACCGAGCTCAATTTAGGCGGAATACACCTCACACTAATTTAAAAACATCAGATTCTATGTTAAATAAAATGTAGAGTTTGTAGAACAAAAACAAGTTTTTCTCATCTAGAGATGATTAGCAAACTACGCAATAGACTTGGGTCTCAAGTGACCGGAGATTTCAGTGGGTCTTGCTCATTTCCGAAAGCTCGTCAAGTTTGATATTGATGTATTTTTAAAAAGGCAATTTTGAGTCTGTTATGAGACTTACCCGTCATCTTGCATCACTATTCACCATCCACATTTGTTCTAATAGATTTTCAATAAAAATCGTATTTTCCCCTCCTGTTAAACCAACGTGACTCATAAATACGCTAAAATTGCTTTCCCAGGTATCAAAATGAAACCCAAGTGCAACAGCATTCATCCAATGAAAGAAAACGAAAAGCCAAACATAGATGCCAAACTGGAAGAATTTTCCGATGACGATGATGATAGCCTTATGGACGTCACTCTTCCAATGAACAAGAAATGTTATGTTATCTATGTCATTGCCTTCATTTCGTTCGCCTGTTTCATCGTTGTTATCGTCGTGCTGAAGGAAGAGTTGGGTCACCCAAATCATATTCAAAACTAAATTGTTTTTTCCGAATTTGAATTGTAATTATATGGAAAGAATAAAGTTTTTAAGCAATACATGTGTTTGAACACATGAATTAGAGAAGAACTGGAGCACATGTTGAAGTTTCAAAACAGCATGTCTGACATTGGACACGAAATGTTCATTAGGTTTTGAGATTTTTGAAAGTGAGCTCTTTCTGTTTTTCCAAAAGTTGGCATGGAAACGGAAGTAGAACGGAAGTAGGTCTTCAATTTTGTTCCGCTTATTTAGGTAGGAGCCTAGATAGGAGTCAAAAATTTCCTAATTCATGCTCTCCCTCGGTTTGACGTTCGTACAGCTGATGTAGGTTTGTACCATTCTGACTATACAATCAAGCTATATAATCTCGTGTACGATTCGGAAGACTGCATTCATATAGTAGTATTTTTCAGTGCTCTCATTTTGATTTTATCAGTCTTATCATAGTTTCATTCTCATGAAAAGTTTTGTTTCCAGATAGGTAAAGGCAACCGTCGGCGAAATATGCTACAGCTTCGATCTGATGAGAAACCGAAGAAACCTGTGCCACTCATAAGGAAAGAACCGTTCCAGTACGAATTTGGCCTACTTGGTTATGTGGCTGTCACTGGCGTTATCATCTTCTTTGCCACGATTCTTTTCCAAACAAGTTTTGTGCAGAACTTCTTGAACAATGCTTCTGGAAGCGCTGATGGAGATCGTCCTAAAATTCTTCAGAGACTACTCGTTTCCCGTAGCTCATACAACAATAACCCAAGGGACCTATGGCATGCCAATTTTCTCTGAAGCTTCCAAAAAAGATGTAATCCCATATTCATCACGTCTTGAAGTGTCTATAAACGAATTTCGAATGCACAGATTTTTTATTCTTCAGAATGCACAAAACTTTTGTTCACATTCCTCGGCGAAACCTTGAACCCTTTCCAGCTAATTTGCTTTCCACACGCGGACTTAGGGGTAAAATCATATCAGTGAAAAATTTGTGAAGAAGTAGATAACAGAGGGTTTCGTTTTTTTTTCATCACGAATCTGGGACTCTACCCTTTGCACACTCTGTATAACTCTTCAGCACGTTTTTCACCTGTCAGGAGCATTGAGTGTTGAGAAGAAGACGGCGGCGCCTAGCTTAACACAAGTCAGGTGGCGTTATCAAAGGAGCAGGTTTAATATTAGTGACGCAGACATTTTTGGAGGGAATTTGAATTTGAATTTCGATTATTTGGGGATTTCATCTTCAAATGAGGGTTCCAATTGAAAATAAAGCAAAAAGTGAAGTGCGAGAGCCGAATGTTCCTTTTATTTCAGTAGTATTAATTAAACCCTGGATTTTGAAAGTTTTTAAGTACTAAGAAGTCACAAATGGTTGGCTTATGGTTGACTTCCAAGTGTCAACATATAATGATTTCAATCTAGACAATAAAATAATTTTTTTTTAAGTTGTCTCTCGTGTTTACGAGCAGTCAGCATTGTAACCAACCTAAATTTCAGCCTAGTTCTTTCGTTTTGTTCTTCTCAACATTCTAAATACATGCTTTCAGTTCTAAAAGGAAAAAAAAAACAAATGGGATGTACTTGAACTCCATTTTATCCTGACTTGTCCCGTTTTAAGAGTTTGAACATTAAATGTGCCGATTGTTAGAAACAATCGAAAACGGTGCTGGACTTGTCGATAAGAACCAACGTTAGTTTTTTTGACAGTTCTAATCCGATTTTCCAATTTTTTTTTTCATTTTTTGGTTCACGATTCAAGGCCTCATCACCACAGTGCTCATTGATTTAGAAAGAAACACAATGTGACAACGGTTCTGCTTTTTTTTAGTTCCTGATTCATTTGCTTTGCTGTTGCTCAATATTCGAATGAGCTCCACATCTGTTGTTCAGACAATGCTTAATTTTTTTCCAAGAAAGTAGAACTTTGCCGCTTCAAGCTCATCACGGAGAGGTCATGTGTTGTCTATACGTTTCAAAAACGCAGTTGTTCATTTATTGAGAACAGACGTGCACATTACAACCTGATCTTCGTAGACGAACTAGAGCTGCCCATATTTTTTGAAGTCGAGGAAAAGTCGTGCACTTGTTAATCGTACTTTTTGTGAAAATCACAAGTTGAAAAAAAGTTTATAAATGTTTCTCTTGTTTGTTTCTGTTTGTTTCGACTTTTTATAGCTACACAATCTGAATTCAGATCGAGTTCAGCAATGAGAAGTCTTATTCTCAACATGCTCTTCATTTTCCTTTGGATCATCCCCATTTGTGGAGGGAACTACCAATTCACGGAGACTAAACCGACTTGGAGAAAGAACGGGACCCCAGACATCACTAACTTGACCTACAGTGCCACATTATCGTGTTCGTTGAACGTCACCTGGTGTTACAGTGCCGCCTACAGAGAACACGATTTTTTGTATGTTTGATTTTTTAGAGAACTGCTCAATAAAATATTTTTCAGCTCCCAAGACGAAGTTTTACACATTCAGGAATTCAGTTGTGGCAATGAATCAACGAAGAACCACACAGCAGCGTTTCAGATCACTGGTGGAGATGGACTCAGTTTTCAAGTGAAAAAATGATCAAATTCAAATTTCTTATTTCTCCAGTATTTTAGAAAACCTACGATATGGAAGTGTATATGTTCCACAACTGCACTAAAACAACCAAAACAGTGAAAACTTGGCGTGGCTTCCCTGTCATCCACCATGTACAGAAGTAAGTTTTAGAAAACAAAGAAACTGGAAAAAAGAGTTAACTCTTCTAGAACTGGTGGCGGAACATACAAGATTGATCTCACTGATGACGGAACTTCATTGTTTTTCCTGGGAGTTGGTATGCAACGTGTGAAAAAGCATCGGCATGAGGTTTACACATGGCTTATGAATCAGAAGATTGGAGAAAGGAACGAAAACGGCCAGAAGGTTTTTTACAACATTGCCGAGGAAGAGAGGAAAAAGAAAAATTTTGCCGTTGCGATGGAAGCCGCGGCCAGAATCGCTGTGAAAACCGCTCTTGAATCTGGAAAAAAAGCTGATCATCGTGCAGCTATTCAAGTTGCTGCCAAAGCTGCAGTCAAAGCCGCGTTGGAAGCGGAAGAGCTGCTAGCCATCTCCAAAACAACCGGAATTTCAAAAATTGCTAGCGAAGCCAGTGGAGAACAAATCGTCGAAGGCAGCGGATCCGATTGTGAAGGAAGTGGCATTCTGTTGGAAACCAAAGCGGTTACAACTGCAGAAGAATACCGGAAGCTGTACGGAGATCCACCAAAGGGGATGTTTGATACCAATTAGGTTGAATTGAGCTGAAGAGGAGGACCTCAAATTTTTTATTGCTATTTCTTTTTTCTATTTTTGTCTGACACGATTTTCGAAAATTTTCGTTGTGCTGTTCCTTGAAAAAAAATCTACCACTGAAATATCATTTCTTCGTTTGCCGTTTCATGATTTTTTTTTGTTTTTCACAACCTTGACCCCCCCCCCTCCTCCTTTTTTAAATAAAACACTTCGAATCTTATCGAAAAGGTGTTAAACTCTTGTTTAACCGAACTACAAAAGCTGAATCTCAATTTCAGCTTGCAGAGAGCTAGAAAGTATTTCTGATACTTATGGCTCCCCCTGTGTAACATTTGTGTAAAAATATTTCGGAACAATGCTTAAAGCAAATCGTTTATTTATAAAAAAAAAGCTTTTGCGAGATTAATAGTTTGATTCGAAGCGATACAGCAAGTTTGAAGCAATGTTGATGTACGTTTCCGTTAACGTGTAAAACGAATAGCATTAGTGCAGCTGTGCCTATCAAAGTAAGCGTTGAGATCCTGAAAAAAACAATTTTTCAGTAAAATTTTGGAATACTCAGTTTTTACATCTCTTAGTTTGTTCGCTTCAGCATCCCCGCACTGTTCTCTAACCTCAGGCAATATGTCTCGATCATAGGGAAAGCCAATTAAACTGCATTTAATTACTTGGTCCTTCTGAAATTAGATATCACTTGCCAATACTGTTTTGCAGAAAGACTCACTACTGGGTTCGGATCAAGTTGCTCTGACTCATGCTTCAGCCGTTCTGCCAATTGTGATACCTTGTCACTCGTTGTTGTAAGTTTGTCGAAGCAAGATTTCTCCAAGACCTGGGGCATTGTTGGTGGTACATATTCAGCTGTGACCGTAGATGAAGAAACTGAAGTAGAAGTTGAAGATGATTCTTGATTGGTGGAATTTCCAGTATTTCCGGATTGTTGACTGCCGGAATTTTCAGTATTTCCGGATCGTTGACCTCCGGCAGTTCCATTATTTTCAGATCCTTGATTGTTGGAAGCTTCAGTACTTCCGGATTGTTGATCTTCGGAATTTCCAGTATTTCCAGATCCTTGACTGTTGGAAGTTCCAGTATCTCCAGATCCTGGATTGTTGGAAGTTCCAGTATTTTCGGATGGTTGATTGTTGGTATCTTGCTGGTCAGTAATTTTGGATTCATCCTGAACAGGCATTCTCGGCATCTTCCTTCCGTCGTCTTCCTTGAAAAATGGTGCGGAGTAGACCGAAACAAGGCATAACGCCAGAATAATGCTTGTTTTGGAAACCATCTTATCGAGGTGGTACGTTTCGTTCGTTCGGCACGATTTTATACTGAAAGAAAACCAATAAAAACATTTCAGCGTTCTGATATCATTCGTATTGTTTTGATTATTTTGATTGTTTTCTGCGGTATGTCTCACAAAAAAACGATTGTTTGCTTTGTAGTTGAGCGTCAAAAAAGAACCCTTTTTTATAGATTTAATTAATTTTTTCTAGATAGGTTTCAATTCTTCCAATAAAATATTATATTGGTTATTGTTGTTTGATGCCATTTTAATTTGTGAGAATTTTTCATTATTCCCTCTGATAAATTGCTTGTGTATTCTGGGAACACCGATTTTTCCGAAAAGAAATGTTGATTCGATATGTGCGTTATGGATAGAAAAGCAATCCAATTGCAGAAAAAAAAAAATACTTGAACCACATCAAATTGTTCGTTTTCCACAAAATTTATAATATAAGAATGAGGTGATGTGCAATTTAGAAATGGAGATAATGTTAAAATTGGAATACCGTAAAAACTGTAATATAACGCCACCTGTATTAGAAAATCCCCTCTAATACAACGCCACCCGTATGAGGTTGTTGGAGGTATCAAAACAAAGTTTTTATGCTTGATTAACACCGTAATAGTGAAATCTAAAAATTTCGCACCTTTTTTCATTTTGGTACCATGTTAAATCAGTAAAAAATCAATTTTTGTTACCTCGCATCAACCCAAAACAACCCTTTGAAAGATAAAACGTCATGGCGCTATATTACAGGATTTACTGTATATGGTTTTTCATTTTGCAATGTTGCAAAATTAACTAAGTTCACCAAAGAAGCTGAAAATGATGACTAAACCCAATGAAGTGATGCGTGTATTGTCAGAAAATGAAGCTCGAGACAGCGAATAAAATTTCAAACTGGCAATAAAACTGATTCCTCTGTTTTTTTTCAGAAATTCTACACTGGATCCAACGTTGCCAAATTCAGTGAGTACCCTAACAAGAATAGCTCCACTGGGCACCGTTGGAAACATGTTGGAAGCATCGCGAAGGAAGTGAGGAAGACAGCAAGGCCTTGGATGTAAGCGAGAAACTTGATGGAAGTGGTAATGTCGAGGGAAGAACATGTTCAAAACAATCAGCGACATGCTATCTTTGGATCTTTTTTTGGAGCTAATATTTTTGCTTTTCGGCATTTCTAACCTGCTCACTTTTGTTGGATTCAACTATCCATTGCACTTTCTTCCCCTGGGTCCTGCCATGGTCGGACTCTTCCCCAAGGATCCAAGGTCCTCTCGGCATTCTGAATCTCCAACACCATTGGTGGTTCCGTCTTCGGAGTCGTCAGAAGCCTCCACTTCTAGGTGGCCTAGGAGAGGACACTGCTTGTAATCTCCTCTGGATGTACAACACATCGAGAATTCCCACTCTTACCAAAATTTTTTCTTTTCCTTCTCCCGAGTTGGCAAGTAATTTCTCTCATCACCCGATCTATTCTCAGACAGATTATTTCAGAATATGTTACGAAAGCTTCGAGCAGCTCCTTTTGCCAAATAATATGACTAGAATCATCATGCATAAATTAAATTCTGAGTTGAGTATTTGCTTAAACTTGATAAGTTAACAAAAATGTTCATAGTTGATGTTTAAAATTTTGCTAGTTCTTGATTCCTTTCTTGGGAACCGTTAGTAGAAGTGACATCGAGCACAGCGCTGAATCTATTTTGAATCATTGGACCCAATATTCAAAACCCTATCCTTCGTCTTATGCGTCAGGAAACTATTGGTGAGCCTTTTTTTACGATATATCCTCTAGAGCATTTTTTTTTGTTGCCTAATTTATTGGAATTATTCAGTCTCAAAAAAAAATCAGATTCTGGATAACCAAATGTATAATCTTTAGACATCTGGGCTCATACTCTTTGGAATCCCAGTGACCAGTGACGAAATACTAAAATCATGAATGCAACGAACGGAAATGAAACTAGCAGAATCCATCCATTAGACGCTTAATAACGAGCTCAACCGATTGTGCCATAAATTTTGGAGAAGGCAAGAACCAAAATTATTAACTATAGATAACTATTGCTATTGTAAATTCAAAAAAAAAGCAGGCAAACAACCAGTAGACATTTGAATTTTTACTGATATTAACAAGATAATGTGTTTCATTTAAATAAATATTTCAAAGCCTGTTTTTTCATTGTTCTCCAGAATCTCAAATTCTACTTTCATTGGATAACCTAAAATGGCCATCCTAGGTGCTATAATTTTATTTTTGGTTGATTTCTTGCAATTTTAACCATTTTCATGAGTCTGGAGCTCGATTGTTAAGTTTCCGATTGCTTTGGAAATTTTGGAGGGTGTAACACAGTTTTAGGTTAAAACCATACTTGTGGAAAAGATGGCCGGGCCGGGCCATAGCCGGGCTGAGATTTTTCTGAAAGCGGGCCAGGCCGGGCCGTAAAAAATTACACATGGCCGGCTCGCGGGCCGGCCCGGTTTTTGAAAATTTCGAAATTTTAGAGCAAATCATCATTTTTCAAGATGGCTTTTCTCTTTGATAAATAAAAATCCACGCTAGAGGACGATTCTGTCGAAAAAAAACTGTTTTGAGGTAGTTTTTAGAACAAAATTTCATCCTTGACTTAATGAAGTTTGATTTTTTTGCTAAAAATTCAATTAAATTGATTTTTTCGGATGGTTGTATGCATTTGGATTAATATGTGTGCTATTAAAAATTAATTAGCACATTTGAAAAGTAACGTTTTCGAAAAGTTGTCCTAGGCGGGCCGAGGGTTTTGAAGCAAGCGGGCCGGCCCGGCCAAAAACTTTGAAATTGCAACATTTTTTTGAAATACCTGTTTTTTTAGCTAGCAACATTCTAAAAGTTTTGTGAATTTTAAAATTTCAATATAGACTTGTTCGAATCCTTCAAAAATTTCAAAGTAATCGGAAATTTGACAACCAATTTCCAGACTTTGACCGAAAATCATTAAAAAAGTAGTCGCCTCCTCTGTGAGAAAAATTTGATCACGTATTTTGGCAAAATTGAAAAAAAAACGTATGCACCAGCCTAATAGATACAAACAAAAGTTTTCAAATTGTTAGTAATATTATAAAAGAGCGAAACGCAATGAAGTACTATTGGTATTTATTGAAGAAGTCAGCTGAGCTGCAGTGAATCATCAGGTAAGTTTTTTTTGTCGAGTCTGAAAAAACCATTTCGACTACCGGTTACAGGAGTTCGTGAAGTTTAACACGCCATCAGTAAACCATATATCAGACAGCAACGTTTCAGTCATCTCAAGGAGATCTTTTAAAAGCTGTCACCAAAAAAACAAAAGTGGTTCTTAAAATCGATCACCATGTTTTTGTTCCAGAAATTTGCAGATGCACAATTATGAAAAGCAGGTTGCCGGAAGTAACCTTTTAGGAATACTATCAGCTAGCTAAATTGTCATCATCGGAGCTATTATATATGACAAAACCGTTGAAGTCCGCCGGAGTATGTTATGTTGACGTGTTTTGAACATAAACAAGATTTTTCAGGTTAGTAAGTTCTACTTTTCAACTTTATTATCTTATAAAACATCATCTCCCTTATTGCAATAACTGCATCTAATTCTGAGTGATTCAAACAGTGTGCAAACAAAAAGGAGATGACATAGAATTGGGCGGAGCTTGCCTCGTGTTTTTTGGGATAGTCTTTATTCATGTCATTTGGATAGTTTCCTCGCTTTTAGAGCCTTTTCTCCATTTTTTAGAATTATTTTTTTCTGTTTTTGCAGAAGCCAATCGGATAAGGCAAGTTGTATGATGGACGCTACAAACAGTAACCCACCGCAGGTAAGCCGTTTTTTTTCCTAATATTATCTTTCCAGTTTGTTTCAGGTGGTAGCCATTCAAAAAAAATTCACCTGGACCACGGCTCAGAGAACCCGCCTTAGTGATGTTTATCAAACTTCTGCGTTCATCACTCAAAAAATGATCGATGAATTGGCAGCTGAACTGGGCGTGGAGAAAACGAAGGTATAAATAACACAACTCTGAACAAGTAACAAATAAATCGTTTCAGGTTGAGCTGTACTTCAACGGAAAACGCTGGTACGAGACAAAAAAAGTAAGTATGCTTCTTTTTTCAAATGAATATGCCAGTATTTAGGCCAATAAAGAACGCATGAGAAAGATCGCACGGGACCTTCCTGCAACTCAAGCTACAAATGTTGTCATCCCAGCTATCCCAGCGATGCCAATGGGAACGGCAAACAACGGACCACCGGTTAGTTCATTAAAGAAAAAGCTTACGATGAAAACGGTAAGTTTTCAGATTGCCGTTCATCCGGCGTTGGATGTTCCACACCATGGAACTCCGATTAACTGGGGGAACTATCAATGGGGTACCCCAGCTGCAATGCCAATGCAAAACCAGGTGAATATATTACCAACTGAGAACTTGGAAGACTAAATGGGTTTCAGCCAATGCTCGGCTTCGATCCACTTGGTTATGGTCACGCTCATGTTGGACTCTACAATGCCAACTACGCCAATGCTCCAGCATTTGCACCACCAGCTCAAAATGCCATGAATTGGAATCAGGGATTCGTCGGTTACCAGCACGGTTCCCAGCAACCGATCTACGCTGGGCAGGTAAATGATATCGGTTTTCGCTGGGTTCTAACACATTCTCTGAGAGAATTGAGATCGGGTCAATAGGCGATGGCAATGGCAAAATTCGAAATGGTCGTAGAAGTCTGAAATTGTATGTGGTGAGTATATGGGCTACTCTAAGACTTTTGACCATGGTACCCATAAGCCACGCCCTCTCCTACAGTAACCCTGAAGTAGAGAAAATTTCACTGTCATAATTTTTTTTTCATTTTTGAAAAATTTTCAAAAGTTTGTTACTGAACCAAGCCCCGATTATTCAATACTTTGGACTCACTTACACTATATTACCATAAGGTCATAAAACTACTTCAGGGTTACTGTAGAAAATTGATCTTAACACAAAAAATGGTCGCAATAGTACCAGATCTGAAATCTGAAACATTTGAGTCGATATCATTATTTTGAACAAAAATAATTATTCGGGGTTACGGTATTTTGGAGGGGGCGTAGCTTATGGGTACCCTAGTCAAAAGTCTTAGAGTAGCTCATATACCCACCACATACGATATCAGAGTTCTACGACCATTTTGAATTTTTCTATTGTCATGGTGTTTTCGAGTTTCTCAGAGATTGAGTCTTAATCGTGTGCATTCCGTTGGATAAACATTCGAACTTTCAGGTCAATGCACCATGTACTTGCTATTGCGATGGAATCTGTGGATTCTTTGGCAACAATCATTATTGCTATCATTGAACACCAAACGGATATGCTTGCTAACTAATTGAGTGTTGACGGTGAAAATAAAGTGTTGCCGTTCAAAATGTTTTTTGAACATTCATTCTTTTAAGGCGCATCTCTCAATGGGAGTTAGTTTCGCGGTTTTTCAATCCCAACAAATCTATCCAGCTCTTGTAAACACATACACAAAGATTGAACCCCAATCGGTCTGATTAAAAATTGACAATAGCAATTAGTCACATTTCCTTCTGCAAGAATCTACAGTATCCTGTTTTCCAATGTCTGGCACGCTCTCAGTCTTCCAAACTATCTTCCAAACGAACTTGCAAAATCTAAGGAATTTGGCTCCGCCCTTTTTTCTTGTTTGCACAATCAGAATGATTCAATGCCAGTTGGAGGAACTGTGGAAAAATTATGGGATGATTAATGACGAAATAGTGCATGGAAATGAGAGAGTGAGCTAGAGTTACCAATCAGGGTAATCAGTTAGTCATTTTCGTGAAAAAAGATTGTTTTGTATTCTGCAGAACTCGGCTTGGGGGACCAAATAATTCAAGACGATTTCATTCTCGGGGGATCAGTGAAAAGTGGATCGGACATTTCAATAGTTTCGGATAAATCTGCTGCCTGTCGTCCTCCGTAAAAACAGAAAATAATTGAAATTTTCTGAAGTTATTCTTTTGAAGTCCCAGAAAAACTTAAATATCTGTCTCTCCGTAAAAAAACTTCTGAATATTTGGGTTCCGCCCCCCCTCTTCCCTTCTTTGCAAGCTCTTAACTAGGTTGATTCAAGACCGTTTGGGCTAAATCTTTCTCTGATCGATAGCCATTTTCTCTGGCTAAGCGGTCATCAAAAATCGTCAAACGTTATACCGTTTGAACGAGATATGATAACGTACGTACAAGTGGATCCGATTTTTTTCGGGTTTTCCGGATTTTTCTGCCGAACAAGGGCTTAAATCAAAAATCCAGCTTCCCCATTTGATGCGTAATTTTGATAGCTACAATTTAAAAAAGAACTGAATTTGCTCGAAAATAAAAAGAGTTAATAGGTTTTTAGTGAAGAATTGATGAATTGTTTTGGGGCACATGTTACAGGGCCGAACGCCTTGTCTAGTCTGTTTCAAATCTTTTAAAGTTTTCAAAATGATCGGAAATTTGACAGCCTCCAGACTTTGACCAAAGTTCATTCGGAAAGTAGCAACCTCCGCCTTGAGAAAAATTTGATCAAGTATTTTGGCAAAAGCGAAAGAAACTTATGCATCAACCTAATAGATACGAACAAAAGTTTTCAAATTGTTAGTAATATTCTAATAGATCGAAAACCAATAAAATACTTTTCATCCCGAGGGGTCTTTCAGAAGGTACCAACAAAAAACCGAAAATGATTCTAAAAAATCGGTCACCATGTTTTTGTTATAGAAATTACCAGATGCGAAATTATCGAAAGCAAGTTGCGGAAGTAACATTTTAGGCATACTTGCTGGCTAAATTTACACTATCAGAGCTATTATACCGTAAACACTCTAATAGAACGCCCCCAGACCGTCAACTTTGAGCCTGTATATCTCTTTTCTTATGAAAGATATCAAAAAATCGTCAACTAAAAAAATGTTTATCAGAAAATTAAAAATATTTTTTAGTTGACCACTTTTTGATATCTTTGACAGGAACCACGATATACGGGGTCAAATTTAACGGTCCTGGGGGCGTTCTAGTAGAGTGATTACGGTATATGACAAAGAAAACCGTTGAAGTTCGCCGTAGTATGTTAGGTTGACGTGTTTTGCACAAAAACGAGATTTATCAAGTTACTAAGTGTCGTTGTTCTACTTTTCAACTGTATTCTCTCATAAAACATCTTCTCCCTTGGTCCAATAGCTGCATCTAATTCTGAGTGATTCAAACGTTGTGCAAACAGAAAGGAGATGACATGGGCGGAGCTTATCTCATGGTAGATTTTTGGGATAGTCTTTATTCATGTCATTTGGATAGTTTCCTCGCTTTAAGAGCCTTTCCACCATTTTTTAAAATTATTTTTTCTGTTTTTGCAGAAGCCAATCGGATAAGGCAAGTTGTATGATGGACGCTACAAACAGTAACCCATCACAGGTAAGCCTGTTTCTTCCTAATATTCTCTCTCCAAATTTTGTTTCAGGCGGTAGCCGTTCGAAAAAAAATTACCTGGACCAGAGCTCAAAAAACCCGCCTTTCTGAAGTTTTCCAGTCTTCAATGTTCATCACTCAAAGAATGATCAACGAATTGGCAGCTGAACTGGGCGTGAGCCAGATGAAGGTATAAATAACACATATCTGAACAAGTAAAAGATAAATCGTTTCAGGTTGAGATTTACTTCCGCGGAAAACGCAATACCTTGAAAGAAAAAGTAAGTGAACTTCTTTTTTCGAATGAATGGGTCAGTGTTTAGGCCAAGAAAGAACGCATGAGAAAGATCGCACGGGACCTTCCTGCAACTCAAGCTGCAAATGTTGTCATCCCAGCTATCCCAGCGATGCCAATGGAAACGGCAAACAACGGACCACCGGTAAGTTTATTACCAAACAATTTCTGATTAAAACGTGAAATTTTCAGATTGCCTTTCCTGCAACTCAAGCTACAAATGTTGTCATCCCAGCTATCCCAGCGATGCCAATGGAAACGGCAAACAACGGACCACCGGTAAGTTTATTACCAAACAATTTCTGATGAAAACGTGAAATTTTCAGATTGCCGTCAATCCAACGTTGAGTGTTCCACACCATAGCGCTCCGATGACCGGGGGGAACTATCAATGGGGTACCCCAGCTGCAATGCCAATGCAAAACCAGGTGAATATATTACCAACTGAGAACTTGGAAGACTAAATGGGTTTCAGGCAATGCTCGGCTTCGATCCACTCGGTTATGGTGACGCTCATGTTGGACTCTACAATGCCAACTACGCCAATGCTCCTTCGTATCCATCAGCTCAAAATGCCATGGATTGGAATCAGGGATACGTCGGGTACCAGAACAGTTACCAGCCACCGTTCTACGCTGGACAGGTAAATGATATCGGTTTTCGCTGGGTTCTAACTTATTCAGACACATTCTCTGAGAGAATTGAGATCGGGTTAATAGGCGATGGCAATTGAAAAATTCAAAATGGTCGTAGAAGTCTGATATTGTATGTGGTGGGTATATGTGCTACTCTAAGACTTTCGACCATGTTACCTATAGGCCACGCCCCCTCCTGGTTGCGTTGACATACCGTAACCCAGAAAAAATTTCTTCAAAATAATGATATCGTTTCAAATGTTTCAGATTTGAGTTTCTGGTACTATTATGACCATTTTTCGTGTTGGGTCCAATTTTCTACAGTAACCCTGAAGTTGAGAAAATTTCACTTATTTGAATTTTTTCACTTTTTCGGAAAATTTTCAAAAGTTTTCTATTGGTTACTGAATGAAATCCCGATTATTCGATACTTTGAACATACTTACACTATATTACCATAAGGTCATAAAACTACTTCAGGGTTACTGTAGAAAATTGGTCTCAACACATTAAATGGTCGTAATAGTACCAGAAACTGAAATCTGAAACATTTGAGTCAATATCATTATTTTGAACAAAAATGATTATTCGGGGTTACGGTATTTTTCGCGCCCAGGAGGGGGCGTAGCTTATGGGTACCCTAGTCAAAAGTCTTAGAGTAGCGCATATACCCACCACATACGATATCAGAGTTCTACGACCATTTTGAATTTTTCTATTGTCATGGTGTTTTCGAGTTTCTCAGAGATTGAGTCTTAATCGTGTGCATTCCGTTGGATAAACATTCGAACTTTCAGGTCAATCCACCAGGTACTTGCTATTGCGATGGAATCTGTGGATTCTTTGGCAACAATCATTATTTCTATCATTGAACACCAAACGGATATGCTTGCTAACTAATTGAGTGTTGACGGTGAAAATAAACTGTTGCTGTCCAAAATTGTTGTTATGATTCAGTCTGTGAAAATACCGCCGGATAGCGCATCTCTCCATGGAAGCTCAGATATCCAACTCTGGTAAACACAATCCAGAAAGAATCAGTCCCAATCTATTGTCCACCTCTCTCATCGGAACTAGAAAATAGCATTCCGTCACATTTTTCTTCTGCAAGGACCTACAGTATCCTTTTTTCAATGTCTTGCACGCTTACATTTTTCCAAACTATCTTTCAAACGGTCTTGCAAAAACTAAGGAAAATCTCCCATCTTTTTCGTCTCCACCCCTTTTTCTTGTTTGCACAATCAAAATGATTCAGTGACAATTGGAGGAACTGTGGAAAAAATTATGGGATGATTAATGGCGAAATAGTGCATAGAAGTGAGAGAGTGCAGTAGAGAGAGTATCCTGATTGATACCAGTTAGTCATTTTTCGTGGGGGAGAAGATTGACAAAGAATTTTGTGTATTCTACGGAATTCGGCTTGGGGGACCGAGGTAATTTAAGACGATATCATTTGAGGGGAATCCGTGAAAATGGGATGGGAAGTAAGTGTAGGGGAAAAAATCATAACAGAAATAGAAGATATCGGAAGAGCCTCTCAACAGTGTTCCCGGGCTACGCTGGAGTCGGACAATCAAATGTTTTCGAATAACTTCAGAGAAATTCTTCAACGAATGATTATCCGAGTTTTTTAAAAATAACCTTACGAATCCAACAAAGAATCACTCAAGTTTTTGAACTTAGAATGTTTTTGACAATCGTCCTCCGTAAGTGTTGCTTCTAATTGTTGTAAAGACTGTTTTTCATGTAAAAAGTGTGTTTCTCTGTCGTTCGCTCTATTCAAAGGAGAGCAATCTTGTTCACCGGGATTCTCTAAACCCATTTTTTTAATCTCAGAAAAACTTGGATACCGTATTTCCTCTAATAGAAGCCCTAATAAGAGTCCACTTCGTGAGGTGCTTCGAAAAACGGAAGACCAGTCTCTAATAGAAGCCCATAGGCTTTAATGGGAGAAAATACGGTAATTCATGATTCCCGAATTTTTGGAACTGTGATATCAGAACTCGACAATTTCTCAATTTCTGAATTTTTTCATTTCTATATTTCGGAATTTCAGATTTTCAGAAATTCAGATATTTTTTCCGGGGTTTCAGAATTTCAGAATTTTGAATTTTGAGATTGTGGAATCTCAGAATTTTATAAATTCGGAATTTTGGAATTTAGAATTGCAGAATGAAATTTTTGAATTTTCGAAAACACTGAACTTCAGAACTCTTAACCTCCAAATTGTCAAATTTCTGAATTTTGGAATAAAAGTTTTTTTTGAAAATAAATGATTGAAAAACGGAAGCCCACCCTGAGAATGTGGTTGAGAAACTGAGGCCCATGGACTTCTATTAGAGGAAATACGGTATCTGATTCTTTGGATAAATAACTCTTTTCAAAATTTGGGAACCCGATTTTCAAAAACTTTTCATTCGAATAAGCTTGCTCAACGGTTACCCAATTTCGACTTTTTTCGGTAGTTTTAAGCAACAAGTTGATATGGTAAAATATAAGGTTTGTTACAAATTTTTGTCTTAAATAGCAGGGATTGTTGTTACCCAGACAGATGCAGATGCTGGAAAAATAGTGAAAACTAGCTTTAGATGCTTATTTGTTATTACAGCCAATTCATAACTTTTTCGCCCACTATTTCACTAATGGGAACAAGGAATTTCAAGCTCGAGACAATAGAGCGTGGTCCCCAAAAAACACAGTATCTCTTTGTTCTTCCATTAGAACATTCGAGAGCATAAATTTTCTCCAATTTTTGTCTTAGTCACATCGCCTCAGTGCTATTGGCCCTCTGGCACTCTCTCATTTAGTCATGCTTCCTAGCAACACGTCACCCCACTAAATCATCGTCGTCATGTCCTCGAACCCCATTCTTTTAGGAAACCATAATATGTAAATTAACAAAATGGAAGAGGAAAAATGAAGAAAAGGGACAATTTCGTGGTTGATGGGCTGATAAAGCTCGGATAGACCAGTTTTGGTATACAGTGAGAGAACAGTGATAAGTCCGAAACAGAACAAAGAGAAGAAACTTTAACAGGACGTGAAGAGTCCATTGAACGTGGAAAACTGATTTAGTTTTAGCCCACACTTTCAAGATTTCTCCTCATTTCCCTCCAATTCGTAGTTAGTTACCTACAGTCAGTACCTGTTTTGTTTTTATTATGCAACTCAAGCTTGAAAATCGAATATAATCATGACCTGCTCTACTAATTCTTGTTTTTGTTATTCTCTATATGCATTAGGGAATATGCTCAAATTGCCGTGCCAGGTAGCCTGCTACCCCGCCCACTAAGGTTTTGCATAAATTTGTGAATTCAAAACAAGACAGCTCATTAGCGAGCTTATAAGAGCTTTCTTTCCGTTTGGATTCAATCTGAAGTATTTCTAAGATAGTTTCAAATTTGCTATGAATATTTTCTCATCGTTGCTTAGTGTGCACGGCATTGGCAGTGACCTTAATAGAGAACAGTCAACTCATTAAGGCACTTCCAAGCCGTACACAAACATTGCAACGCAAATTATGTCTTTGTAACATTGAGCTTGATTATCTCGGTTCATTTGGGAGATATCGAAAATCTGTCAACTGATGAAAGGCTTTTCTTAATATCATCAGCATTTTTACAATTTACGAAATCTTCCTATCTCTCACAGAAATTGAAATAATTGAGCTCAAACTACAGTATTTAGGGTCACTGTATGCTTTTAACCAATTCCGCCAACTCAGTTTTTCTCCTATTTAATCATCACTTTCCATGTTCCCATCTTCTTCAATTTTACTTTTATCAAACCCTCTCTATATATTTCTCGATACCCGTTTCACTGAAACTTGAACACACACCCCGCGAGATATCAGAAACGCGCCACCGGTAGGAAGAGATCGTTTTGTATTTTTCTCTGCTTTTTTCAGGGGTCTCCGAGAAACGCACGCCCGTGTTGACGTCTCGTGTCTATCAACATTATTTCCAGAAATTCTAACTTGCATCATCGTCCGATTCTCTACTTGTGGCAAAACTCATATTGATGTCTTTTGTGTCTGCAAGTGAGAGAGACAACACTCTCTTTCTCTGGCTACCTCCACCAGTAAATTTGCGGTGTTTTTTTTCACCGATCTTATCAGGGTTTTTGAAAAGGGAAATGATGAATTGGTTATATGAACTGAAATGAACTACATGGAAAAAAGAAACAAAGTCAAATGGTCTTGTCAAGTTCTGGAAAATTTGAATTCAAAAGGACGTGAAATGGAATCAGAACTCATGTCGAAGGATATAATAATTCTCGGAACTCATGTTTCAGAAAAATAGTTACGAGTTTCACAACGTCCAATGTCTATCTTACAACGTTTACAAGACGCCATACATTACATTTAGGTTTTACAGAATCCGAAAAAAACGACTATTGAAAGAAAAATCTGAGAAGGAGGTCTAAAAACAATGTTCAGGAGGTCAACATGTTTTCAATTCTGATCAATTAAGTGTCGCAAGGCTTTGATAACTTGGATTTTTCATTCATTTTTACAGAACAATATTCCTTTATTATGAACACAAAGCTTTGAAAATGAGCTTTCTCGATGTGTTTTGAAGTTCGAGATGTCTTTGTTTGTAGAAGTTTGTCATCGCGTGGGAGTATTTTTTCTTATGTATTAAACCTGTCCGAAGTACAAACAACAAACATTCCATCTTGTTGTCTCAGACTGAGATATTATTTGTGAACAGATTCCTCGATTTTTTTCAACTTTGAACTCCCTCGCTCCTATAAATATGTGCTCCACATGGAACGCACAAACTATGTTCTCTGAAGTTCAGATTTTCCATCTATTTTCGAAGACCAGCATGAAGAGGAAATTGAAGGTATGTTTTGGACAGGTTCATTGATCTTTGCCCAGCAACGTTTTTCTTTTTTTTTATGTTCCAAAAAAAGTAAACCGAGAAGTTCTTATCAAGTAAAAGGAGACGAGATCTCTGGGCAACCATACGGAATAGAAAGTATCTTTTATATACGTCCTATTCAGTCTCTTTTGTTAGAATAGTTCAACCGTGAGAGTTTTTTTTGTGATTGATACCCGCTTTCCTTTTTGCCTTATCACATTTCTCTTCATGGTGTTCACGACGACCAAAACAACTAAACAACAGTTTATTTTTTTATTGCTAGTGGAGCAGGAATACATGAATTTTATGAATGATTTCAGTTTTTTCTACGATTCTGCTTGAATTTCTAGCTGTGACTGAGATTCCCATGTGGTGTTCTCTATTATTTTAGTTTTCCCATTCCACGTCATGCATTTTATATCAAAACCATGAGATAGAGTTCGGGGTGGGGTACAATAAAAGCACTTTTTTTCGCTAGAATTTTATGTCTTCGAAACCATTTTCTACAAACGCGCTGTTATGATTCTCCCCTCGTGATCAGTTTTTTCTTGCTTTTAAAATTTCTTCCGAAGTTTTGTAGAATAGAAATCAAAAAAATCTTTCAATATAGCAATAGATTAGTTACATATAGTTTCATAGAATAGTTTCCATACCATAAGTGTGTTTTCCAGAAAATGCTGGAAGTTAACGAGGTGATCGACAACAGATTCAAATTGTTGTCGAAACTCGGAGCTGGCGAGTTCGGCTCAGTATGGAAGGTGGAAGATGTTGAAGATGGAAAGGAAAAAGCTCTGAAGATGTGTCCTAAAGATGATCCATCGTATTTGAAAGAACTCAAGTTCTTGAATAATGCGAGTCATGTGAAAGGAGTCTCCAAATTGCTCTTCAACTTCCACTTTCAGAGATGGAGTTGCTTGGGTGAGTTGGTTTCGAAGGGTCCAGTTTTCAAGAACTATCTTCTAATTTCAGTGCTCTCACTTGAAGGTGAATCTTTCGACCAAATTATGCAGCGCAGCAAGAATCCAGGAGTTTCAACTGCGAATCTTCGACGTATAATGTACAATCTTGGCCAGACATTGGTGGAAATTCACAACCTTGGATTCATCCACAGAGATCTCCACGCCCAAAACATTTTGGTGACTGTGATGGGAGAGGTGAGCGATGTAAAGCAATACAGTAGGATTACTTCCTTTTTCAGATTTGCGCACTCAAAATCGTGGATTTTGGGGTGTGTCTTCGTTATCTCGATTACATTGGGAATGAACTGAACCAGGAGAACAACAACAATGTTAACTTTATCACCTCCCGCCATTCCAGTCTTCAGTCCATGCAGCACGGATACCATACACCGCAAGACGACTGGATTAGTCTCATTTACATTCTGATTCACTACAATGGTGTGCGCTTCCGAGATGACATTTTTGATATGATGGGAGACAAGATGAACTTTGTAAGTACACTTATTCGGTTGGATGAAAGTGAAACTATTGCATATTCAGGGCAACAACCCGCATTCTCTACTTCGCCCGGATCTTCATTGGCTTGCAGACTGTTACCAATTGCTTCAATTGCCAGAGGTCGACTTTCAAAAGGTCCTGGAAATAATTGATGGAGACGAATCGGATTTCGATGTCAAATCTCCAATTGAATTTGAGATGGTCGATGGGGTCATTAAATTCAATTAGTTCTAGTTTTTTCTAAGGATTTTTGGGTCTATTTTGAAGTTCTATCTTAGTATTATCCTGTATAATTCCCTCAAGTCTCTAATTTCTTCATTTTTATTCTTTGTCATAATTTGGGTTCTTTAATTTTTCTATCTTGGTCTATTATATATCTTATATATCGATGTTTCAAACAACCATTCCAATTATCTTGTTCTAGGGGAAACGAAGTTCTAATCTTTTTCATTCCATATTATTTTTTTCAATTTTTAATTTCAGGTGTAATAAATAAATAATAAAGTTCAAGATCAAATTTCTAATATAATGAAATCAGCTGCTAGCCTCAAGATGAGTGCACTCTCAGTCTGGACTTTTCTGTCTCTAGGTTTTACCTGATTCTGAGGTTTTTTTTGCAGTCGCAGTCTGGACTTTTCTGTCTCTAGGTTTTACCTGATTCTGAGGTTTTTTCTCAAAATGTTCTCCAACTATTAAAAAACAACCCATGTACACATTCACATTCATGGCTTTCTATTTTCTGTCAGCAACTATTTCCTGCTTCGATAGATTTTGGAAACCACCTCACGAAACTATGCTTCCAAGAACAGACATGCGTATTCTCTCTATTTCACTACTCTCTTCTTTATCTAGAGGGTTTCGGACCAAGCCCCGCCTTATTTTCCTGAGCTTTCTCCAAATTTTCTCGAAGCAGCTTTTCAGTTTACGAGCTCTCTTCTTCCTCTAAATATTCATTTTTCAATACACCTGCTATACTACTATGACTATTGGAAATGATGGTTGATATATGTATACAGAGTTTGTCGTTGCGTTTAATTAGGAACAGAACCAAATTAAGGCACGCCTAACTCTGTCTACATGTACTTTTACAAGAGTTAGACCAGTAAAATAGCATTGTAGTAGAATGTATCTTGCAGAGTTTTCATTTTAGGTAACATTCAAGCAGTCATGTTATTAAAAAGTTTCGCACGCACTAAAAGATTGAGAAGCGATTGGGCTTTTGCGGATAGTACAATACCAACTTGAAATGTCATCATCATAGCAGTTTTGCTCTGATAAAAAAATCTTCGTTTGACTTCTGCTACCTAAAAACCTTTTTACTCTGATTAAAGTAATTTCAAGATGTTTTTAATGTTTTGTTCGATGTTTTCTTCTAAGTAAGTTTGCCGAAATGAAGTTTTGAGGTAGTTTCAGTGACCGAAAATATGAGTTTATTTGTTTTTTTATTCAAAAGTTACGTGTGAAAAATATGGATTGAAGTTTCAAGAAAAACGGAAAAGAGATGAAAGGAGGCGGCATTCAAAATCAGATGGGAATAAAGTTGGTTTCACAAGGGAACCACAACACCTCACAACCCCAGATTTTGACGAAAATTTCAGGACAGGTTGGAAATCGCCTATCTAGGCATCTCTGAAAATTTTATAAACCGCCCACCAGTTTCAGCCGAGTTATTTCAGTTTCAGTATCAAAAATCGCTATTCCGTGAAAAATCAGAGTTTCCGAAGACGATTTTCTCATGTCCTGGGACGTTTCAAACCATGAATATATTGTGTTATACTTAAGATTTAATGAAATTTGATATTTCTAATAATTTCTCAGAATTTTTTTCAATTTTCGAAGAAGTCTGGAAAATCGTGAAAAAATTCAAAAATAAAAAAGTTTTTTGTTTTTGTGGAAATGTTTGAAATGTAAAATTTTATCAAATTCTGAATATAACACAACAAACTTCGTACTCTGAAACGTCCTAGAATTTGAGAAAATCTGCTTTTGCATAGAAAAGGCGATTGTTGGTACTTAAACTGATATAAGTCGGCTAAAACTGGCGGACGGATTCTAAAATTTTCCGAGATGTCTCGATAGGCGATATTCAACCTATCCTGAAGTTTTCGTCAAATTCTGAATTGACGAGGTGTTGTGGTTCCCTTGTTAGAAAAAAAGAGAAAAATTGGAAAAGTCATTTTTTTTCGTTAAAGGAACAAAACATACTCTGGGTGAATTCGAGATAAAATTACAGGGAACTCGCTCTGGAAAAATCCTCTTCTCCATGATTTTCATTCAAAAAAGATACCGCTTGTATTCTTGTAGCATGGCTCGACAGTTTCCCTGCAATAAGTCAGTTTAAATTTTTTGCCTCCAAAAATGTTTTTCAAAAAAATTTCTTACCCGAAATTCGGCTTCCGAATGTTCGGTATTGAAAACCGAAGACTTCCAGCCATGCCATGCAACCAAATACATTTCCTTACCGCCGACCGAACGATGGGACAAAATTTTACGAATGGTGTCCTCTGTAAGGTCTTTTGTCTTTTTGTTGTGAATCATGTAATTTTTACTTTCGTTTTTGTTCCGACGTTTGGCCTGGATTGTAGCTTTGTACTTTTGCAGGAGTTTCGTTCCATTGGAAGTGCGCTAAACTTTTGAACGTTTTCAGAAATGTTTTGACGAAAAATGTGGGAAAAAACTCACGTTTAGTTCATTCTCATCCATCATTTTAATATCCTCTCCGGCTACTACGACCTTGTAGCCTACATAGGGATATGGATATATGATGTGGCCGAGAATTGCCAGAAGTGTGCCTTTTTTCGGCTGCCGCAGATAGTACAATTGAAGCGTCGGTCTGAAACAGCACAGAATGAATGCAATATTCATAAAACTTCAGTTTACCTGGGGCGTGGAACTCTCATGGCGCAGATCTGGCTATGCTTTCTTGAATACATAACTTTGATGATGGGGGTGAAAAATAGGTTCACTGAAAAAAGTAATTAAAACCGATAGGTTAAAAGAATGTAAAGAATTAAATAAAATAGAGAAAAGAGAGGAACAGAGAAAATGGAAGATACACAGAGAGCTAGAGAAAATAAAGACGGGAAGAATAAGTTTCGTTGGAGCAATGTAAATTTTAACATTTAGTATTATAGCACAAGACGAAAAGATGGAGAAAAAATGAAAGAAAATGTATGTGAAAGTTATTAACTACCCACGGTACGTCCGGGGTATTAGGTTCCTGTGAATGAAATAGAAGAAAAACAACAAGATAAGTCACAATAACGATTTACTGAGAGGGTGAGAGAGAGAAACTGGGTAAAAATGAAACTAACAAGATTTAAAAGCTTAGACATTCAGCAAAACTACTTAATATCCTCAGAAGAGTCTCAAAATACGAGCCTAAGCAAAGCTGGTAATGACAACTCAATTCAAATTGAAAATCTGCGCGCGCAGAGCGGGATAGCGGAGTGTCGTTGTTTGGGAAGAGGGAACTTCGAAAAAGGGTTGGAGAGTAACTGCTCTGAGCAACTTATTACACAAATGTTCGTTAGGCACTGATAGAACGCTTAAAAGCTCTTATATGTTCAATAAAATCAGTTTTAAACCTATTTTCTCATTTTCCAAAAAAGGGGTTTCTCCACATAGCATAAAAAACTTAGATGAAATTTTGAAAACCCTTATTTTTTAATGAAAATAATAAACAGGGTCGGGGAAAGTATTAAAACTCCCGAGATAAATGAAGAACAAAAGAAAAGAAAACTGAGAAACCCTAACTAAAAAACTGCTCATCGCCAATTGTGGAAAGTGTGGAAAGGGTACAAACGTGAGATCGACCTCTCCCCCCGCACCGTTGGTTCCACAGATGCCGTTCCGCACGCATACCCCTCACACCGTCCGTCTTAATCTACTCGATGGGATTTGTAGCGTTACGTTCTCCCTTGTTGTCTCCCCTCCTCGATCTGCCCCTCGTTTTCTTACCGCACTAGACAATTAACCCCCCCCCCCCACTATGTTATTAGTGTGTTATTGATTTTTATGGTCCACTCAGCCATTCAAATGGCACTCTCGTCCCTCTTTTTTCGATTGTTTCCTTTTCTACTGCCCTTTTTTAGTGTAAAAAACTTCTGAATTTTCAGGATATTTACATAACAATGGAGCAGAAAGTTCAGGAGCAGTTGCAAAGGTTGTCCACGAGTCCTGCAAAGCCAGTCGGAGTAAAAGACTTTCAGTTTTTGAAAGTAGTGGGTATCGGAGGCTATGGAAAGGTGTGTTTGAGTTTGTAATTTGTTTTTATTAGGATATGCAGTCTATAGTGAGCAGAAACTGGATGGGTCCAACATCTATTATCATGACCCAAATACCCGTTAATCCGTGAAAACTAGTAAAATTGTAAAACGAGAGGGGAGAAGGGAAGATTACAAAAGTGAGTAGTGGAAAAAATGACCGTAAAAGAGTGATAATTTGTAAGAACCTCAAGGTCTTCATGGCCACTATTCAAAAAGAAAGCTATGGAATACTGTAGAATCTATTTTCGAAGAATTTTTTGACATAAATGACACAACTTCATACGGTTATTCGAAGAGAAGCAAACCAAAAAATTTCTGGTTTTTTTTCTTATACAGAGCGAAGCTAAATCAACAATTTGCTAAAAACCAAAACTGCTGAAGTTTTCTGGGCCATTTTCTAGTTTTTCTAGGCCACTTGCTACACTGTGCGAGATTCTTCCAGGAAACTCTATGTTCCTTCAATTATTGAGCCCACAAACCGCTCCAACATTAAATGAACATAACGTTTTCTGGAAGGGTCTTGTACGGACTAGTCAAATAACCTAGAAAGACTAGCCAAGAGCCTGATTCCCGCGGACGCAACAAAATGGCTGATTGTGCTTCAGTTTTCACAAGAAAAATACGAGAGAATTACTGGTTTGCTTCTCTCTGTTTAACCTCATCATTGGCCTTCGTTTCTAAAAAGACATATTAAGTTAAAGAATTGTTTTTTTTTCTGATTTAGGAATTGATGATTGGAGCTATTTAGCCCACTATTTTAGCTAAAAGGTGGGGGCCAGAAGTTTTTACGGAGGACTTTCGGGGCCAGAGTATGCATTCTACTGTCACCCAACGCTTAATGTCACTCTGCGTAGAGCGGTCCTCTTTATCCTTATATTTACCATCGGGTGCCCGCTCCACATTTGCCCGCGTGGCTCAGTCGATAGCGGCGCCCCACCTTCGATACTCGCCCCGACAAGTTCAACTCCTCGAGGGACACATTTAAACGAAATTTCGAGAACATTATTTTTTGAATGTTCCCCCACCTTTAAAGCCCACTATTTTTTTTGGGTCGAAAATAATAACTGTTTTCTAGGTCTACCAAGTACGCGAAAAATCCGGAAACCACGTCTATGCGCTGAAAATCATTCGCAAAACAGAACGTCCGATAGACGCGAAGCATCTGAAAGACGAGATTCGAGTACTCAAAACCGTCCATTCACCATTCTTGTGCCGCCTGCACACTTGTTTCGAGACCGAAGAAAAGGTTTACTTGGTGATGGAATTTCTACAAGGTGGAGAGCTGTACACACTTCTCAATAAACTCGGCAAAATGAGTGAAATCGCCGGAAAGTTCTACATAGCCGGCCTGGTTCTTGCACTGGAGCACCTCCATGATTGCCACGTCGTATACAGAGATCTCAAACCAGTGAATGTGATGCTGGATGGAAAAGGACAAGTTCGACTCACTGACTTTGGACTCAGCAAATTCAATTTTCCAAAAGGCGCACAGACTCGTACCTTCTGTGGAACACCTGAATATATGGCACCTGAAGTCATCAAACGAAAGCCTTACGATCACTCTGTAGATGTTTACTCGCTTGGGTGCGTGATCTACGACATGCTCACCGGAGGACCCCCGTTCCAAGGAAAAACTGAGAAAGAAACAACCCGGATGGCCCTTAAGGATCCGCTCTTACTGCCGAGCCATTTGTCCATTGAATGCCAAACAATTCTTATCTCGCTTATAAAACGCGATCCACAGAAAAGAATGGGACTCGAGGAGCTCAAGACCACTGCCTTCTTCCGTGGCACTGATTGGCAAAAAATGAAAGAACAAGGATACCTGCCCCCATATATTCCGAGTGTTCTCAATGACGAGGATGTGTCTAATTTCGAGCCATGTTTCACGGATATGCCCGCAGAGGAGTCCCCGGTAAAGAAGCCATCTGAGAAGGTCAAGAAGACAATTACGGAGAATGTATTCGCTGGATTCGACTCAGTTGCACAAAGTACCTCAAAGTTGGGAAAAGCCAGTAAACGGTGAGTGGTTCATGTTTTTTGGATTTTCAAAAGCTTATCTAGAAAAAAAATAAATCTTCTACATCTCCAAATTTACAGTATCTTTCAGGCTTGCGTTCAAAAATTTAACAAATGAAGCTGGTGATCAATAGATGTAATTATCGCCCTAAAATTGCCATCAAATGCCTTTGCCACGTGTCATTTTTCTATTTGTGTCATTATGATCATCGAACAAATCCGTGTTTTTCCTCTTTCTTACTGTTAGCAGTACTGTACAACAATCCAAACTTTTAACCCCATCTCTTTCACCCCAACTCTCGAATGTTTCCTTCTCATTTCACCTCTTATCCATTTCATAGCTTCTTTATTTGTAAAACATTCCCTCCTCTCTAGGAGTCTAAACTCATCTCACTGTTTATTTACAAAATGTGATTTTTCTTTATTAAACTTTCTCAAGGTCTCATCAAAATCACAGGATGAATTATTTTTACTTTACCAGTGGAATTATTGTATTGATACTAAGGCAGGCATTTAGAAAAGTGAAACAATTGATTGAACCGGGACATCAAAAAAACTCCAAATTAAGAAAAAAAAATAGAGTCCGAAATGGCTGTGTCTAAAGTATCAACCTGATCCAGAGATATACATGTTTTAATTCCTACCAGACTTGCCAGAAAGTGGAATTTTTATGCTCAAAAGTCGGAATCCTTGACACCACTGATCTTGACGAGCTGATTCTAATGTTTCAGTAAATGAATTTCTTACGTTTTCTTCCTGTCAGAGAGAATAATGTCTATCAAATTTCGTGTTTTTCAACTAGATTTCAAACATTTGCATTTTTTCATTTCAAAACGAAGATTCCAATACTTTCATAATCAGCTTTTCTCAATATTTCCCCACATTTTTTCTAGTTTCAAAATAGAAACTGTAAGACTCAAGTTGAAACCATTCTCATGGCATTAGAATACCATAGAATCTATGTCCCGAATCCCATCATTTTAATTGCGAAATTGCTCATTTTTGAAGTTTAACCACCTGTTGTTGCACTTTTTCGAGAGACCTTTTCAGAAATACCCATCTATTAACGACCCTCTTTTTTAGTACCATTTTTGAATAAGAGAAAACGAGTAATATGTAGACGCAGAGCGGCGCAGGTGCGGATTCATAATGTCATCACCTGTTAATAGTGCATTGTTTCGAAGACCCCGGGGTCGAAATATGGGCGGGATCTACAGTAAGAGCAATAAGTGGGCGTGGCCTACAGAAAAATCGAGAATAAAAGTCGCGTGATTTATCAAAAATCGTACATTCTCCTTCTTCCTCATCCCCAGCTGACCACTCCGAGCACTCTGTGAGCACCGACTGGTACACCATATTGGTGGCACCTGTTGGTAGTTCTTGTGGAGGTCTTGTGTTCAGCTCATCAGAAAGTCTGCCTCTGTCTTTCTTCATCAAACATGCATTCCGTTCTCTATCGGAATTGTTTATTTGAGTCTCCCATTTTTTCCCCAGTTGTCATCAATCAGCATGATCTACAAAAACCATTTAGAACAGTCGAAAAAACAAGACTGCATGACTCATTTTATTCTTACTTCCCCCTCTTTCTATCTGTTTCAAAAAATCCTTTTTTCTCCATCCATTTTCTTGATATTGAGGAGTCCTTAAAACAGTGTGCCATGCAGATAGTCTGAAAAAAAAGGCGTTGTGCTCAGAAATGATTTAGCTAATTTCGAACAGTCCCTCAAAAGTGGAGCGAGTAGAAGAACATTCTACGGAAACCAGAAAAAAACGACTTGTTATAGTTTCAAGAAATTTTCGATCAATCTTAGTGTATTCTAGCAACCTCAATCTCCCTCTGAATTCAATCCGTTCTACTTTCCCCGTTTTGAACTGCTTTTTTCCAGAATGGGTACTCTTAAATACCACGTCCTCATTCTTCTTGGCTTACTTGCCATGACATCATTTGCAACTATCACCAACAACATGACAGACCTCGAGAAACCACTCACCAACGAAACCAACGGCGACGGCGGCGGCGGCGACGGTGCAAATCGGACCCAAGTCCTGGTGAGAAGTTTTGATTTTTCAGATCAGAGTTTTTTGATAAAAAAAGATCAAAAAACCGTTTCAACTATATTTCCAACATAGAAAACTCTTTCCAGCGCGAAAAATGGATCAGAAAACTAAACTTGACTTCCGAAAGCCCAAATACCGATATGATGGACGACGATCCAGAACTCGACAAAGATCCCGCACTCGTCGAAGTCTCCTGTATTGTGTAAGTTTTTTTCAACATTTCCACGTTTTTCTAATTGATTTTATTTTCAGTGGATCCATCTGTGAGTTGAAGTCCAATCATTGGAATGGATCTGATTTCGAAAACTCGACGCTTTCATTCACCGCTCTCCATGGAAGTCACCTCTGGATGTACGAGACCGACAATAATACCATCTCTGGTGTGCCAAGATATGTGGGCAGATTCTACTACATCATAGGTGTCCAACGATCTTCTGGAGAATCCAAAGAATATCCGTTCGTCGTCAACGTGACAGAGATTACCATTCCCAACCACAAATTTTTGATTCTTCTGGCTCTCCCAACACCGTTCTACTTTACCGAGTTTCCCGAATACGTTGGCCAGTTTCTCAAAGATGTCGCCAGAGCTATCAACGCGTCTTATTCTGAACTTGCTGTGAAGAAGATCAAAGCTTTCAGGAACACCACTCTCATTATGTTCTACAACACAACTATTGCATCTCGTCGTTGCTTGAATCACGAAATCGACGCCATGACGGCAAAGATGGTGGACAAGAACGAAGTTCCAAATTCAGAATTTGTGAAAGCGATGGGACCTCGATATTCAATTCGTCATGTCTCTCTTGGACTGATCAAAAGTTGCCATGACAGTTTGGAGACTAGTCTATCAACCACTCCAGAAGTTTCCACGTCTACAGAAGTCCCATCGACCACTTCTCCAAGCACTGGATTCTCCTACTCTACTTTCGTTGACTTCGTCATTCTCGTGGCTGTCATTGCTTTCATCGTGGTCGCCTTTGAATGCTGGAAGTTTTGCTATAGATGCGGAAAGCCGATCAATCGTCAGGTGATGCGGATGTCTCAGCTCGTCGACCATAGCATCTTGGTAAGAATGTATCTGCTAATAATCTATGAATTCTTGCGTTTTTCCAGGAAATTGACAACCCAGCGTTTGCTATCAGCCAGAACGAACAAGCTCTTACCACTGACAATGGAGAACTACCAACGATGGAAAATACTACCGCCTGAAATGCGAGGACAAGATACTCTAATCGTAGTTTTTGAATATTCAACCTTATATGTAATCTCCGAATTTGATTTTCAATGTTTTATTGTTTTTTTTTTGTAATTTTTGAAACGTAATCTTGAACTTTGGCACAATTTGAATGAAATACTTACTCGCAGAGGCTTCCCTTGTTTTGAGTGATGCGGTTCTCACATCGTTCTTTCCCTCCGAAAGTTGTCTATACTGACCATTTTCAAGAAAAACCGCCTTGGTGAAGGCCTATTTCGCGTCATCATTTGAGCGAAATCGAAAGAAATGACTTCTATTCAACTTTTAGATAATTCTCAGATATCTGAATATTGTTGCCTCTTTCTAGAAATGAACGAAAACTTCTTAAAATCGTTCTCCCGAAAAAATGTTTTCTTCTCCTCGAGGACTACACGCGAAGTGGAAGAGGAAGCGCAACCACGTGACCATCCCTTCGTTTTTTGAGCGGTTTTTCAAAATATGGACGTCAGGATATTTATCGATGTTTCGTGGATTTCATGGTAAGTTTTCAATCCATTTTGATGAAAATTTTCTGAAATTCGACAAAGTTCTCATGGGTTTTATGCTGGGGTAGGAATAGTCGAACATAAACAGAACTTTGAATGATCAATGAAATATTTTTTCAGAATTCTCCAGCACGGGAGACTTTTGCTGAAATGAAGGAAATTAGATGGAAAAGAAAACAAGGATTCAGTTATCTGCTGGACAACGCTTTCACAAACCTAGCAGAACTAACGCTACCTCACGGACCACTCGATCATCTCACTACGGCTTTAATTTGGATTATTTGGTGAGTTTTAAGCTTTTATACGTTTTGTACCCCCCCCCCCCCTCTTTTTGATGGTCGTATAGGACCAGTGAGCATTAAAAAAACCCAAAAGTGCTAGAAACATCTCCAAAAAATCGTTGTGGATTCATATCTCAACACTCAAAGCTACAAAATATAGCATCAAACGATTAACTTGATCTTGATTTCCTTTTAAGAACTGCAAAAAATGAACGAAAAAGAAGCGGGCATTCTTAATTTCTGTTCCAGGACGAGACGAACACATCAGGCTTGTTTTTTAGCAAGTGATTCTTAATAAATACTTCTTAATTTTTCTGATTTCAGTCGTTTCTGTTCACACTTCCTTACTTCCTTAGTCCACTGGTCCGTTGTTGTTGTTGCTATATTGTAGTGCATGTTATTATCTTGCGGACCATCTTCTCTAGCGTTTGACCCACCGGCTGGCGGGAGACCCCTGTGTTAGGAGAGGGTGGCATTCTCGCCCGTTGCCTTACGTTAGTGTGTGCGTTTACAACTGCGCTCCACTAGACTGTGTAGTGGTCCTTTCTTTTTCTTCAATCAATCGGTAGTTGAGTTTTGTTGCGGTATTTTTATTTGAAAAAATCATTTATTTGACACGTTCTCATCGCTTTTCACTAAATTATTTGATACTAACTCTTTCTTGTTACAGGGATGACACCAGAAAATAAAAAATCGATTCTCCAACAGCACAAAACATCCGCCAACGGCAGAATCAAATCTTCAATCGTCACAAAAGCTATCGCACCAAATGCACCATCCGAAATTTTTCGTAAGGATGAAATTATTTCTCATGATGCGCCTACAAGTGATCCAATGATTTCGAAGCTTTCTGGCAGAGAGTTAAAGAAAATGATTAACAAAGAGCTATCCGATCATGGTCTTGGCAGTTTGAATATGATGAATGCTGGCGTGGGAGGAGAATTGAAAATGCGAATTCTCGAAAAACTGTTGGCAGTGTCTACGAATGTTGATAGGATACACTCTAGACCAAATTACGACAAGGATTGGAATGATTTGTCGGAAGAGTTGAAGGCGGAGTGCATGAAATGGATGTCATTCAGGACAAGGTAACTCTATTCAATCAAAAACTGGTAATGAAATGATATATTTCAGACTCCGTCTCCGACAAACTAGCAAAACCGAAAAGCAACTTGTGGATTCAGTCCCAATAAACTTCAAATTTGTGAAAGTTGATCAAAATGCCAGATATTGTTACGAGAAGTGCATCGAACTATCATTCCAAGACAATGTCAATCAAGAAACGTATCTCAAATATAAGGATCCATCTGATTTCATGAAAGATGGCGCTCCGTTGCTCGCCTATATTTTGAAGCATGGGAAAATCGACGAATTCGACTATGAGATCAGCGATGAGTTGAGCTGCATGACGTTAGAACTGTTGGAGAGGAAGAATATCAAATTTTGTATCAGGAAATTTTCACATATCGATATTAATAATTTCAAAGAAACTTTATTCATACTGGCGAACTGTGATGAGACTCTTGAAGAGATTGTGTTTGATCCGGAAAACGGCGAAGAAGAGGATTTCAAGAGATTGTTCATGCTACCCGCAGTAAGTTTTATTTTGATATATCAGAAGAAAACCTTTTGTCGCACGCAAGGCTGTGCAAATCGCACCCGTGACTATGTTGTTACGGACCAATCAGTCCGTAACCAGAAGCCACTAGGACCGCTGAGCCGCAATATTTTACCTATACCAAAAGATATCGCAATTATGATACTTTATCAAATTCCATGCATAGCACAGCAAGTTTTATGTTCTGAAACGTCTTAGAAGTTGAAAAATCGTATCTGAAAGTCTGAAATCTGCACTGAAAACGCGATTTTTGGTACTGAAACTAATATAACTCGGCTGAAACTAGCGAGCGTATTCTAAAATTTTTAGGATAATTTTTTTAATGTTTTGAATCCCCTAGTTTGGAAGACAGCCAAAACTTTACTCCATAAATTTTTTCAGTTCAACAAGGCCAAGTTTGTTCGAATGTGGACATTGAAGCATCCCTGGGTTGCATTGGCAACTCTTGAGGTAATCAATAAATTCAGAAAATAACAATTTAAAACTCCTTTCTTTTTCAGAGATACATTCATACTGACGCGGAAATCGGAACAGAATTTGAATTCAATGCCGATAAGATGACAATTGTTGATCTTGTAATAAAATATTTCGAAGATCGGATTGTGTGAGTTTCATTTCTTCTAATGTTCAAAACCCAACCTATCCAAATATATTTCAGATACCAGAATGGAGATTTCTTGATGAAAATCGGAATGAACGTGGCTGATAGAGCAATTCTGATAGACCATGAGTACACCGATAGTTTTAGCGAAGTGACATTCTATTTCACGGTGGTCTCTGCGGATTCTGTGAGACGCGTGGAAAGAATTCGAGCGGATTCGAGTTCTTCCGATGATCTCATCCCAGATTTTAAGCGAATATTCAAAGAAAGTTCTGATGACGAAATTTACAAACCGAACGTTTCCAATGTTTCCAATCGTAATTGATTTATAGCTCATTTTCATAGTCTGGCTTTGGTTAATGAATTGATATTCCTTTTTTGTTGTTAATTTTGATTGATTTTATGTGAGGATCGACTTGTGAAATTCAAGTGATTACATATATTTATTTTTTTATTTCAGGTTCTTTGGTGCCACAGTGTCAGCTGGTGCCACAGTGAACCATACAAATGTCCCAATTTAAGGAAATTTTCAAAATGAAGAATTCTTAGAGAATGGTGCTATTGAAAATTAAATAGGAACCCGGACCTTCGGAATTAGCCAGACTGATTTTTTTCATTTGAATCTTATTGTACAGTAACTATTGAAATTAAAGAACAACTAGTGAACCAGTTCACAAGTTCTCCCGAAGGTGTACAAATGGAGGAAAAAATTCAAATTTGATTTTGGACAAAAACCAATTAGAAACAGATGCTCTTTTCTGAGCAGCTGAAATCATTCTTCACAAAGAATTGAACATTGCTCTATAATTCTATTTAAGTATACATACAGAACCAGATTCGAATTTAAGGAATCGAAAATTTTCAAAACTTGACATTTTGATTCCAAAATTTCATAATCAAATTTTTAATAATTGTTTTTAAACTTTTTTACATGTTTTACTGCTCCACTTTTCACATTTGTCATAGTCATCACATTGCAACTCTTTATGTACTTGCCACATCTTGTTTCCTCTTTTGCGTGGGCAGCTCATTCTTCTCAAATAGGCGGAGTTTCATGCTGTATATAGAGAAATAATTGTGGGTTGATATGATAAACAACATGCGCCGCTCAAATCTCTAGAGTCACTTTCAGATTGCCTATCAACAGTTGAAGTTGACTTAATTATCGTTGCCTAGAAACGGAAAATAATATAATTTGAAATCTGTCGCTTATTTTCTTGTTTTTTTTTTCATTGATTCCTCATATAAATTGAACATTTTTAAAGCTGAAACATGGAGCGAAAAACAGAATAATGCATTTCTCTGTGCAGTATCAACACGGTAGTCATTATGGATCTAGCCAAGTTGCTCCCATTCAAGGAAAAGTGCGTTCTACCCGCTATTTCCAGATTTTTCAAACTCTTTTAGACTACTCTCAAATTAAACCTTTCATTTTAGGTACAAAATCCTTGCCAGCCACTTCACGCATAACGATCCAATGATCATCCGAACCAACGCGGTTCAATCCGCCGCAAAGAAATTTGATGTTGTTTTGAATGAACGCATCTGTCGCATACATCTCACCGTGTTGGACAACAAAAAAACGTTGGACTCTGATGCCAAGAAACATGATGGAAGCGGATATGTCGTGAGTTTCGCATCATTCTGAGTGTTACAAAAGGCATTTCTTCCAGGGCCTACTCATACACCAACGAGTACTACTATGGAATCAGTGATGTCTCCAAAATTGTTCCGGAAAGCGTATCACTTCTCCACTCATTGCGCACCTTTATGGCTGGTGATGTCGACACTATCACATTGTCCGCTGACATCTTTAACGATGATCAATCTGCAGTTACCAATGCTCAGGTCATCTCCCAGATTGGCAGATGCAAAACACTCCGCGTTGATGGTACTGTTGGAATCGGCACATCCAGCAGAGTCTTCTTAAACCAAGGATGCACTATCCTTCTGAATAAACTTCAGATTTCCGAAAAAATCAATATTCGTGATGTCTATCCAGACGCGTCAATCAATCTCTCGAAGGTACAGGGTGTCATAAGATTTTACTAACTGATTTTTTTCAGATTTCTCACATCCCATACACGGAATACTGCTTGTCCAGCGTGACTCCAATTAATCTACTAAACTGTGCCTCTAGAGAAACAAAGATTTGTGTCCCAGACTTCTCATTGTCTGATATCAATCTCTTCATGAAGGAATGGCTCCAATCACCAACCACCAACATTCACCGTCTTACTTTGAAAGTAAATAATGCGGAGGAGGAGAACATCGAGAAGATGTTTGAGGGATTGGCTCACCTTGGAATCAAAGCTCCTTGCTGCAGTTTCAAGTTCGCTACAAAAACACATCTCCACAACTCATTGTAGTACTTTTAGGACACACTGTACAAATGCCTCCTGCGCTCACCAGAAGCTCATTCATCTGAAAATCACTGGTGTCGACTTGCATCGTAGTGATGGAGCTGTGGCCACTGTCTTCTACTCTGCCGCTGTCCAACACTTCTCTTTTGTTTTCTTCGTTCGGTATCCTGGAGAATGTTCCAAGACACGTGTCAAGGAGCACACCAGAAAGCTGGACAAGGTGCTCAAAAAGCATCGAAAAGTGCTCGAAGAGTTGCGCTGGTTGACCGACTTCAGAAACCGGATCATCGGCGTGTTTGGCGGCTAACCAGAACAACCGGGTATACACGGTCTATTACAAGCTGGTCTTCAATACGATTTGGCCTCGTGGAAGATCTTCGAAGATCACTCGATCAGCGAGGATATCAAGCGCTTGGAGCAGCTGATGCACGCCACTACCAGACTTCGTCAAAGCTTCGGACACTTTGTTTTAGAGAAGAATGGAACGAAGAACTCTGAATAATATTTTTCACGTTTCGGTTTGCACTTCTCACGATATCACATATTTTTCTTACATTCTCCACCAAAAAATCCTTTTTTTTATCTCCATCTAATATATATTTTGTCCCAGAATAAATTGTAAAATAGCATCTCACATATTAGGTTGTTCGGAAAGTCCTTTCCACTTTTGATATGTTGTTTTCAAACTTTGTTTTCTTGAAGGGGATAAAAGCGAGGAAGTTGTCGTTTTATCAGTATGCTGATGAGGTCTAATAGTGTCTACACCCCAACGGAAATCATTCTCCTCTTTTCGTGTAGTGAGATATGCCCACCGTTTTCGCCTCTAATAATTTCCATTTTTGGACTACCATTTTATTTGTATTTCTATCTGACCTCAGATCAACTGAAATTAATCACCAATTTGTGGAGGTTAACAACGAAGATGCACCCTTTCGAACAAACTTTACAACCTGGATTCATCAATTTGAAAAATTAAAATTCTCGTTGGACGAAAATCCCCCTCCAAAAAGCATACGGGCTCAGATTTGGACGCATTAAAAACGGGATTGAAAGGGACCCGTCTTAAACTGTGCGAAATATATCAAGTACATCAGTGGCAAGCCTTTAGTCAAAAAGCCATAAATCGGGAACTCTCGGCAAAGTAAAAAAAAGTGGGAAGATATGGATCAAACCTTTTCGCTCAAAGCAACTTCGTTTCACGTGCGGGCACCTGTTTGAATCATCTCATCCTGCGTTGCAGACATGAATGTTGAAGTTAAATAATTACTAGTGGCGATAAATGGGTAATGTATGATTACTATAAACAACAGTCCAAGTGGGTTGACAAAGGCATTCAACCACCAGACGTCCCGAAACGTGAAATTAACGTTAAAAATGGGATGTTTTCGGCATGGATGTCTACCAAGCAGTGGAGTATTGGGAGCTGCCAGATAATGGTGTCACTTTCATGACCGATACCTATTTTTGTCAGGTGACATAACTCAGACTCCATGTGGATCTTCATTAGAGAGAAACACAAAGGTTTATTTTCAAAATCGAAATTCGCAACCTCATGCGGGAAGGAGAACAAAGACCGATCTCACTGGATACGGCTAAACGGTTCTGTCTTATCTACAGTATAGTCCAAACCTTGTACTGTCTGACTACCCCCTCTCCAGTCATTTCTACCGACCTCTTGATTGAAAAAAATTCACTTCAAAGCATGATGTCAAAAATGGGTTGACCTGATTTTCAATGCGCTGTGACCGGAGTTCTGGAAGGAAGGCATCCACAATTTGGTGGGACGTTGGCAGATAGTCACTGATAACAATGGTCTTTATCTTCCAATTATCTGAAATCGTTTTGACCTTTTTTATATCGAATGAATCTGACGCTACAAATGGAAAGGACTTTCCGAACAACCTAATATATCAAGTATGTATTCAAACTGATATGGTTCGAAAATATCGCGGGTTAGTTCTCTGACATTTTGATTTTCGAGAATCCAGAAGTTCAGGCACCCACACTTGTCATAAATCACCTTCCACCGATGCAAAGCTACATGGCAGTTATTGGAAAGTTTCCAAAAAAAAAAATGAAACCATAACTTTTTCGTCGTCATACATCATCTTTTTTTTCTAATTTCCTTTCCACTTCCCGCCTACCACTTTCGTTTCTCTAATCTTTTTCTCACTCAACTAATCAGACAGGTCTTGATTACTTCTTTGAAAGTCTCCTCTCAGAAATTGTTCATACTTCCTCGTGATGCCTGATTTTGTATTCCCAGTTGAACTTTGTGACTCAGGTCTTTTTCATTTCGATGTTGTTGGAAGCTTTCTTCCCAACAAGAAAACGCATGTTGAGAGTGGTCCCATTAGTTGCTTAGAGACAATAAAAACCACGTAATTGTAACCATAGGCATCCACTTCAGGCTCGCTTTCTCGTTCTTCCGACGCACTCACATAAAACTTTTTTTTCGATTCCTTCAAAAACAAATTTCTTCTCAGAACCCTAAAAAGAGCAGGGATGAACAGGAGAATCCTCACTATTCGTGAGATGTAAGTTACGGAATTATCTTCTACTTTGAAACCATCGTCTCATTTACAGCTTCGACTATTTCCGGGATCGAAATGTCCGGGATCACAATGCCGAGCTGGATCTCCCACTTTTGCAAAATTCAGGGATCATTCTGTCCTTTTGGATTGGAACCAAGAAATCGGATATTGAAGTCAAGTGTCATGGAAGGCCGGAGCGCAACTTCTGCTGGCACTTTATCAAGCAGGCTCACCCAGATAAAAGTTGCAAAGACGTGTACCATGTTGGGATAAACGACTTGTTGGTTCTGTGAGTTTGCGCTCGCCAGGAATAGTAATTAATCAGTATAAAAGGAAACAGAATTTAATTTTCGAAGTTAGGTCTCATAACAATTTTGATTGATGTTTATAATGTCTTCTGATGCTCCTCATGGCTTTGATACTGTAAAACCTGTATTAGAGCAGCCCGCACACTGTTAACGTTGAGCTCAGTTATCTCAATGCCTATGAGATATATCAAAAACGTGTCAACAGGCGAAACACTTTTGGTGTTATGATAAACAATTTATCAGTTGATAACTGTTTTATAGCTTTGACAGGAACAGAAAAAATATGGTTCGACGTTACAAGTTGAGAGCCCTTCTGTTACAGGTTTTACAGATTTCAGGTTTCAGTTGATTTGTTTGAAAAATCGACTATTCTTTTTGCACTATTTTGTTAAGCATCACGTGTCTTTGAAAAAATTCGGCGTAGATTTTTAGAAGATCATATGTTCTGCGTCAATTAAAAAAGTCTAGTTGCACTTAGCTCACCCATGGGATTCCAGATTGAAAGAAAAACCCCAAAATGTTTAGAAAGAGTGAATGAGAAGTCATTGATGTCATGGGGAAGTTTGTTATTAAATAGGATGGTGAATTGAATAGGATGATGAAAAAATGGTGGATTTGAAAGATCATAAAAGAGCTGAAAGATCATAAATTTTCGAGACTGCCAAATTTATAATCGGATACTGCATTTGCTCTAATAGAAGCCAGCCCACCCTATACCTGCTATGTGAACTCAATTATCTCTGTTCCATCAATAGATATAAAAAATTTCAACTTAAAATATATCCAACATAATATCATCAAAATTTGATCAGTTGACAAACCTTTTGATATCTCTCATAGAAACCGAGATTGTAGAGCTCAAACGTTACAGTGTGAGGGTCCTTCTTGTTCAGATTTTACGGTATTTGAACTCTTTAGAAATGCTAGACTTTTTATGTCAGATTTAGAAGCTTGAATAAAATATAGGTGTCGTGAGGAATCTCTACATCATATTTCTATTGTTTCGGAAAATAAAAATCTTTCAAAAAGTTCTAATAGCACCCTAAATTAGAAAAGTGCAATAAAAATTCAGCAACAACGAAACAAACTCGATGACTCTCCGTGTTGTCGACAAGGAATGCTCAATGTTCTCATTGTTCGATTTCGTTGTTGAACTTCAAAATGTTCTGCAAGGGAAATTTGAATCTATCGTAGTCGATGAAGATATATTCGTGTCGCCAGAAAAGGCGAAATGTGTCACCGACACTTTGACAAAAATTGTGTGCCAAGCAGTCGTCATCCGTCGTTTGGAAAACGACTTGACTGATTCCAATAGCGAGCGGATCATTGAATTTCTCAATAGTTTGGATATCAAACGGAGTGTTAATGTGCAAGTCGAGCTGAGTTCAAAAGCACTAGCCAAGTCTACGGTAGTACCCTTTTTCTTATTTGTTCAGTTGAGTTGTTTTATTTTCAGCTAGCCAAGATTCCCGTAGTAACCATGACAGTACCAACGTCTACCCATATTGTCAAAAGTGCTGGAAAAAACAGCTCATTCACTTTCAAGAGCTGTAAAATCGGCTTTCTCAACCACTTGCTTGGTATTTTCACATTGGGAAACCTCTTCTCCATTGGAACTATTCGCCTAAAGCTCGAGAAGTTTCATTACAAATCAAGTGATAAGATATTGCCGAATCTTTTTCATGAAGCAACAGCCGGTCAAAAACCATTCGAGTAAGTTTCAATCGAGAATTCGCTGGAAAAAAAAGTATTTTTAAGAAAAATGAAGATCGAAGATCAAATCGCCGCGATGTCGTTGCACGGAATCCACGTCATAATCAACGATCGAACTTCGGTTACAATTCTCGTGAATAGACATGAACCTCACGATAATGTTACCTTCATTGCTCACTTTGAACACCGACGCGCTCCAGTAGAACAGCCATCCGGATCGTCAGGATCGTCAGGATCATCAGGAACGTCTTCAACAGAGATACTTCAAAAAAAAAAAAAACATATTTTGGAAACGGGACAATCAGATGCCAACGGTGACCTCGGTTGTCAAGGCTGACAGCGATATCATAATCTCGGAGAAGGAGGCGAAGAAGCAGAAATTGCTACATGAAAAACGTCGCATTGAAGCTGAGGAGATTGAGAAATCAAAACTGGATTTGAAGATGTTCGAAGCTGGTCGTCTAGCCGAAGAGCGGATGTTAGCAACGACTCTGGCCGAGGGAAAAATTCAGCGAGAAGACTTTGGGTACCTGTTCCCGCGTGCAGAGAAGCAGAAGAAGCACTGATTTTACAAGACTATGGGATATTCAGATATTTTTCTCTCGTACATTTTCTAATTTATTTTTGGGTGGCCTTTTTTTCAAATTATAACTATTTTTTAAAATAAACAACACAAAGGGAAGTTACTCTTTTCTTAGGAATATCGTCATGGAAATTTCCATTCAAATTTATGCGAGCATAAAAACTACTCGAAAAAACTTGGTCCAGCTGTCTCAACAAAAGTATAACAAAAAAGAAGAAAAAAATCTTTTGTGGTTTCACGAGCAAATTATCTAGGAAGGAAAAAGTGTACGACTACAAAGATCATTTATCTTATATAGGTTTTAATATTCCAAAGATTCCAAGCTTTCTGAATAGTGTCACTGTTACCTACGGCCACTGAGGAAGAAAATAAAAAAAAAAAGATCTATGAACATTTTTGTGGTCGAATCAACTTTTAACATGGTTGTAAGAGGCAAGACAAAATGGGTCCAGAAGAAGTTAAAAATCGATTACATCGCAAGATTTTTTCTTACATATTTTCATAATTTCAGCTCTGAAAAACTCATTTTTGACATATTCGACTCGAAATTTACTTTATCGCATTATAATTCTCATTATAACACACGGAATTTGGCGAAATGGGCTGCTCGAAGCTAGCCGTACATATTATGTAATACTCTGTCTGTTGATTCAGACTGGGTCGAGGTATTGATGTTAGGGAAACAATTCAATTTCGTGGGGAATGTTAAGGCCATTGATGGTGACAAGGAAAAAAGAAGTCGGGTGAGGAGAGAAAAAAAAACGTTAAGGCACTTATACACACATTTTGAAGAAAAACGGGGGACGAGTGAGACAAAACCAGGTGAATTTCAATTGATAGATGGGACGGGAAAGGTAACAACAAACTAAAATGGAGAACCTAACAAAGTGAACAATGATACCCTGACATTGGTGGGGAACAAGTGAAATTGTGTTTGAATATGTTTTTTTTGGGGAGAATTGGGGGAGAATATGGTCTAGACAACGGATATCATAAAAATGATATATTTAGAATAGGAAGAGATTTAAATATATGAAAAAAGTCTTAGAAATGATATCGATATAGAGAAGATATGGGGTCCAAGGGGATCTAGTTCTTGATGGCAGCAGCCTTGGCCTTGGCTCTTCGCGATTGGAGAATTGGGATTCCGAACAGCATGAGACCAGAGACCTGAAATTATAAATTTTGTGAAGGAGGATCAAAACAAGGCCTAATGGTCATTCAAAGCTTTCAAAAACTTTACAGTAGTACGTTCTGGAGGATTTCACAAAACCGTAATCCCCCTACTCACCAAGAGATTTATACCGCAGAAGACGAAAGACAGGGTGTACGATCCGGACATGTCAGCCAAGTATCCCGACACTGGTGGTCCAAATACAGTTCCGATTCCTTGCCAGAGGAGAAGAAGTCCGAAAGCATTGGTGAGTTTGTCCAGTCCCAACAGGTCCACAAGAATGACCGAGGTCAAACAGATGTACGAGGCGATAGAGAATCCAAAGAGTGCAGAGTAGGTGGCGAGTGGCATGAATCCGACGAATTTGTAGCAGAAGGTTGTGAGGAGTCCGCAGATCTGAAAAAATTGTTTTATTTCGGTAGGTGGGATACCGGCTCAAAATAACTCTAGACGAGGTTTCTCAGAGCTCTAGGTCTCTGAACTTTCTCAATTTTCAAACATATATATCTAGACAGAGACTGATTTGGAGATTATGTTTTAATATAAAATACTTTAAAGTATTACTGCACAAACTCACAGTCAAGGAGATGTTGTACATCCAGAGGCGATTGCGAGCAGTGTCCTCTCCAAGACCACCTGGAAGTGGAAGCTTGTGATCAGCGACGACTCCGAAGACGACACGACCAATGGTATTGGAGATTCCAAAAGCTGAAAGAACTTTGGATCCTTGGATTGCGTCGAGACCGATCTTAGTAGAATGGAGTGGGAGGAAGTACAATGGAGAGTTGAATCCGACAGATGTGAGAAGGTTGGAGATGGCGAAGAGCAAGAAGGTAGGCTCTAAGAGAAGGTCCAATGAGAGCATGTTGCTGATGGTCTTGAACATGTTCTTTCCCTCGACATTGTCACTTCCATCAGTCTTCTCGCTAACATCCAAGGCCTTGCTGTCTTCTTCACTTCCTTCGCGAACGTCGTCCAACTTTCCAGTCGAGTGAGCTGGGATGCTTCCAACGGTGGTGTGGCGTCCATGAAGAGATCCAGTGGAGCGGTACTTGTCTGGGTCCTCGCGGAATTCGGCAACATTCGAGATCGAGCCAGTGTAGAAGACGTCCTTGCGATTGAGATATCCAGAGTCACGTTCTCCAACTGTTCCACGACGAGATCTTGGCTGCGACTCGACATCGACCGCTCCCACCGAGCTAGCCGGGCGGATTTTCTCACCAACTCTCTGAACTCCAGAGCTCTGAGACATGGATCTCTCGATCATCGTTGGTGGCGTGAGAAGTGTAGCTTTCTCTCCGTGAGCTTCGTTGGCAGTGACCTTCTTTCCATCTTCCTCGAAGACTTCGTTGTTCTCCTCCTCTTCCTCATCTGGAACCAAAGCGAACTCCAAAGGGGCGAACGTAGCTCCACAGAGGGCACAGAGCACCAAGACAAACAGGAAGGCGAGGAAGACACTGCGCCATCCGAAGTTTGTAATCAGGAAGGCGTTGATCGGTGCGAAAAGAACAGTTCCGACTCCTGCTCCAGCGACGGCGATTCCGGTGGCAAGAGAACGCTTGCTGAAAAATCATAATTGTACTCTGTGGAAGATTAAGGGTTCGAGCTCACTTTTCGAAGTACATGGTGACAATGACGATAGCTGGGCAATACATCAATCCAAAGCCGACACCCATGATGACTCCCACACTGATCACAATGTGCCACATAGCAGTTGCAAAGTACGAGATAGCACATCTGAAAGTGGAACCAGTTGTCTCGCCTTGAGAATTTTAGTATAGCCTACCCAACGAAAGCGACTCCAGCTCCAGTGATAGTGGTGATACGACATCCGTACTTGTTGCAGACAGCCGAAGCCAATGGTCCCGATCCGAGAGTGAGTCCGGTGAGCAGTGAAATGATCAGAGCAGCCATCGTGTTGTTGGCTTGGAACTCCTAGAAGTTTGATGTTCGTACATTTCTTTTTATTGGCTCCTTAGCCATGACAAAGGGCCAGCGGACCACTAGATTCACGTGCCACCGAGTCTTGATGGCACGTTTCTCCGCTTTTCTGTCCCCTATAGCCCAAAGAGCCCACACATGTGACAGCGGTGTTTTTGACAACCGGGTCTAGCACCAAAGTCTTAGATGCTAGGCACCTAATAACCTCCCCATATACTAACCTCCATGAGTGTTTCGACGAGAACTCCGAACGAGTAGACAAAGCCGTCGGCGAAGACGTGAACGAAGAATGATCCGATGACGACGACCCATCCCCACCCTCCATCTGGTGGCAATGGGACCAACTTTCCTCCTCCAGACGACACCGGCGCTCCCGTCATTGTTCTGGAAATTTTTTTGAATTTTTTTTTTCAAAAAAAAATGAGTGTGAGAGCGAAAAAAAAAGTAGAGCAGTGATCATTTAAAATGTGTAAGTTAAGATCAAAGTGGTAGAATGAAGAATGCGCGCGCTCATTAATCATGTTCGCACATTTTCTTTTGATACTATCGGTCTCGAGTCTCCGGGGGAGATACAAATCTCACGGCTACTGATTCTCGCACTTTTGTTTGCCTAACTGAGTAGTATCCAATCGCAAAAAAAAACGAAAATAGAAGCGTTTAATTAGCTGCGGTAGAGGACAGAACAGAGAGTAGCTCTCCCAGGAGAGCGCAACAGTATGAGAAAAATATGCGAGAGGAGATAGATGTGATTTGAATGGGCCAAAACGCGCGGGAAGCGAGAGAACGCAACACGCCGACAGTGCATAGCAGGAAATAGTGTGAAAGGTGGTGGAGAGGGCTAGAGAAAAGGGCACCCGATGAGAAGGGGAACACAGGGGCCGGGGGCAACACGGGGTGAGGGGTGGTGGAGCGGAGGAAGAGGACAACAACGGACCGACGACTGTAAGAAATGAGGGACAGAATGGGAATGGGAGGAGGACGGATGACCGCGAGCAGGAGGCGGGGCTTGGAAAAAAAGGAGGAGACCTAGAGAGTGCGAGAGAGCTGACAGTCAGAGACTGATGGTGATGATGGAATAGACAATGGCAAATGTACTTGTGGAACATCTGTTTGGAAAGGCAGTGACTGGAAGATTTGGGTTTCGAAGTTGGAGAGAGCAATCGGTTCAAAGTACACAGATAATATAATAGTCCGACTGAATACTCACAATTTTGAAAATTCCGATAAGTGTAACGGTCAAAAAGATAATATGTATTCGAATGAACTCCGCTATTTTTGCTCGATCTCAAATTTGTATAGAAATTTCAATGAGTTCAGAAAGTGTCTGAAAGTCCAAAAATACTGTATTTTTGCTTGGACCACAGAAGTCTATTTCTTATCAACTTCCATCTTTCCTTGATGTTCTAAAACACCAAAAAAACAAGTGGAAGCTTAAAGGCTTTTATTCAGTTTCTGAAGCTTTTATAAGAAACTAGAAGAGGGGTGGAGCTACTCCATTTTCCTCCTTCAAAATGATGTAAGATGATGGCTTCCGGTGGGTCTCCAAACAATTTTTGCTCTTTGAAATGAAAAATACCACATTGCATTTTAGTTGTCCCAATTCAAATAGAAAAAAGGCTTTTCAAATAATTTATCTATCAAAAAAATCACAGTTTTCAAAGGATGCGCCACGGGAAAATAGAAAGAATAGCAGTCAAAACATCCGCCTTCATAGAAAAAGTGTTTTCTCGTGAAATTGAAAAGCAAAAATTTCTTTCTAGAAATATATAAAATATGAGGGATGTTCGAAACTATCGAGAATAGAATCGAGAGCAAAAAACGCCCCAAAAATCAGAAAAAAAACGCGTAACTGGTTGCGAGTGCGCCACTTAAAATTTTGACCACTCAAATTTCTCCAGAATTTTCAATTTTTTGGGAATCTTTTTCCCCTCTGTGGGGTATTCTGTTATTTGTCACGTAAACTTGTAAACACAAGAATACTCAGAAGTTTTATTTTCTCGGCCTCTTCTGGAGGCTTTTCTGGGGTCATTTTAATCTGGAATCCATTTTATGGCAGATTCTCAGGTTTCAAATGGCGGAAGAAAGCTCAAAGAATGACACCGCTAAGTGTTTATCATAAAATCCTAATGGCAGATCGTAAATCTGCCTAGGGTCAACAGCCGTCTAATTTCTGACTTTTGACAATTACCGACGTCTTCTAAATCATAAACAAAAGCACTAGAGTCGGATTTCAACTCACGAGATAGACAAATCATGGAAAATAATGTTTTGTCAAATTTAATAAATCTCAAAGGTAGAGAAACGGGGAAAGCTAAAAGAAAATAAATCTTAGTCTAGCTTTGATGTTTGCCGACACTGTCTGATCTGGAATCGAAAAAGCTAGGCATTTCTAGAACAAAATGATGAAATCTGACAGATCTGATGAATTTATACAGGGACTCATGATGTTTGATGTTCGAAATTTTGATATTAGTCATAGCCTTTCTAAACAGTCACAGATGGGGACCCCCTGGAAAAAAGGCCCTCATAGTTATTGGTCTCTAAAATTTTTGTCAACAACAGTGACCGGAAAAACAATGTCCTCTGAAAAAAGGGTACTCTTGATTTTTGGTCTTTGTTTGGAGGAATAAGACTGGGGCAAATCTCTTGAAATCACCACAATATGAACGTTTTGCAAGGAGAATACACCGTGAACACTCTAATAGAAAACCACCCAAATCGTCATATTTGAGCTCATGTATCTCACTTTCTGCGAGAGTTATCAGAAAATGGTTAACAAATAAAATGTTGCTGATATCATGATAAATATTTTATTTGTTGACAACTTTTTGATATCTGCCAAAAGAAGTGAGATATATAGGCTCCAAGTGGACGGTCCGGGTGGCCTTCTACTAGAGTGTTTAAGGCATATGCAAATTGAGAAAAAATACATACAGTGTTTGCGTTAATAGGAGCCCAGCCCATACGTGCACTTTGAGCTACATTATCTCAGTTCCTATGAGAGATATTGAAAATCTGTCAGCTAATAAATTAATTATCATAATATCACCAATATTCTATCAGTTGACAAATTTTTGATATCTCTAATAGAAACTGAGATAATTGAGCCGACAAGAATCAATTTTTTCTCCTTGTTGCTTCTTTAGAAAACCTCTCAAGTCAGTAGAATAACACTATGCATTAATGTGACAAAATCTCTGGTACATTTTAACACTCAACTGATAACAGAGATAGACTGTATGTAAAACCTAACTTTAACAAAGAGTTATCAGCAAATGCATTTGTCGTTTGCCTCATTTACAACCTCTTTCTTGACATGATATGCCTTAAAAAAAAGACACAATAAAAATGTATGGTGACAGGAGCAGGAGATACTTTGGAACTCAATTTTTTAAATGTATTGGGGTATATTAGACCATACTTTTGAATGATGTGGTGTACTTGCAAAATTTGGAGAACGAATTGAAGTTACATGACGAGAGAGAAGAACGATCAAATCAATTCTTACCTACAGAGAAGAGGAAAAGAAAATGTTGGAAAACGGGAAAAATTAAGCTATAAAAGCCCTAAAATAATTGCAATTGTAAATGTGTAACAAATGACACTGGATTTGGCAGTCAAGCGTAAAAGTTGTTTCTAGTGATAGATACTTGACACATGCAGAATGGAGGTGATGACGAGTGATGATAGGGGGCAGTGATAAACTGATGTCCTTCACTGTATATACATATCAAACCCGAGAAAAACTAAAAGATGAATGAAGTGAGAATTGTAACACTCAACATTCCGAAGGCGGATCGTTTCCGATTTACGGCGATTTTTGCAGAAAAAAGAATAGTGTAAACAGAAAGGAGAAATGAACTAATTTGAAATGAGAACAGTTTTGTTTCAATTGAGATAATAAAATAACTTGGTGACAAGAAGGACAGAAAGAGAACCTTCTGTGATGGATCGATTTCAAAATTTGATACTAAAGAGTTATGGTAAACAAGGGTCAAGGAAATCAAAGAATCGGAACCACAATCGAAAACTTCAAAAATGGTTTTTTTTGTTGCAAAAATAGTCCAAGTATAAGATTTTGAAATTTTGCAGGCTCTGTTACCGAGAAAAAAAAACAAGCTTAGTTTAGAAAATCAGGAGAAAAAATGGTTAAAAAAATTCTTTCAAGTATTTTCAAGTCTTTTTTTCTACTTAAACCATTGAGACAAAGCTTCTAAATTTCTGATCTAACGTCACAAAAAACAATACTGATATCCGAGCCACTGAGCCCCCCGAGCACTTTGAAATGCACTGAACATGTGATGGGACAAGTGTTCTGTATCCGGAACTAATTGATTAGCGCTGACTGAAATATTGTAAAGTAGGAATCGATCTTCGGCTTGAAATGAACACTTGGAACAAAGAATGATTCAATGAAATCAATTTTCTTTTTTTTTTTGAAAAAAAAAAAGTTTTGGGGCATAAAAAGGGGAGGTGATGACAAAAAGGAAAACTGTCGGAAAACTGGCCTGTTTCAGTGGAAACACTTTTTTGTTGCAATTTTTAACTTAAAATTGAGTGATAGGCGGTTGCGGTTGCAATGACAATGAAGTTCAAAAAAAGAGAAAATGAGATCAAGGACTTTTCAGTCCACGTGGAGAGGTGGTTTTTTGTTTTTCTTATAAAACGAAAAGTTTATAAGGAAAGGGAAGATGTTCCATGATTGATAGAGGTCTTGGCGGGAAAGACGACAGAAAAAAAAACGTTGAAAGATGATAAGTCTATGGGTGGAACAAGTCACGTTTGCCTCTGGACCACTCCTCGAGGTGTTTATCAAGTGATCAAAATAAGTAGGTGGGTGTATGATGGAAGTTTGGACCGACACTGCGAGAACGAAGGGCAAATATACATAAATTACGGTGAACAGCTGTTCCCCCCCCCCCCCGGTCGTTGGCGACAAGTACTCACCTAGTTCTCTATATTTCTCCCTATCTATCCCACTCACTTAACCCAAGTGTCTGGGTACTCAAAAAGCAAAGTTTACATGGTATGAGTCAGTAACGGACAACTGAGGAATATGTATTACTGTAGTTTCAATCCAATGCACGCTGTTTTTAAAAATTTATATAGGTAGCTAGATTAGAGTTTTGTTAATACTTTCAAGAAAAATTCTGCTGTTGAGTGACAAAAAAAAACGGAAAACGGTAGCAGGAAATGAAGTATTGGATTTCCAAAGTCCAATAAGTAAGCCAATAACATTTTTTGTTCTCCAACTCATTCATTCTGTTTCTTAATATACAGTGACCGTTAGGTTCTGATCCACTCAATATTTCTGAGCAAATAAACAGGCAAATACTGGGTAGAAAAATGACCCATTTTCAATTTGTTTATCGTTTTTTTGGTGTCGTGATGACAGAAAGGAGAAAAAACAGCCCACTAAACAAAATGAACGGGTGGGAATAGGCAGAAAAAAAAACATCTGCACACCATTATTGTTTACGAGAAGAAATAGCGTCAACTCAAGGTCTTCAGAAGTGAACGGAGAAAAATATGAGAATAGTAAAAGAGAGGAGGCTACAAACAACAAACAATAGATCAAAGAAGAGCTTCAGGTCAGTTGACAAGTTTCAAAATGTGTTATGTATGAGGTTTCGAGTTACGAAGAAGAACTGATGAGTGGAAGAGAGAACACAGAGAAGTTTATATAGTTGAAAATGTGTCGGATTACAAACAACACGCCCTATTGTTGATTGGATTAATCCTGAGGCAACGGCCAGGAAGGAACAAAACGGGATGATGGACGAGAATGAAATCAGAAATTGTTTGCGAACATAACAGGATTAATTGTACCATTTCTGGACCTTCGGGAAATTTTGATACCGTGAACACTCTGATTGAATGACCTCCTAACTTTTAACTCAATCCAATTTATCTCGGTTCATAGAGGTTAAAAAGTGGAAAGAGGTTAAAAAGTGGTCTACTGACAAAGTATTTTTGATATTATGATAAACATTTTGTCAATTGACAACTTTTTGATATCTCTCAGAGGAAATGAGATACATCTTCTTGAAGTGGACGGTTTGAGGGCATCATATTAGAGTGCTTATGGTGAATTAAAATCGAAAAGACGAAATAGTTCAATATCTTGAAACTTTAACATTTTTATGGTTTCCAGTTGTCAAGTTTTCCGTTTTTGATCATCTGAAACCCCCCGAGAATCCTAAAATTTGGAGTTCTAGGAGTATGAATCTCGAGAATCCACAATGTTGGCTTTAAAGTATTCAGCTATTAGGAATTTTTATATTTTGATTTCTAGAACTCCAGGAATCTAGCAACGCAAGTTTTTCAAATATGGAATTAAATTTTATATACCTAAAACGACTATACAAAAAATACAAAGACCTTTTCAAAAACTCCAAAACATTCAGAAACTAACACACAATTTTTTCTGTTTTCGGTTTCTTACTTAAAAATTGGTTTTCTTATCTATCTTTCAAATCTTGTCAAAAGAGCAAAAAAAATGCTTACGGAATACACAAAAACAAAGAGAAAAAAGGAAGGAAGCTAATGGGAAAAGCAGCTCAAAGAGCCGAGCTAATCAACAACACGAAATCTCCGACTTTTCTAAGTACTTGTAGAGAAAACAAAATAAGCAAAAAGAAATGAAAATTCGAAAAAAGAAGAAACAATTTTTGGCCCAATTTGAAATTTAATGTATGCAGAAGAGTGCGTAGAAGAAAAAAAGGGAAAAGGAGGGAAAGAAGAAGCAACGAGGAGGTCATTTCGTCCGACTGAAGGCCTTTGTGTTGCTCATACTCTCCCAAATGTGATGCAATCTCTCTGTCTGTGCCGCACACTCCAAAAAGCCCTCCATGTGTCATGTCTGCTTCACGTCCCAATGTTCGATTCTCATTTTCATATACAACGTGTCTCGTTTAGTGGGAAAAAGCTGGAAATGAAAAAGACAGAGAAGAGAGAATTGAAAATGGTGGACGAGCTGCTATTTGTGATATTGTGTTTGTGCTCCGCCTTCGTAAAACATAGATAACACTGAAATGTTGCCGAATAAGCCTCGGAAGCTGGCTTAGGGAATGAATTATAAGGACACATCATTTTATCAGTTTTTATTTATCATTGTGTCTGCACCAAAAATGTGTAGGATGCTAACTAAAGAAGAATCAAATAACGGGTTTATTGAAAAAGCGGAGATCCAAGTTTTATTAGGAAAAATTAGAAAGAAGGGGTGAAGCAAGGAAAAGTGATCTTTGTGTCTGGAGCGGGTAAAAAGATTCCTGACCATCTAAGGACACAAAGTACAAGACGTTGCACTTCTCAAGCATGAAGCCCAATGAAGAAGCTCGTGAGATATATCACGAGGATCCCAATGAAACTCTGACGTCTTCCGGAGCTCCAAACATACCTGGTTGGGTACTTATACCTGTTTTCTTCGTCATCAGGAATCTGAAATTATAAAAAAATTTGGAGGGCAATGTTCTTCGACCCGTATTGTGCAAAAGGTGTGAAAGAATAGATAAGAGACACCACGTACCGTTTGATTGTTGCAAAAATCGCTATCGCATATTTGGAATGGTGTTAAAAACGGCGTAAGACGGTGTAAGCCGACCTGAAACATGAAGAACATTAAGGGATTGTTTCACTTCTTTTGTTAGATATGAATCATGTACAGTGCTCCATATAATGAATTGACTAGCCTACAATTTTTGAATATACCATAATTACCAAACTATGTACACAAAGACTCTGTGCTTACAGTAAATAAAAAAAATTTTAAAAAGCTGATAACGAAAGATGTTCTCTAGAAACACTTTTCTCATTTTCTGCATTTTTCAGTTGTGGGATTTTGGAAAACTTTCACCAAACTACGAAAAAGTTCTGGTTGACGTCAAATTGGCATGATTTGTGTCGGTCTCTCACAATCAGATTGGCTAAAAATGACTGTTGCTTGTTCATAGAAGAAAAACGTCTTCTAGCCGTCCATTGGAAATTTTGAGCCAAAAAAGCGGAGAATTCTACCATGCCTTCTTGCTCACTAAAGTAAAATCGAAGGAAAAAATCGAAAAGAACTTTCCGATAAGAACTGGATAACAAATAGGATACATATATTTTTGAGAAGAAATACACTCTACTGATCTAAATTGATTTTTTGGACACTTGAAATTTCAAGATACTAGGGGTTTTTTTCCAACTTTCAGATTCTATAATTCTGGAACCAACATATTGTACAATTTCTAGACACCACTTGCCTGATTTTACATAGTAAAATTCTGAAAATTCCCAAGTTCCAATTGTTCGAAACTTCCTGATTTTGATACTACTTGGACATGTTAAAAAAAAAGAGAAAACACATTCCAATGAAATTATTGAATTTTAAATTTCTATGAGAAAGAAAAAACACATGTGTCATCTTTGCGAAAGCAAGAAAACAGAAAAAACGAACTAACATAAGATCATATTTTCTGTAATTGCTAGTCACATAAAACACGATTTGCTTCCTACGAAGGTTTGTTTTTGGTGCTATTGTTCTTTGGCTCACCTTCAACACTGGTCCCTCCCTATTGAATTGCGATATGCATCCATAAGCAGAATTCGCGGAGAAGCAGAATTGACCGACGCATGTAGAATTCTAAATGTTGCTGTTTTCTTGGGGTTTACCTTAGAGGGATTGCTTCACTCTAACCCTATTGCCTTACTTTCATTCTCTCTTTCGAATCAGCTGGCGCGAAACACTTAACGCTACCCGGCACTTTCTGCTTGAATGGAGTTGTTTTGTTCTGAAACTGATATGTTCCGACAGGACGATAGAATATCTTCTCACTGTTTTATAAACACAATGCTGCGTTTTATCAGAACGAGAGTCATCTGCTATTGCATAGCATGAACCTAATGGCAGAAACATTTCAGTTTGAACAAATCTGGAAGATTCCAATAGTTTTATTTGATATTTAAAAGTTGTTTCCTACCCAACATCATACATCTCCATTTCTCTTTCCTGTGAAGTGCAGTAGCCAACCTAAAAGTTTATTGAGGATCTTCCAAGTCATAGTTTTACTGGCTCACTTCATCATCGTAACTAGAAGACTTCTTATAACAGAATGGATGAACACAGTCTTCTGTAGTTGCCCAGGGAGAGTTTTCCTTCTTAAAACAAGTCAAGTATGCCAACTCTCTTTCGTTGTTCACATTTTGAATCTCATTACAGTAATCCGTGTTGCTGGAATTTTCCATTATTCTCAATTTCGTTTAACATGGCTTACTTGCAAATACAGAAAGCACTTCCTCTACTGTTTTTCGAGCATCCAAGAGGCATATCAGTGGGAGAAGTGAAACATCCCTGAAATAATTAGAAAACTGGCTGCGATGAAAATAAAAGGAGCACAGAGATACCGTATTTCCTCTAATATAAGCTAACCTCCATTTGAAGCCCATCACTAATAGGAACCCAATCCTTTGCTGAGCAGTTCGGCTTCTCGGTTATTGCATACATGTATTTTTCTAGATTTTCTGGTAATTTCCGTTATTTCTTGTAGTTTTATAAATATTCCAATTCAGTTAAGAGTCGAAAACCCTCCAATTGCAGCACTTTTTACAAGCCCACCATGAGAAGGAGGTTGAAAAATACAAGCCCATGGGCCTCTATTAGAGGAAATACGGTAAATGTTTTAAATTATGTTTTTGTTAATTTCCCCGCCAGTGACTAACCTGATAAAATGATTGTTGTGCTTTTAGTGAATTGTGAACATGATTGTATCTTATTATATAACAATAATTGCCGGTACAATTCGTACATCTGTCAAAAATCACAATTCATTTGTTTTTATTCGGGAATTCATCTTTACGTTTTGTCTGGAGAGATTACACGTCCATCGCACTGTACGCATTCTCGTTCACTGTCGCAAAACAGCCATAAAAGTAGTGAAAACCATAAAATCGGAAGCAACATTGTTGAGTGAGAGTTACTTGGAACTAACTGCCGTTTTTGGTGTTGTTAACACTTTTTAATTTTTACATTTCCACCTGTCACACTTCCAGAAAAAACCAATTGGTTTCCATAGGGATTTGAAAAACCCAGAATTGTAAATAACTCATGATTAACAACATGTAGATTGGTTTCACACCAATCGTCACAAATAAGAAAAACGAGAGAAAAAAAAATAGGTGAAAGAAGATATGTTAGATTAAAGTGATAGACAGTTGGCGAGAAGGGGTGGTGGTGGTTGAAGGGCAAAAGGGAAAACATGTAAAGGATAGAAAAAAGTGCGAGATTGAAACAAATGATTTCTATATGTCGAACTATTTTTAAAAGATTATTATGATTTTTTTCTCGAAATATTGAAATTAATGTTTTAAAAAGAGGAACATCATTTTTATTATTTTCAGTTCACATTGATTGATTTTTGCAAAGAGTTTAGTACTGAAAATTCGTGAAACTTGATTTAAACTTTTAGAATGTTTTTGCTATTTGGAATACTTGTTCTCTAGTTTTAAAAAATTTTCAAATCACGCATGAAAATCCAGAAATTTAATCTTTCAGATTTTCTTTAAAAATTTCTGGCGGTCGTCGGGTATCTCGATTCTTAATGATAATATTGGTCCTCAAATGTGATTTCAGGTTTGAAAGATGTTTTCTGCCCTTAAAGATAATTTTGGTCCTTCAAACTAATTTGAGTCCTTACATCAGATATCACTTTGATTATTACACATAATTTTGAAGTCTTCCTTTTTTCAGTCACACTTTTTTTCTGAATTTTTCTCCTATTTCATTTTTTACCTTAAATTTCAATGGGTTACAATTATCAGAACAATTCATCTTTCGCTTTCACAAAGTTTCATTTCTCATTGACCGATCACTTCCTTCCTCAACCTGCGTCAAGTTTTCACTACTTGCAATATCTCATTTTCAATATCTTTTGTGATTTTAATTATTTTCGAGGTTCTATGATACCAATATTTGTTCCCTGATTTTCAGAATTTTTCTTTTATCTATTTGAACACACAAAACATTCCCTCTCAATTTCCCCGTTACCATTTATGTCTCTACCGATCGGTGTATCGATACTCCACCTCCAAATCGGTTAGAAGTGAAGAAAAAAAAGTTTGAAGGTCACCCAGCGCGATCATTTCCATCTCGCTTCATTTTCAAAGATGCGTCCCGCCCCATGACTGCCTCAAAAACAGTACGACACAAGTTTTTATTTCTCTCGGTATTAAGTTTCTCTCAGTTTCGCGCAACTTGTCACTGATAGGAACCTGGAAATCAGCTATTTCAGGATGAGGGTCCAATTATACACCAAGTCAATTGTCTATCACAATAAAGCAAATTATGTCAAATATTGTCTAAAGGGCCAATGTTACAGTAAACCATTAATCGACCTTTCAAACAAATCATTGTCCTAATGGTTTAATGTTTCTCTTGCACTTATGTGAGCTCAATTCATATGAGTCATGTACAAAACCCAATTTATTATTCATAGTATAAGAAAAAAAAAGTGTAAAATTGGTTTCCTTCTTTTACATATTCCTGAATAACTAGAGGAGAGTAAAGGGGAAGAAAAATAATAAGGAATCTTATTTTGAAAAAAACTCGGAAGCTTGAGAAGCTCCATTCCAGACATCGCAGATGTACTAGAAGATTTTAAAAGATCTAATAAATATTATTCGCTTCCCAACTTTCATCATTTTAAAAGGTCAAAACCGGCTAGGCTATAGATTCCCACAAACGAATCACCGATAACAGATCAAGATCTATTTCTGTCTCTTGATTATCATTAATCAACCCGTGTTTCACTAAACACAACTAATTTCCGGTCGCTTTTTCTTTTGTTCTGTCTCCTTCTCTTCCTCTGCCCCTCGCGAAAATTCAGAATACCAAATTCAGCTATATTTATTTTTTGCCCTTTTCCTCTTTTTTATTCTTTGATTCATTTGCAATTTAGTTTTGGATGACGCTTTATTTTTTTTTCAACCCTGCTCGCACTCTATCCAAACAAAAAGGTTGTGTCCCGAAGATATTGGAAAGAATCCGAAAAATGGGAAAAATTCCTTTTCTTGTTTCCTATCCATGGTGACCTGCTACTCTTAACCAGTTGTCAAATTGAATCGGACAGTTGCCCACGGTGTCGTCTCATCCACCTCTCAGTCTCCCGTGATCTCTTATTTTCCAAAATTTCCGATTTTCACTTTTCATTCTGTGTTGTTGTTGTCACCGCCTCTACTGTCTTGTTTCGTCCTTTCTCGCTACTCACCCTCAGCAACCTCTACTCAAAAACGAGTCTGGTTTTTCCCGCCGTACAGTAATCGATTTTTGAAAACTTTGTCTATACGTGTATCTTTTCAGGTAGACTTCCTATTCTAGTGAGCAATGCCAAAGCAAGACTTCAATCCACTCGACTACACCGGACCACTGGTCGTGGGAGCCATTTTCTGTGTGGTGCTCTTTTTGATCTCGTTCTTCGTGATCAATTTCTTCTGCATCACCAAATACGACGATATTACCAAATTTGAATTGGTAAGATACTCTCAGTTTCGAATTTCCCTAAATTCCAAATAAGACGTGTTACTTGAATTTTCAAAAAATCAAAAAGTATGTTAAGCGTGAATCAGTTGGAGGAAAAATATCTGCAAAGACCTGGATCACTGAAGTTTTTCAATAATCTTCAACTTTTTTTCAGATGGGAGGAAGATACGGTTGGCGCCTTGGACCACATCCACTCGTCATTGTCAAGAAGGGAGGATTCGTTGCTGAGGAGGATGTCGACGATGCCGAGAGTGCATAAGTTGAAAACTCCAAACTATATTTTTTCGAAATCAAATAATTTTGCATTTATTTTCCCCCACTTAAAATGTTCTTAAAACATTATTTAATCAGTATTTCAATTGATACATTCCTTTATTGAATATGATTCTATTAATAAAAATGAAAAAACTTTTAATACAGATTCACATAGTGTTTCTTACAGTAGAATCCAAAGCTTTCACGAAATACTCCATATTGTGCTTGTTCAGACAAGAAATATTGAAGCATCTATATTTGTTGAGATGAAAGTTGTGATTTCTCGCAAGATAGTTCATTTGATCACCTGAGAATTGAAAGTATTTTATGAAAAAGTACATATCAACTTACGTGTCAAGCCGAGGGAACAGAACAACCCCGATTGTCGGCCAATATATGACCATGTTCCGGGGGTTCCCATTTGGGTTAACGTCAAAACAAAGGCCAATCTGTTCTCACGCATTCTCTTATTCATCGTCTCCAACTGTTCCAACCACTCCTTGCGAAGACAAGGAGAAGTGAGCACTTGATGTACCAGACTTGCTCCGAATGCGGGTGGGTTCGAGAAACGGCTCACATTTAAGAGGGTGAATTGAGAGTTCACGCTCTCTGTCACCATTGGTTTCTTGACAACGACGATAAGATTACCAACAGTTTCAGCTAGAATGAATACTATTCATATTGAAGTGATCATTTGTGCAACTCACAATACAGACCAAAGATCTTGGAGAACGACTGAGCAACGAAGAGTTCAAGGCCTTGGTCAACAAAGTATCTAATTGGCCAGCTGTCCTTCTCCAAGTCCCCAGAAGCCAATCCTTGTTGATCTAGATAAAAGAAGGGGAACAACTTTCGTTGGTTGACGACCTTTGCAATAACTTTCCATTGTTCCATAGATGGGTTTATACCTGAAGGAGCATGAGCTGAAGCGTGGAGTAGAAAAACTGATTTTTCCGAAGCTTCTTGTAGATCCTGGAGCATATTTTCAATATCCAATGCTTTCCTCTCGACATCACAGTAATGATATGTTCTCACATTTGTGAATCCTGCATAGCGAAATATATCATAATGAACGTCCCTGAAAATAAATTTACTCAAAACACATAGAAAAAAATATTCAATTTACCATGACGGATTGGGCAAATAAACAGTTGCTATTTGAAGAATTTGAACCAGATCGAAGCGCTCCGGTTCCAGACAAAGATTGAATTCCAATTGCTCGGTTCTCCAGAATAGCCGGTGATTCACTTCCAAGAGCGAGCTCAGTTGCTGCTCTCCTGAATCCTTCGGGTCCCAAAATTGGAAGATAATTTGGGCAGTGGCCTTTGGCATATTCGAATTCGAGTCGTTGGACAACTGGGAAGATCTCAGGCTCTCCATTCTGGTTGCAATATGACTTTCTGGTAAGATCGAGAGTATAACATCCTTTTTGACAATGTTCGGAGTAATACAAGTAGCGAAAACTGATGGGGAACTGTGAAGAATTTCGTCTCGAGTCATTTTGTAAAGTCAGAGAATTTGAGTTTTTTAGAGTGCAAAACAGGAAAATAATTTGATAAGGGCGCCCTTTTATATAACCAAGTTCAGAAGTCGATTGTTCGCTGGGCTACGTTTGAAAATATGCTGATCATTGGCCGATAAATCACTTCATCGACACAGGAGATGGCAATTCCGCCTCTCTGATATGTTCGGAATACAAACCCATTGTGCAAAACTTATTGGGAAAGGAGCACATGAAACTTGGTGATTTTTTGCGATCATTGTAGTTAATTGGAAATAAAACATACTAATCAAATATTGAGCTTCAGTTTCATAACGATTAACTTTTTTTACAAGTTCTTCCTGAATAGTTCTTCTGTCTCCCAGCATACTACTGTATCCCTTTAAATAGGGAGAACATTAAATATTTTGAATTTCTTTAGTGTTACGGTATGCACTGTAGCGGGAAACAATGATTACTGTTGGCAGGGTGCGTGGATATCGTGCCGATTTCCAATATGCCATCGTTTGGCTATTTTCAGCTTGATCCATTGTTGCCACTACGGGCGTAACGCGGTACCTCATAAAAATTCTTCACCTTGCTCTCAAAACAAGAATGTGCCCTTCGGCCTTTCCCTGCTCCAGACAGTTTAATCCTCTATCACTGCTCCATTTTTGGAAGCGTGACATTTTTCTGAAAGATGGAACTACGTCCGTAATCAATTGATTATGATAATATGATAAGGGCGCTTGAAAAAAACCAAATCGAATGACACCCGAATTCCAACAACAATAAGTTTAGTATGCTCGGAAAGTGACGTGAAAGTTCAATAAGACTAAGTGTGTTAAAAGTCGTGTCATGACTGTCAAAAATCGGTGTAGCGAACAAATATCTGATTGAATTTATATGATTACATGAATCCAACAAATCTGCGATACGGATTCCCTTGGTGTAGATTAATAGTTTTGAACACGGATAATCAATTTTCGCTTTTCCGATTGACGATAATATTTTTTAACGGAATTTAGGAGCCAGCCATGTCATCGAGATTATTATTTGAATCGAAGTCTTCCTGGAGTCTTCAAATCCTAAAACTGGTAGTATCGCAGTCTCCTGCCAAAATCATTATATCAAACAACCTTCCAAAACTACCCCTTGCCAATTCTAAATTGATAACAAGACAAAGAGTCCACTCCCTAGACAAAGAACGCGGTATATAAACTTTAATTATCATTTCCAAGTTCATTTTTCATAGAAATCGTGACTTTAAATAAATAGAGAAGAGGAGAAGCGAATCTGAGTGCACACACTTAATCTACACTTAATGATCATCATAAGAAACAAGGCGAATTATTTGAAAAATTAGATGTTGCTCTTGACAGCGCGAACAGTCTCGTCGATGGCCTTGGCGACGTACTCAACGTTTTTGGTGTTAAGTCCGCAGATGTTGATGCGTCCGTCGCTGAGCAAGAAGACTTTGTGGTGGGCGATGAGATGGTCGACTTGGGCAGCTGGAAAATTACGATTATTGGGATCGAGAAGAGAAAATTCAATAAACTCACAAGTCAATCCGGTGTAGCTGAACATTCCAATTTGTTGAGTGATGTGGTCCCAAGTTCCTGGTGTCGAGAGTTGCTTCAAATGTCCCAACAACGCGGCTCTCATCTCCTTGATACGAGAAGACATGGTCTGGATGGCCTGATGCCAATGCTCACGGCGAGCTGGGGTTGTGAGCACCTTGTGGACAATACGGGCTCCGTGGGCTGGTGGGTTGGACCAGTTAGCACGGATGACCAAGGACATTTGCGACTGGAATCCAGCAATGACGGCTGGGTTGTTGACAACAACTGTGAGGTTTCCAACACGTTCGTCTGTGAAACAATAAATGCATTTTGAAAGAGATTTTAGAAAAAAAACTCACTGTAGAGTCCAAAGTTCTTGGCGAAAGACTGAGAAACAACCATTTCCATTCCTTGCTCAACAAAATAGCGGATGGCCCAAGCATCAGCGGCCGGGTCTCCAGAAGCGAATCCTTGGTAGGCGATATCGAAGAATGTAAAGAGGTTCTTTCTCTTGATGACCTCGGCAATCAACTTCCACTGATCTTGAGTTGGGTCCATTCCGGTTGGGTTGTGAGCGCATCCGTGGAGAATGATGACTGACTTTTCTGGAGCATTCTCAAGATCGGAGAGGAGCTTCTCGATGTGGACACGTTTGTTGTCGTAGTCCCAGAAGGTGTAGTCGCGGACCTCGGAAAATCCGGCTTTTTTGAAGACGAGCTTGTGGTTTCCCCTGAAATCTTTGGCTATTTTTTTGTTTCATAATTAATATTAAGTCCCTTGCTGAGTTCCAAAAGGTGGTTTCAGTAAAATATTATTATTTTCTCATTTCATAGCGCTATCTTGTTCCTCTCGTCAGTTCTTCATGCTGCCAAGCGCGCTGCGTGTCGCGCTGCGGTTGTATCTTGTTGTTCCTATATTATATTTTATTGTTTCTCTAAACTTCTCTGTCAAAAGTTGATGAGTTTCATTCACGAATCAATGAGAGAAAGTACTCTAAATGAAAATCGACAATTTTTTCCCCGAAAATAGATTTCAAAATTTCCTGAACTGTTTCGATAAAAATGGATTCCACGCTACGTTGCGTTTTTTAATCTTTCCGTGACGAGCGTTACAGCGAAACATTATCCATTCATCTTGAAACGTACCTACTGCGTGCGATAATAATTTGAAATACGTTTCGTGAACAATGACTTATTCCAGCTCAGCTATTTTATCCGATTTCTCTCAAAAACACTCACCAAGTCGGGTTACTGACATAAACAGTCTTCATGTTGCAAACATGAGCCAAGAACTCAGCTCCAGCACGAAGAGCTCCAGTTCCGGACAAGCATTGAACACCGAAAGAGCGTCCCTCCTTGATAGCTGGCGAATCCTCTCCGAGAACCAACTCGGTAGCAGCTTTACGGAATCCCTCGTGTCCCAAAACTGGCAAATACTCGTGGTTGAGAGTAGTATCATTGGCAATCTCGACTTCAGTGTCGTGAACAACTGGAAGCACCCATGGAAGTCCCTCCTCGGTACGATAGGCTCCAATGGTGAGGTTGACCTTGACGGGAGCAGTCTCTTCCAGGTAGAGCTTGTTCTTGTGGAACACCTCTATTGGTGGTGCGACTGGGATTCCGTCGAAGAAAGACATTGTTGTTGAGATGGAGGTTCTGAAAATAGTGATGGTCATGAAACTAACGGTCAAACGTACAAGAAAGCGAGAAAACGGAGTATGCGAGTGTCGACAATAACGGAGGACGGACGGTATAAATGAGTTGCGTTTATATAGTGGTGAGATCAAAATCGAAAAAAGACTACGGCTGCCAAAAAAAGGAGGTCATCCTCTCCGTTTGTGTGGGTTGAGGTGAGGTGATTTAGATTTGGTTTTTTGTACTTCAATTTGAAAGGAAAAAAAAGAACAATTATTGATTTCTGGAGCAGTTAAGAGGCGATTATAGAAATGCTGATAAGAGTATGAAGACAGGAATAGAAGTTTACGATTGAAATGGACAGAAAAACTTACACGAGAAAAAAAAATGAGCGTAACTTTTTCAGAATTGAACTCACTGAAAACAAGTGCTGTTTGTATATTTTTTCAGGGGGGTTTTCAAAGACGGACTGCCTCTTTTTTTTTCTCTCAACAACTCTTTTTTGTCGGGATCTCTCTAAATTGCAAACACTATTTTCAAAGACAACACATTCCATGGGATAGAGATTCAAAGAAGTAGGCAGAAAGAAAAGAGAGCGGCGCAAAAAATTGTTTGCTTGAAAGAGTTTTCTTCTTCCCTCGGACGTGACCATTTTGAATTTTATTTTTTGATGGATGGAGGGTGAAAACAACGTGATTTGCAAAACAAAAAGAAAAGAAAGGGCAAAAATGGCAGTGGGAGAGTAATGGGATCAAAATTTACAGAAAAGGGTTTTACTTTTTGATAAGATAGTGATTTAGGGGTAATGTGGTTTTAGGGTTGTTGATTAGATAGGCGCAAAAACCAATAACACAACTGTTCGAAATCGAATTCAAATTTCAAAACAAAAATCGAATAGTTCAAACTTCAAAAACCAACTGACCAATTCTTCTCATCTGACCTTCTAAGAAATATGAGGAAAAATGACGCCAATTCCAACCTTGAATTGATCGTGCGAAAGAGGGAGGGAAATAGGAAAACATGTTTTTATGCAGATTTTTTCAAAATATAATCGGTTTTCTTTCCAAGTTGGCGATCGGAAAAAAGAAGAAGAGAAATGACAGGGGAACAGAATACGGTCGAAGTGGGAATGGAATTGAAGTTGTGGGAATAAAAAAAAATGCACAGAAAAGAGAAAAATCTATTTTCAGGGAAGTGGAAGTGGCGACAAGGGAGAATATAAAAATGAAAAATTGAGTTTTTTTTTAGCTTTACTCGAAATCCCAAAATTTGGAAAAAAAAGAACTAGAACTGGAGAAGAGATCATAAATTTTTTGATATTTTAATCTAGCCAGTCTGCTCGACGCGCATTTGATACTTCAATAGCTGGTGCGCCTACGGCGCGCATCGATGTTAATTTATACGAATAAACAAGGTTTTTGGAGAGTGATTTAGAATTCTAACCTACAACTTTAATGGTAGTTGAAGGTCTCTTGGAAAAACGGAATGACATAGAAAGACAAAAAAGGAGAAAAACACTACTTCATTTGTTTTTATCACTAGAATTAAAGCTATAACGAAATTCGAAATTTTCTGAGTGATATTTCTTTGCAGCTCATTCTAAATCAAGAACCTTGAAATTGATAATTTCTAGTTCAAAAAATTAGTCTAGTCAGAGAAAATTCAGCTTTTCTGACTCTCACGCACCGAACAAGCCTTAATTTCTAATTCTTGATCATCGAATTCAGTTCCAACTAAAAAAAAGAAAGGAAAATTGAGGCACCAAAGAGTGAGCCACGAGTAGTAGCAAGGAATAAACATTGTTTCAAGTTTTCTCTTTCTTTCAACCATCGAACCTCACGAAACTACGCCCCAGAAATATGAGTCTTTGTAACTCGAGTTTTTGTTCAGCGGCCTATTTTTCTTCCTATCCTCTCGAGCACTTCTTCTCCTTCTCCCCTGCGCTCTAAATCTTTTCATACTTCATAATCAGATTATTCTTGTTTTTCGAGAACACTTTAGTCTCTATGTCACATGAAAATTCCCCAATCGTCCATAGGGTGTTATTAGCTTAACCGCCACCACTACTTCTCTAAAAACACCACACCTTCCAACTCGCGGTTTGTATATGTTTTGGAGAAATCACTTCTCGAAACAATATTGCACACTTACTGTTTCATTTTGTTGAGAAGTGAGGAAGGCACGTGCCACTCCGCCCCAATGATATTCGCCGTTCTGATCCGATTATTTCAACAAAAAGTCGGAGAGTCTGACACTCCTCACAGTAGCTACCTCCCAACAATACGTGAGGGCTCGATTTTCGAGGTTTTTTTGCTTTTTATTTTGGATTTCAGACTTGTAATTTTTGGTTTCACAAGTTTTTTGCAAGCTGGATTAAATCTCAAAATCGTGCAAAGACAAAATCTTTCGAGTTTCGAGGAAAAAGATTATCAACACGAAAGTACAAGTCACTTCTTTCTGATTAGCCCTTAGTCTCTTGTCAGCTATGAAACAAATTTTTACTTTTTCAAAATTCAACAATTCACATCTAGCCCCACTGAATATGTAATAGATTTCACGAGAAGCATTGAATGCCTCTACGTAGAATTCCTGCTAAAATTACCAGCTTCATTGAAACAAATAGAACAATTACAAGAGTTCGCCGCGAGTTTTCCAACTGTTTTCAGAATCCACATGTTCTATTTACACAGCTAATTTGATGGAAAAAGCTCGTGGGGTTTGCTCAAATAAGTTGGGGGGTACAAAGGAGTACAAAAAATATGCTGATTCACTCTTCCTTCTTTTCCTAGACATCCCCAGACAACCTTCAGTTTCCTTTATTTTACTTTTTACAATGGAAACGTTTCTTTTTTTCTCTGCAACTCTTTCAAATATTCTTCAAAAATATTTCAGAGATGTTCTCTCATCAAAATCGAGACCGTCGGGGTGGCGGCGGTGGAGGAGATGGTGGAAATGACGACGATGGTCCGGATAACACCGAAATGAAATCCAAGAGTCGTAGTCAACCGAGTGGTTTGAATCGTGTTAAGAATCTATCTAGAAAATTGTCGGCTAAATCAAGGTGAGTCTAAATTCTAAATTTCGAAATATTTTCCCCTCTAGAACAAATTCAAAAGTCCTAGAAAAAAATATACCTGATGCATACAATAAAAAGAGAAACGAAAAAAAACGGGCAGCGAGAAAACTCATAAATCAGAGTCATAACCTCGGAAAAAGAGAGAGGGCGATGTACAGTGACGTGGCATCGAGAAATCAATAGGACTAGGAGGGTTGCCCACAAACGGACCCTCTTCTTCACTAAACAAGGCGCACAAACGACACTCCGCTCAACTAGCATGGCCCGTCTTTGTTTTTTGCCTCCTTTTCTCTTCAAAATTTGCCATTTCTTCTCAAATTTTCTAAAATTCCTGACCCATTCGATTCCAAATTTTTGACTTCCAGAATTGTTGGGGAAAATCAACGTGTGCGTAGATTTTCCTTTTCATTTCGTGTCTCGAGAAAACACGTAGACTCTTTTGGCGCCACCGGTTAAAGCGCGTGAGACGCGAAGACTCTTTTTCGTCTCTTCCTTTCACACTCAGTCTGTTGAAAATAACGTGAAATCGAGTGATCTCTTCGTTTTTTTTTTTCCTTCTGCCGCTCTCTGTTTTCTGTGTATTTGTGTATGTGTGTGTGGACGCACCAAAGCTTGATGGAGTCACATGTATATCTTAAAAACGCACGACACAAATAGAGATACTCCAACATCACCGGATGAAAATTTTTGGTTGGGTTTTGTATTGGGTTTTATCTTGCAGTACGAATATTTTCTCGAAGTTCAGTATAAGATTTCTTTTCTCAGATTTGATTCTCGAATGATAGAGTGTGTTCATATCGTAACCCGCCCTCTTGCACTTTTTAAAGTTCCTCGTCTTATTAGTCTACCGGCAGCGCATCATATCATTTAGATACTGTTGTTATCTTTTTCCTCCCCTACCAATCATACCTAGTGTATCGAATTTCGTTGACAGAACGGGCAGCGCCACGCCGGCTTGTTTTTCTTTGCATCTCTCTTTCCTGTCTGACCTCGATGTTTTTTGTTACGATTGGAAGAGACTTACCTAAAAGCCACACACATAACCCAAAAAATTATATTTGATTAGATAAAATCGATTTGTTTTTCTTTTGAATTCCTTCTATACAGGACGAAGGTCGTCCTCTACTACTGTTTTTGGCATTGTTTAGTAGTGTCTGATGTCTAGTAGGAGAGATGTCATATGACTCTGACCATTAGAATTTCATTTCGAAGAACACAACATCTCTTCCGTCACCCTTCCCCAATTTTCGAACCTTACACGTTTCTGATAAGGATGTTTATTCTTTTCAACGGGCAACCCATTGCCTATCACCAGTGTGTTCAGTTATCAATAATTTGACAATTTTGGTAGAATCGATCAATCTTTCACATGGTCAAACAACGTCAACCCACTCTCTCTCTACCTTTTCCCTAGTCGTGTTGTGTCCACATTGTACTTCCCCACCTACAAATATACAACGTGAATAGAAAAACAAAGTTTTTGCGATTTTCGGTTTTCAATCTTATCTCAATTCTGGTTTTCTCATTGTGTCTGGCCTATGTTGCGGAATGAATTTCACACATACACAAGTTTTGTTTCAAAATTTTGTGATCTATAAATTTCAAAGTATATCAACCTTTCAAAAAATTTCAATTTTAAAAATTGCTCATTTAACTTTTGGTTTTCTATTTTTCTTCTCGTCTGTTTTGCAACCGATAATCAAAAAGCGATGAAGGCAAGAAGAGACAGCGGACAAAAGGCGAACGTCTTGTCTCTATCGTTATTCTCTCTATTCCTCTTCGAAACTCCACGTGAATCGAGTATCTCTAAGACTACTGTGAGCGAATTTTCGCTCTGTGTTTGCGTGAGAAGAAAAGACCGAAAGATTTGGTGAGACGGGTCGGAATGGGTGAGTGTGCGACGACGGGGCTTGGGGTCGTATGAGTGTAGGGTTGGCCGGGAAGAGAGCGGAGTGTTTTGGTGTGTATGTGCCCTTCCCAAGGTTAGCCACTGGGTCCCTCTTTTTTCTTATTATTGCCTAGAAGAAAATAGGACAATCGTCCTATAGTTATTCCTTTTTTTCCTGGTCCTTTTCGAGTCAAAACCATTGATTTTCAAAAAAAAAAATTATTTTAAAAATTATTTTAGTTTTTTTTCCCGAGTTTCCATGATTTTCAAGTTAGAAAAGTTTGCGTCCCTCACCCTTCTCTATAATAGGATTATCTTAGTTCTAAAACTTCAAAAAGCGCGCATCTCCACCTAGCCTGCACTTAATTCGTCTCTCAAGATCCTTCTCAACTAGGATCCCCCGAAAATTTATGTGTGTCTTCGCTTCTTTCCGTTTTCGAGTGGTGGTTCCATAGCTCCGCGCACGGAGCCAAGGCCGTCGTCGCGGTCGTAAATTGCCAGGTTTTATTCATATTCTGTGCGACTACCACACAAAAAAAAAACGCAGGAAAAAAGAGGAGAAGCTCCACCCACTCCAGAATCCTATCCCACAATGCTCTCCTCCTGCCTTTGTTTTTAATTCTAATCTTTAATTTCCCTCTATACCCCACACCATTCAATTCCTATCATGCGTCGAACTATTGCGCTTTTTAGAAAAGAACGCAAGGATCGCGACACGCCGGATAACAACTCAAAGATGTCTTCACCGGGTGGCGAGACCTCGTTGACTAAGAAGCCGGAGCTCGTTGCTCAAATCAAAATTGGACATTATATTCTGAAAGAGACGCTTGGAGTTGGTACCTTCGGAAAGGTTAAAGGTGAGTAGTGTTTTTTTTTGAATTAATTCTCTTCTTTTTGTCGAATTTTTGAAATCAAAACATACGTAACCATTTCTATTTTGTTTCAGTTGGAATCCATGAAGGAACTTCGTACAAAGTGGCGGTGAAGATTCTGAATCGTCAGAAGATCAAATCACTCGACGTCGTGGGAAAGATCCGTCGTGAGATCCAGAATCTCTCACTTTTCCGTCATCCTCACATCATCCGCCTCTACCAAGTCATCAGCACTCCATCGGACATCTTCATGATTATGGAGCACGTTTCTGGAGGAGAACTCTTCGACTACATTGTCAAGCACGGACGTCTGAAGACTGCCGAAGCCCGCCGATTTTTCCAACAAATCATTTCTGGAGTGGATTATTGTCATCGTCACATGGTTGTTCATCGCGATCTGAAACCAGAGAATTTACTACTCGATGAACAAAACAACGTGAAGATTGCCGACTTTGGATTGTCAAACATTATGACCGACGGAGATTTTCTACGTACCAGCTGCGGATCACCTAATTATGCTGCACCAGAAGTCATCAGTGGAAAGTAAGTAGAATAAAATGCTGAGAATTTTGAATCACATTTGACAAACGGCGAATAGTACATGTGCAATGACTAAGAAAGCGTTCACTGTATGCAAACACCATTACGACATTTTGCGTATTTCCTTGTTTGTACGGGCCCGCGCATTAAGACTGAGCAATGATAATTGAAAGTAGTATTTTACAGACTCTACGCTGGTCCCGAAGTCGATGTCTGGTCATGCGGAGTGATCCTCTATGCACTTCTCTGTGGTACTCTTCCATTCGACGACGAACATGTACCAAGTCTCTTCAGAAAGATCAAATGTGAGTAGATTTTCGTATTTAGCTGGCGTTGCCCTTGATGAAAAAATGCCAAAGATCTCCCAAGAACCTGGGAAACTTGTCTTCAGCCATTCCTGAAGCATACCCAACTAGATCCAGAAACCTTTTTTCAAGTTCTCAAGCTAGGACAACGAGACATGTTTAGATTCCTTCCGCAACGTTTTCATTTTCAGCCGGAGTCTTCCCTACACCAGAATTCTTGGAACGACCAATCGTCAACTTGCTTCATCACATGTTGTGTGTCGATCCAATGAAGAGAGCTACGATCAAGGACGTGATGTGAGTAGGAGGGGAGGAAAAATGTTGTTGAAACTGTTTGTCGGTGCGAAAATACGATTCGATTAAAATTCCTCTTTCACCAACAATAACAACAAATGTTTTCGATTTCAGCGCCCACGAATGGTTCCAAAAGGATCTACCAAATTATCTTTTCCCACCAATCAACGAGAGCGAAGCTTCCATCGTTGATATTGAGGCCGTTCGTGAAGTGACTGAGGTAGAGTAGTCTCTTTTAATGAACAGTGTCTAAGCCCTCGCAAAGTTTCAGCGCTACCATGTTGCCGAGGAAGAAGTGACATCGGCTCTTCTGGGTGACGACCCTCACCATCATCTCTCCATTGCCTACAATTTGATTGTGGACAACAAGCGTATTGCTGATGAGACAGCTAAGCTGTCGATCGAGGAGTTTTATCAAGTTACTCCAAATAAGGGACCAGGACCAGTTCATCGTCATCCTGAGCGTATTGCTGGTAAGTTCGAGGGGAGATAGTCCAATCCGGCTGAAGAATGCAATGTAGTGGAGAACGGTTGATGAGACATTGGAAAACGGTCATTGAGAAAAGTTCCGGGAGCAGAAAATTTGTTGAGAAACAGAACGAAGGGCTGTAAACATCAGAAATTATACAAAAATCGCTCTCTGTACAAAAATCGCACGCTGCATTTTCACACTATTTTCAGCGTCGGTCAGCAGCAAGATCACACCAACGCTCGACAACACTGAATCGACTGGATCAGCACGTAACAAGCGTGCCAAGTGGCATCTTGGCATTCGCTCTCAAAGTCGTCCAGAGGACATTATGTTCGAAGTGTTCCGTGCTATGAAGCAACTTGATATGGAATGGAAGGTTTTGAATCCATACCACGTCATCGTGCGACGCAAGCCGGATGCCCCAGCTGCCGATCCACCAAAGATGTCACTTCAACTCTACCAAGTTGACCAGAGGAGCTATCTTCTCGATTTCAAGAGCTTGGCAGATGAGGAGTCTGGATGTAAGCAGTCGAAATAAGCTTTGAATTACAGGATTAATTTTTCAGCAGCAAGTGCATCGTCGTCTCGTCACGCTTCAATGTCAATGCCACAGAAACCGGCTAGCATTCGTGGAACACGGACGTCAAGCATGCCACAAGCGATGAGCATGGAGGCGAGTATTGAGAAAATGGAAGTGCATGACTTTTCGGATATGTCGGTGAGGGTTAACACATTTTTTTAATTCTACCAATCAGCTTTTCGTCGCTTCTACCTAACCCGGAACTGTATCTGTGGAGTTGGTCTTATAGAGTTACTAAGCTTTTTGAGTTTCATTTCTTTAATAATAGCTCAGAATCTGATTAATAATTCATCTCAGGATTTCCAGTGCGATGTGACACCACCACCATCGCCAGGAGGAGCCAAGCTGTCACAGACAATGCAATTTTTTGAGATTTGCGCTGCTCTAATTGGAACTTTGGCTCGTTAAGCCTGCACAAAACACTCCATTACTCTATTCATTCCCAGATTGATTCAAAATTGGTTCAATTTTTCGTAACTTTGCTGCAAATATTTTATGCTTCGAGCAAAAAAAACATTATTTTTGACTTTTGAGACACTTCTCAATTTCCCTTTAAAACCTCAGTCCTTTAGTGCCGCTTGTTTTCTCTGAATGCCAAATTCTCCCCCACCTTTCCCTTGAAAGTTTTTTTTTTTTGAAAAAAGAATCATAACAAACTTTTCCTATATTTTAAAAATCTTGTCATTAAATTTGTGTATCTGTGAATAGACCCCTTTTCTATATGCGAGTAGTATCTATTTCTTCTCCTAAAAATGGTTTGTATCTTTTTTTATCCGTTTCATACTTTTTTTTTGTCCAGTTCAGTCAAGCTGAATCCTTTGTAATATAAGAACCCAACTACAAAAATCTATTTTTTCGTAAGATTTTTATTGTAAATGAAGGATTTCATTGTAAAAAAATATAGGTGACTTGGGTTTAGAAAGATCCGGAAGCCACTTTCTTGGCTTTTTCTGCTTTTTTCTTCTTATATAGAGAGTAATTGTGCTCGGCGCTCATGTAAGCAGTCTCCAGAAACAGGAAAACGAATTCGCAACATGTCAAGAAAGAGATTCCGCACCAGAGACCCAACTGTCCACCGAAATCAGCTAACAAGTTGACGAACTGAAAGAAAACGGATTAAAAAAGGCAAGTTAGAAGTTAAGCGCACTCCATAAGCCTCAGATTCGGTGAGCATTTCGAAATTGAGCTGTTCATAGAACACTTCAACCATTGCGCCGTTCTCTCTGAAAATCGTAACTCCAAAAATGTTTCAGAAAAGTTATCAGTTACTTGTAATGCTTATTGCACTCCACCGCAGTACCATTACACGATCCCAGCTGGATTTGAAGAGATAGCGATGGCCATTTTGCCGGAGAGTATGTCACAGAGTAAATTGATTGGCGACACGGTTGTTGACATCTGCAACGGAAGGATCCATGAAGACCTCCGAGATCATTCATTCTAGCGTCCAGGCATCTTCCTGAAAAAAATCGATGAAAACAGCTTAATTGGTATATGACACCATACTTGCAACAGGATCAGCGGCGTCACAATGTCTCGCACCTTCTGGAACTGGGAACCTGGGATCACCACATCTGCATTCTTTAAGAACCAGTTGTTGGAAGCAGGAGCGGTAGCAACCCTGAGAAATTGACTATATTGGGCTTTCTGCGGATTACCTACCTCGACGGAGTACTCATAGTTACTATAGATGTAGTCGGAAGTTTTCCCATCTGGCACACAATCACCGTATGGTGCTGGTAATCGAGACATTTTTCTCTGAAAAACAGCGAAATGAAAGAAAAACAAGGGTATTAAGTACCAATCTCAAGCCGAACGACGACACATATCCAGTTGGGGCAGAGTAGCCGAATGTGTCAGGGAATGGGAAGTCTTCTTTGTCATGAATAGTCAATCGGACCCCAGTAGCTTCAGTGGTTGGCATGTAATCAGAAGCATTGACATAGACAAGCATACGTAATCCGTACATGGGACCTGGTATTTTGACTCTTGTCACAACGTTTAATGTTTCTCAGTAGAGCGCTTACCAGCACGAATACTAGTCAGATTGACAGTTCGGTTATGGTTGAAAGTAAAGCAAGAGCCAAATACAGGATCAATATGGGTTAAGAAATCACTGAACAAATTATTAGGTCTTTGTTTCCTCAGATCTATTCTTACGCCTCAATATCACAGGCTTTTCCATTAAAGGAACACTTGTGCACCAGCTCCCTTTTAGTTGTGCTCAATCTCTCTCGATCTTGCATAGAAAGAGTTGCCATTGCAAACATGTGTTTTCTTTTGCCTTGGTAACAATTGCCACCTCATCGGTCATGCCCTAGAAAGTAAAAATTGCATCGTTTTTTTCTAAAATGACGAATACTTGAAAACCCATAGCTTCTAAGAAATTCGGATCTTCGGTTGGTGTTCCTCCTTGCAGGTACGTCCAGATTTCAATTGGTGGAGTTTTGCCGTTATATGCGACACAGAACTTCGATGGAGCACAAATGCATGGGGAACGATGGCCTTTTGCTATAACTCTAATTGTCTTTGAATTTCACAAAATTGTACACATACCAGTTTTGTTGTCTTTTGTGCAGAAAGCATGCTCGTTACAGGTGTCGCATTCTGTTGTTTCCCAGGTTCCATTCAAAAAGCAAGGCCATGCATCATGAGTAGATCTGTCAAACGCGCAAATACAGCGATCGTCGAATCCAGTGGGCTCGTCGAATTTCGTTCTGAATTTAGCTTCATTTTATTTCTCTACTACCCTTCACGCCTGTTTCCAACCTTTCCGATTGGCACTCCTCCATCATGTTCATTCCAGTCGTCGCTTCGACATCGTAATTCTCATAATGCTCATTGTTGTCATACTCTTCCATTCCATCCCATTCCTCATCGGCATCTGAGAAAACCATCCCATTCTTCTTCTGTATTTAACATGCAACACTTACCATTAATATTGAATGGCTTCCTAGTGGTCGTTTCATGCATCTCCTCCTCTTTCTCATCGTCCTTGTCTTCTTGCTCACTGGATCCTTGACTTCCGCAAAGACATCTCGCGAATCCAGGCTCGAAGAAGGCGCCAGACAAATCGCGTTTCCCGCGGCGACGTGATGGTTTTGTTGTTGGTGCCGGCGTTGTTGGTGCCTCCGTGATAACTTCCTTCTCTCCATCGTGTTCTTTGTTCCCTCCGGCTTTGCCCATAGCACCATCAAACGCAGATAATGTTCGTTTGACGAGATCCACGCTGGTGGCTAAGCTGGCTTTGTACGGGTTGAGATTACAGAGAGTGATAGCCGGGAATGGAGCAGTATCTGATAAAGAAATCGTACTATGTGCATATACAATCGCGCCACTCACCAAACTTAAGTTGGATATCCACAATCTTTTCATTCCGATTGTACTTGTCCAACACGGATTGTGCATTGAGGTACAACATAATCATACATCCAAGGAACAACATAACCCATACAGCTCGATAGTACACATTTGGAGCTTCACCAATCATTGGAATACCGTGAGCGGATGTCTTGTAGCAAAACTCCTTGAAGTGCCAGGCGAGACGTTTGTCATATGGTAGCAACTTTGGGTCAAACTCTCCAGTTATTAGCTCGCACTGGAATTTTTTTCAAATCATATAATTAAAAATCATTCAAAAAATTACCTGAACTTCCGACTCCGATGAATTAAAGCATTCTCCATAGCCAAAATCTTCATAATACTCTCTTTCAGTAACGAATTTCGTATTTTCTTGAAGATAAGCCAATGGGTCTCCATACACTTGGGACATGTACTCGGAGGGGTCCCGTAGGTGTTGGTAGTTTTTTAAATTTTGCATCCATGACATTCTGGAAAATTTTGTTATTGAGAAAATAGTCTGATGATTCTGCAAAAAGGGGTATAACAGTTTACCAAAGTGGGAAAGCAAGGAAGAAAAAGTTTTGGCGCATCTCTTACCGACTGTGGGCGGTGTCTTGTCATCCGAAATGCATAGGAATTCTTGAAGGAAAAGTTGTGAGCTCAAGAAAAAGCTGTGATCCTGAGCCACGAGAGCTGAAGAAACATTCTGGAAAATGCTTTCTGGCAAAGAAGGTCAATTTTGAAGCTTTGAACTTTTAAGAAAGAGAATTATGATCTTTGAACGCTACGAAGCTTCCTGGGGGTCTTGGTCTGGGAGGTTCTGGAAGCCATTTCCAGGTTTGCAACACTAAAGTTGACAGAAAACCACTTTTAAATAATTTTTGTTCATTAATTGACAGAGCGAGTGTTTTTTTTCAAATAAAAATAATTGAGCACCAGTCAGGGGCAGATACAAAATGTTCAATATCTTAGAATAAAGCGAAGTAGTGTCCCAGAACTCTTATAAAAAGTCAAGGACAAGATAGTTAAGGATTCCTTGTAAAAAAATAGATTTTTAAACATGAGTAGTCATAGGGAAATTAGATTAGATGGATTTCGAGCAGCTTAGACAATGTCCGAGACGACGGTGACCAGTTTTCCATTGACGAACGTAGTTTTGAACTGCTCCGGGACTGGGAATTCGGACTGGAAATTCAATATTGTTCTTGGTATCTGAAAAATCCTAAAACAGCTTACATATTCCCCATCATCGGTGGTTTGCACGGAGATGTTCATCTCGCTGGATTTGGAAGTAACAATTTCACATGCCTGGGCAACCTTGGAGAGGAAGACTTGGCACCCGTCGGTTTTTTGAATCGAAAGAGTTGGAAGCTCGCCGAGGGTCTGAAAATTGGAGTTGTTGTGTTTTCGCTATCTCTTTGATTATTCGTTACCTGAATCTGCACGGATTGACAGTTGACAGTCTCGCACTGAGCAACCAACGCGTCAAAGACAACAGAAGTCTTCTTGCATCCATCCAAAGTGATTGAGTTGGCCTTTCCGTTGACCTTGATGACGGAATTCTCACAGCGGTAGATGTAGACGGTTTGCTTTTTGTCGGCAACGTCGATGACGATGTTTCGGTCGTTGACGAAGTATTCCTGGAGAAATTGAGAATTGAAGCTCATTATCTAAGCCTAAAGCTACTTACCACAATCCATTGCTTTCCGTTCTCCAACTCCTTGTGTGGTGGCTTCTTGACTGGAGCAGCAACAGCCTTGGCTGGGGAAGCGCCACCTTGTTGTCCAGTAGCTGGAACAGCAGCAGTTCCACGAAGGTTTGGATTCTTATGAGTCTGCATGTCAGCGGTGACCTTCTTTAATCTCGAGGTAACACCCTCTCCTTGGTTCAACTGAGCGAAAAGTGCATCACGGTTCGATTTGTCAGTATCAACTGGTGGCGGAGCAATGCTGGCGAGGAAGTCAGCCGGTGGTGGTGGAGGTGGTGGTGGTGGCCCTCCTGGGCCTCCTGGTGCCTTCGGTGCGGCGACTGGAGCGGCTGATGGAGCAGACGAGGCACCATCAGGAACAGCTCCAGGGGCACTGTTCCACACAAGTCCGGTGGTATGGACTTGACGGACAAACTTTTGCATTTCTTCGAAAATCGACTTCCAGGCCTTGGTCCATTCCACATGAAGTGGATTGGTGTCCTTGAACTCGCGAAGAATTGGGTTGATGTAGAATTGCGCAGCCTCGATGTAATCCTTGACATGTGGAGCTGGAGTTTTCTTCTGAAATTGAACGAGATTTAGATTACGAGGGCTACAGTACAAAACTCTTACCACAACAACCCATCCAAGAGCTGGGAGAGCTTCTGAAATCGAGTTGAGATGATTCCATTGGGTAGTCTTGTTGCGTTTGGAGTCCTTGAAGTTGTTAATCTCCCCAAGGAGACCAATGACAGGGGCGAGCATCTTCTGAGCCTCCTCGTCGGATGGTTGAGCTTTTCCAGCAGCGGTCCACAAATAATTACGAGCGCTATCGAAAATGGCAAGGACCTTTGGCTTCTGAAAAAAAAAGGAATTCAGGTTGGTCGACATGGATTTTTAAAATTTCAAAAATAACTTACCACAGCGGCTAGATCCCCTCCGATTTGATCAGTGAGCTTGGCCCAGTTGTTGAGCGGCTCCTCGACGGCATCATCGTAGGCCCGAACATGAGCTGGAATTTCTCCGGATCCTGCGGCAGACGCAGCAGCGGATGCTGGAATAAAAAACAATTTAGGAAAGAAGTGAACTTTTAGTTTTAATTTAATTTTTTTAAAAATAATTTCAACTGTTTGCTCAATTTTAGTTATTTAGTAAAGAACCACACAGTTACACGCACTGTTCACCTTTATCCTGATCAATGAAGACAACCTTTTTCGATGAACTCCGGTGAAGTGATGGGTTTTTGATGAGAATCCCGTGTAAATTGTCACCGTAAAAGTTGCGGTTATGATGTCGTCCCGTTTCGTTATCACGAAGATATTTCGGAAGCGCCCGTCTGGCCATTTCCTCAATATCCAAATCGCTGTCGTTGTCGTTATCGTAGTTAGAACTTGGTGAAAAATTGGGGTTCGTGTAGTGAGAAGTAGGTTTCACTGGGTGCACATTGTGACCGTTTCCGTGTGGGTGTCCATGCCCAAAGTGGGGTTTGTTATACGGTATTGGGTCTGATGGCATGTGCACATTCACATTGGGTTCAATTACAGCCACTGGCGGTTGCGACGAGTCACGTCGGGTCCTGGCGTCATAGTCATCTGTGTGACTATTATAGGTATGACGGTTACTGGTGAAGCCATTGATCACAGTTGGACCCGAGCGGTTGTACACTTTTGACTCTACTGGGCTGAATATTCTATCTTGAGCGGTAGTGAATGGCTGAATAGGCTGAACAGGAGCCACCTCACGGATAGGAGAAGTGAGTCTTGCGAAATCACGGAGAGGAGATTGAATGCGAGCACGTTGGGTTTGAAGGGGTGGAGAAAAATGTGATTCCTCCGGTTGATGATAGAGATCTTGTTCCTGTTGATTAGGATGGATGCGAAGTACACGATCATTGGTTAGCCGTATTGGTTCATTAGAGTAGATTGCAGAGTTTCGATTCGACTGGTTAGCTTCACTGTTATCTTTTTCTCGATAAGCAACTGCTGCTGACAATGGAACATTCTGGTAGACTTGATCTGTTGACCCTTGCGCCGGGCCCCGTTGGTACCCACTGCTGCCTCCTCCGGCTCCCCGACTCTCTTCATGGCTGTTGTAGTTGATTTGATTGATGGGGTTTGGGAATGAGAACGGGCCATGCTGATGGGCATAAGAGATGATAGGTGGGGAGCGGACGGGGCTCGGTTCGCGGTACGTTTTTTGATAGCGAGGGTCAGGTTGAACGGGTTGGACAGGAGGAGGAAGAGGCTGGCTGGGCTGCTGCTGTTTCTGTTGCTGATAGCCATCTCGATGATAGCTTCGGAAATTCGGAGGCACAGTTTCATTGACAACAGAATTGGCTCGAGTTGGCTCACGGAACGTCGGCTCTAATCGGAATCGCTCAAAATCAGAGGAATTCACAGAACTCTTCAACGGAACATTTCGAATTATGTAGTCTTCGCGGAAAGATTTTGGCGGTGGTGGGTCAGTCATCCAGTTCGGTTCGATTACTCGGTTTTGGAAGAAACCGTTCAACCGATGAGGCTGGTTTCCGTTGCTATTTGCAGTGAAGTTATTGATAGAGTTGTGTAGAATGCCACCGTTGCTGCTGGGAGGAGTGATTGGTGAGTTATTGAAATAAGTGTTGTTGAGGGAATCGAAAGATAGATCCGACTGCGTTTTGGCTAATCGTCTTGGTTGGTGATTAGATGGAGGGTTTTGGATTTGGTGTTGTTGTTGAGTCGGATAAGCATTATATTCCATTTGACGTGAACTGGTATCGCCTGCGTACCAGCTGGATGACATATTCTGAGCTTCAGTTTTCTGGCGTTGAAGATTTCGCAAAAAATCGGTTTCCCGTTGAGAGGGCAGTGTATGAGTTTGATGCTCGTAAGATCTTGGAACATTATCATAACTTCTTGGAAGCGGTTCTTGATAAGTAGCGGGTACTGGGCTCTGCACACTCCTATGGCCAAACATACTTACTGGCTGCGACGATGGATTATTACAGTATTCACTAGCAACTGATAACGGAGAGAGCTCTCGTGGAGAAAAGTGATTATCAAATACTGTTGAATTGCTTTCCGAGCGAATCGGACGACGAGATCTTGGTGGCTCGTCGACGGTGGACCAATAATTAGTAGTGCGGTTGTCAACTGGTGATAATGGGGAGATAGGTGATACGCATGAAGATGGAAAATGTGGAAGAGTCGCTGACCGCTGGTCACTGACAAGTTGTTGGGGGAACGACGACCAACTGCTGGACGGACGCAACCCGCCTCCGAAGCTTCCTCGCAGATCTTGGGTGCTATCGGTGACCGGTCTATAGCCACGTGGAAACTTGTTGAATGGTCTAGGAGCTGAGTAATAAAGTGAATCCATGGTAGCGGAAGATGAATATAAGAGGGGGAGGATGGGCGAAAAAAAGGATAAAATGAGTTGACTAGTACATCAGAGGTGTTTGGTATGAATGTGGCAGGAGATGAGAAGAAGATGGGTAAAAGAAGAAATATTGTTAAGAATTGAGGGCACAAGAGGGGAGTGACGACGGATAAGTTGTCGAAGAGAAGGAAAAACCTCGAAACAACGAGAGGTTAGGCTCGACACGGGCGAGAAACACGGAAAACCGACGCAAAGAGAAAGAAAAGCCAACTGTTGAACGGATACACGGACTCTTTCAATTTCGGCAGAGATCCTCTCTGGAAAAATAGCATGCAAGTCGAGAGGGGTCCCCCCTAGGAACAGAAAAACGACTCTTCTCTGTTGCTGTAAAACACTTTGCGATGATGATGATGAGAGAAGAAGAGAATGAAGGATTGACGGCCCCTAGTGTCAGAGGGAAGAGGAAGAAAAAGTTCGATTAGGATTGATAACTTTTGGACGGGGAGGATTTATCCCAGAGAGGACTTATGGCTTGGAGATTCAGAAAAAAAATAGAGAGGGAGCTTCAATTCTAGAAGGGACTACAAATACTGAGTTGTTGCTTTTTCTGCCAAAGCCAAACTGGTGTGCACTAACGCAAACAACATATTTCACAAATTTTTTCTTACTTTTTTTTCAAGAAATAGTGATTTTTCTAAAACTTGTAATATGCTTACAGTTCGATTGCAGTTCTTCAGGAAAGCTACTAAAGAATCTCGCGACTAATGCATTCGAATTTCGATGATAGAAAGTTAAAAGGACTCGCTCAAAATATTTTATAGATAAATATTTGCCATATCCAGAATAATCAGATCCAGTGATACCTCCCCCTAGACTGACTATCGTTTCTAGATCATTCAAGAAAATTATAGCTTGAACTCTAAAGGTTTGGAGCTTAAACGCAAAAGGGAACTCAAAGAAACTGCTTAAAAAGTGAAATCTGACCGTCATTTCCTACCTATGATCCTGGCTTCAAAACAAAAATATTGACAAGTCTCATCTTTCAAAAACTGTCGTAAAATTGCTTCTGCAGAGTGGCAAAAAACAAAAGTCTGGAATCTTCTAAAGGGAACTCGTGAACCTATCATAGCCAGCAAAAAATAATATGAACCGGTAGCACTTGCGGCGCCGAGCGATAACCAGAGGAATGCCACTGGTTCATGATCATAAAACTCACATATGATGCGTATCGGAATGTTCCTGACTACTCTCGCCGAGGCAGAAGCAGCAGCACTACGCGAGGAGGAAGACGAAGCAGCAAAATACTCATTTGTGACTCCTTGATAGGTCACGCGTAGTTTCATGATGATAGGAGAACAGCAGGGAATGTGGCGTGGGTATGGTTAGAAATATGAACACCACCTTGGTACATTAGTCATAAGATTTTGAGCAAACAACTGTTTTACGAAATTTCTGTTTTCCATTTTAGTTGCTTTTTTTTTGAACAACTGTCATTCCTGATATTTGGTTAACTAAAAACTCACGACTCGGTCCTCCCAGATTGGTTGGTTTTGGTGCCAAGGCAGGTTTTTGTCCTGAAATTGCTTCGAGCCGGACGGTCACAGCTTCCAGACGCTTCAGCAAATCCTCTTGAGTAGACATGTCTTGTTTCTGTAACGATTTTCATTAGTTTTTCTATGTTAAATTCATCAAAACCTTGTCATTTGAGGAGAAACAAAGTAGATTCATAGTAAAAATCGATAATATAGTAGGGAGAAAGAAGGGAACAACAGAGTTATAAGCAGATCTGGTTGTACTAATTCCGGAGCAAAGGTATCACGTTTCTCACCACCCCCATGCATTTTAAATGTGTCAATTCTGTCGTGAAAATGTTCACTTGGAATCATTTTTCAAAAGAACCTCGATTTTTTTTCGAATTTTTCGGCTAAAAATGGGAAAATCCTTAGCTAATAGGAAGCGAACATGAATCATCAAACTATTTCGCAATACTTACTGCGTTCAGAAAGCAAAACAAGGAGAAAAATGGAAGAGAAACAAAAAAATAAGGTCATTTGTTGAGTGTGTATTGGGAAAAAAAAAGAGGACCCCGCCGCACAGAACCGTAAATCGACAGTTGCCCCGCGCAGTCCGGTGGGGCGCGTTTGCGTACACTCCGCCGCGCGGGGTCACTGTTAGAATGTGTGCAGTGTAAATAGTGGTGGGATGAGAGAAAAGAGGGTGGAATGAACGGAAGGAAGATTAGATCGGTTGGCACGAGATTTGGTATGGGGATTTCGAAATATTGGGAATATTTAAAAGAGAAAAATGTGATTCATTCAATTCAAAAAATTCAAAATACTGTAATACTTACATCGAAATGGATTTATACTATTAAACAACTATTTTCATAAAGACACGCCCCTAGTCATTGGCCAATAAAGCTATTAATCGTCCTCATGACTTTCATTTCTTGAAAGCGATCCAAAAAAGTTTTTGAATCGTAAAATTCCGTTATTTGAATTTCAAAAAAGTTTAAACGGAAGTTTATTTCTCTAAAAAACTCTAATTTGGCTTTTAACAAAGCGCCCTAAAGAGGAATCTGCCAATTTTCCAAACAATCCACCTAATACACATTTTACGGCACGGTCTTTTCTATTTTCGGCCAAAACCAAGGAGAGGAGTACTTGAGAGATGAATGCAAAAGAAAGGCAATTCTCCAAAGAAACGAAATGAACGGCCGTGGTGACGAGGAGGCGCGTAAATAATTGCTCCTCTCCTGTCCGTCACCAGCAAGGTAAGCCAGGAATATAAGAAAAAAACTGGGAGTGTGTGGATTGAAAGTTTTCCAAGTAAAACATAAACCATATGAAGAATCATCATAAACTCTATGGAGTTTATTGTGAATGGGCAAAGAGGAAAGAAAAACGACACAATTTAAAGCGACGGTTTTTTTTTTTGCTTTCTTTTGATTCAAAAAGGCGATGATTCATTTTTGTATCACCATCTATGTCTTGTCGTCGTAATCACATTGAAATATGAAACAAATAAGTGTTCTCTAATTGATAAGAAACAAGCGAAAGATAGAGAAAAATAAAATTGCGAGGAAGAAAATGAACTTTTGAGACTTCGGCGTTCACAAAACGAAAAAAACAAGAGATCTCAATCCAAAATCTCGCGATTCAAAATCTGTTAGCTTCTGTGTTTGTGGTGCTCTCTCTCTCCCTCTCTGTGAGGGGGCGAGGAGCAGCAAGTCAAAGCGCAATCAATAGCCGATGGTCTTCTCCTCCCTGTGTGTCTTTGGACAGACGGGGTGCCTCGGAAACGTCGGATCTCTTGTCTGCGTTTCTACAAAGTACACAGTTTCTAGTAAACTTGTCGTGCTCTCCCAGGGCCATATCGCATCAGTGTGTGTCATCGGATTGGTTAGAACATCTGTTTCTATTTTTCTCTGCCCCCCCGAGGGGGGGGGGGGGGGGGGGGAAGAAAATGATGAGAGACGATCACAAGGTCAACAAGGTCTTTGAATCTTTATCTGATTATGTATTAGCAATTGGATGAACTCATTTTGCTTTATCTTGTAAACCATTTTTCCAAACATCACTTTATATATTCAATAAACTTTTCAAAAAAAAGCAATAGAAATTTGAATACAGATTTTGAAAGAGTTCAACAGGAAGGATTGATGATTTGGCAATAGTTTACCGGTGCAACTTGAGAAACGAGAATTCCGAAGATCAAGTTTTGTGATGGAACTTCTTCAGGAAGTGCTTGGCGACTTCAATCGGGTACGGCATCACAATAGTATTGTTTCTGAACAATGTTTCTTGATTTGATCTGATTTCTAAAATTACCTTTCAGCTGAAATTTTAGTCAACGTTTGTAAGTATCTCAACTGAATAGTCATCCGATTCTCGGCAATAGTGTCAGCGGCAGTTTGAAGACATCGGAAAAAAAAGAAGATGAAACATGGAAAAATAGTGAGAGAAAAAAGGAAAATGAACTTACGCGCTAGCATCCTTCTCTCCTTGTGCCGCAATGATCGCCGCACGAGCTTTTCTGACAGCTTCTGCTTCTGCCGCCATACTTCTCATAAGTTGGTGTGGGAGGCGAATATCTTTAATCTCGACACGCTCCACTTTCACACCCCATGGATCGGTTCCTTCGTCGAGCACCTTTTCTGTTATCTGGAAACAAATTTCTTAGATCGTTGGGGCTTGTTTAGAATATCATACACTGGCAATGGCATCACGTTCACTGAGCATTTCACTGAGCGTTTTGGTACCCAGAACATTTCGAAGAGTGGTTTGAGCTAGAAGACGTGTACTGAACTGAGCATCATTGACATTTGTAACAGAGATGACTGGATTGGAAACTCGGAAATAGATAACAGCTTCTACAGAAACTGTCACAGAGTCTCTACTCAGAATTTCTTGTGGTGGAACATCGAACGAAAGTACTCGAAGGTCCACTATCTTCATTGTATCGATGCATGGCAGCACGAAGAACAGGCCGGGACCCTTTGTTCCTCCCTTGATAAGCCTACCCAACCGGAAGATCACAGCTCTTTGATATTCTCTGCAAACAACAACGCAATTGTTTTTTTTTTCATTTTGCTTCACTCAAGATTCTTACTTGACTACTTTCACACAGAAGAATAGACACCAGGGGAATGAGAGAAGAATGAGCAGAAAGGAGAAAATGAGCATCATATGAGAAATAAGTGGTGGTGGTTCCTGAAATCAAGTTTTCAGAAATTCTGAAGATTCAAATATTTAGACGCTAGGAGATGTTTCAAAAAAGGATCAGAATATCCTAAACGCTCTAATAGAACGCCACCCAAATCGTCAAATTTGAGCCCATGTTTACGGTATCTGTAGAAATAAAAACATCTTACTCTCTCCTCATGAAGAAGATGTCGCGTTCGAATCAACCAACTCTGTGATCTGGCTCGCATTGGAATTTTCTCAATGGCATCCTGAAAAATAGCGAGAAGTTTATATTTATAAAGTTGGGCGTAGTGGAAGCTCATTAACTTGTGTTTTCACTTTTAACGAGAGCAGAGGCAATTTCGCTGCTCACTTTTACTCATGGGAGCTAAACCAATTATAGGGTGCGCAGTTGAAACTACTAGTGAAAAAAGTTATTAAATTTATTAAAATTCTTTTAAAAGTTTCAAAACACTGCTTCTGCTCGGCAATCTGGAAAATTAAAACAATTGAGCTTCTATAAAATAGGAAATTTCATTTTCAAGTATCTTACCTTTTTCAGAATCTTAAGAAGTTTTAGAGCGCGCAAATTCAAAACGCGCAGAAAAAAAATAGTGTCAGTTGAAATTAAATTCTGTCGCGTTTACTTTCTAAATAAGGAAAAAAAACGACGTCAGTCAAATTTTTCCACCTACGTTATTCTGAAGTTTACATTTTATAGATTCACACTTTCAAAACTTTCATACCTTCCTGGTGAATATCGTCGAAGTTTTATGAATTTTCATATTGACTGATAGTAAGTAGGAAATTTCGAATAACAAAATCTGAGACACAAGACACCTTATTGCATATCTCTTCTCTTTCGGTCAAAATGGGGGCGCGAATAAGAGGGAAGAAAAAAGAAAAAAAAAAGAAAAGGATGAGTGTCGAGAACCTACACACACGTGTCTATACGCACCCTTTTATGCGGTGGCACTTCACCACGATCCAAACCGAGCGATCTAATATCGGGCACAAACAACAAGTTTGGATTAATTGAAGCGGATGGAGGTGCCGATGCTTCATCTTTCACCGAAGCCGTGCTACTGCGTCGCGAGTCCGCTTCATTACTATATCCGGTGTCTTCGGATTGTAGCGTATGAATACGACGCATGATCCGCTGCCGACGCTCGGTGGCGGACATTTTGTGCATTGCTCGTCGCTCTTCGCCAGGACTTCGTTCCATTCTTCTACAGCAAGACAAGTTTTTGAGGAAGAGGGATAACAAAGGAAAATTAAAAAAGTATGAGGAACTTTTGCAGGAGGATGAGAAAAAGAAAAAAATACTTTAAGAAGAACAGTTGATGTGAAGTGTTCTAAGTGATACAAACAGGAAATTAGAAAATTCAGAAGAAAAAATCGGATTTAATTTAAAGCTAATATTTGAAGCGGAAAATATCAAATGTGAACTTATTTTCAACTCCAAAAATGATTTTATCTAGAATTCGAATTATTTTCATTGATTTTCCCAAGTTTTCACATATTTTAAAGTGTTCTAAAATGCTCAAAATTCAAAAAAAAATTTTTTCAAGGAACGTGATTTCCTGTCTATGATGAGACAATGGATTAAATCTTCAAAAAAATTAAGTCTCTCTATTTTTCAATTCAAGTCGATTTTCCGAATTTTAAACATCAGAAAGTAAGTTTTTTTTCAAGTCAAACATCCGAAACATCTACCACTCTTCAAAAAAGATATAATAAATTTGCAGAAAATGAAACGGAGTATGTCAAAATATTGCCAGGATCACAGGTGCGGAGTAGTGTCTAGAGTACTCAAAATTTTAGCATGCATTCTCAATTAGATGAGAATCCGAAACACGCATGTTCTGTCGGGGCAAAAGTTTGGGACTAAGAATTTTGAACTTTTACGAAAAAATAAGTGAACCGGAAACTGACCCTAAAGGTACTTTGTAGTGTTGAAAATAAGTGGGGAAAATTTCGAAAAAGTAATTTAGTGCTTCTAATAACTATGAAAATCTATACTGGCGGAACGGTTAAGAATGTATAGATAATGGTTCAAATCTCTGCATTTTTTTCCAAATTTCGAAAATTGAAGAATTTCAAAATGCGCTCAAAAAAACTTAGAAAAATATTTCCCCTGAGATTTTCTCATCATCAGTGGGAGTTCGCTTTTATTTTCTATGAAATATGAGAGAGCTACATAATTCTTGTCAAGCATCCGTCGTCCGGTCCTCCCCAGCACTGCGGTCGGATGAGTCGAGGTATATTGGACAAGAAGACAATGTGTGTAACATGTTTTAAATTTTTGGACGACAACTCTCAACTCATTGAGCTATTGAGAAAAAGACGTGGGAATCAGTGTCTTTTGTTGAGGACGGGCGGTTTAATGGACGACGAAAAATAAGTCGAAACATAGTGGAAAATGAGTGAAACGAGTGGGTTCTGTGACAACCAAAGCCGAAAAGTGCAGTTTAATTATCTGGGACATGTGTGGACTCGCAAAAATTCACATGTCTGTATGTATTTCCATTTCTATTTCCATTTCCGCCGGCGCGACACCTCCTAAGTGGGCAATATCTTCTCTATCTCTTTCTTGGGTATATGTTTCACTTGAAAACTCAATGAAATGAACTTTGCGGAAAAAGGGTTAGAGATATGAAGATGTTGAAAATGTTTTCCTCCTCAAGAATAGGGATGAAAACATTTTTTCTTCTTTGTAGGTGTCCAAAGTTGTTCGCGGAGCGAAAATTATGCAAAAAATTCGTTTGAGTAAACGTATGTCGTTTTTATGTTCATGGAAAACAAGAAGAAAACAATTTCCACTTTTGATTAAGCTTGACAAAAGAACAATAGCATTAAAAATATGAATGAAAAAAGAATGTGCAGAAGTGTGAAGTTCTTGTCAAACTTGAAATTCGTACTTATTGGAATTGAAAAAAAAACGGCTTCTTAGAACAGTTCAAAGTAAAAAAAAGCTTTAACGTAATCAAAACTGCTGATTGGATAATGGAAATCGATGAGGTTTTGTTTCCATCACCACCTTCTCCCACTAATACGAATATCCCCCTGGCCCACTAAAATTACAACAAATGGCATCCCAATCAGACACAAATAAATCAATCGACACGAAATGGATGCCAATGCCTCGCGAGCCTCGCACATCTCGTGAGAGATCTGTTTTGATTGCGTTCTTGATCGCATTTATCAGGTTGAAACATCAATGGGTAGGAGTAGTAGTAAAAACCAAAGCGATGACTTTTTTGTGATGAGTTCTCTAAATTTGTTGGGGTACTAGTGGTCAGCGCGTTCCTTATTATTCGCCTCAGGCACTTCATCAAAAAAATATTTTGAATAATCATCATTCATTTTGTTTTCGTCTCCGGTTTGAAACTCAGACTCACCTCCAAATTGATTCCGGAACTTGCGTGAGCCATTCCACGTTTTCGAACACTTCGGTGTCTGAAACACTAGAATTTTGTATTGATAGTAAGAAGAAAAGCCAGTTAAATTGAAATTCCGGAAAGGTTCAAAAATTTTGAAGACGCTCTCAAGATTACTTTAGTCAGTTTGTAATACTCAGCAATTTGTAATTTTATATTTACCTGATTGTTCTCGAAATTTCTATTTTTCAGGAAAAAAAAATGAAATTCGAAACCAGAAAGTAATTACGAGAAAAACTTGAATAAAAAATGAAATCAGTATGAGCTCATTTATGTTTTTTGTTTCGAAAAAATAATCTTAATCAGGATTCTAAAACTCGAATTGTTTAGCGAATATAATGCTAGATATTTACATTCATCTGTTGTTCGGATTCGGCTAGGATCATTTAAACTAGTATGCATTGTACCTTCCGGAATTTTCGAAAAAAAAATCGGTAAACCCTCTAATAGAATCACCCTTTGAACTTTTAACTTCGAGTTAGTTTATCTTGCATCCTGTAAAAAGTATCAAGAAGTAACTAGCTAAAAATGTTATTGATGTAATACTGAACATTTTATCAGCTGACCCCATTTTGATATCTCTGACAGGAACCGAGATAAATTGGTGTGAAGGTGAAAGTTAGGTGTCATTCTATTAGTCTTTACGGTATTTGGGAAAAATTGAGAAAATGATTCAGAAAACTGAAAATTCACATTTTACACGTTACACGTTACAACGTCACTACTGCTACAAAATACAAACGGCATGCACACGTTATTTAAAAAAAATGAAAATACCTTCGAAAAGACTTCCGGACAGTCCGGAAAAACGACGCGGATGAGGACGAAGCTAGCATAGTCAGGAGTCTTCAACTTCTAAAACCAATCTCGAGAGAAAAAATAGTTGTGTCAGAACAGGAATAGTGTATGTTCTGGAGAAGAATGTCCCAACAATTGCATTCAATTGATGAGCCGCTTTATAGTCGAGAATCTCCAAAAGGAAGTGTCGATTTGGTAATTGTTTGTCCGCGTCAAAACCGACGACTTCTTGGCGACAGAAGAATGTCCTTCTTCTTCTCCCCCGTCTTCTCTTTTACTCGTCCAGATGAATAATTGGTATTGCCTATGGCGTTCTTTTTTGTCTCTTTATGTGGCTCCAACTTTTTCATGTAGCAGTTGGGTCCTAAGAGTGCGGACAGGAAATACTTTTCGAAAAAAGTTATAGTTAGTTTACTTCCACTTTTTTCTCTTGAGCTGGTGCAGATATGGAAATGAGTAAGAAACGGGGGCTGAACAAAAAAGTTGAAGGATGCTTGATCAAACGTCGACTCGTTTCGTTAGCAGTTGAGTGCCCAAATTAGTATGCAGTGGGGCTGAGAGGGGGCGCGTACTGAGATTATGTCGTTGATTGAATAATACTCGGTGATTCTTGAAGCAATTCTCCTCTCAGCTTGGAATCTGCCGCTGGAATAGTAGAAAGGTTTTGCAAGAAAAAGAGAGAGGAACGGCTAGCTGCTAAGTGGGTTTTCCACATCTGATGACTAGGACACTTCGTCAAAAAGGAAGTTGGGAGGTCGAAAAGTGGAAGAGCCGGATGTTCAAGTGTTAAGTTGGAGGTATACACTTGGAGAGGCAAGTTTTTGGAGTTTCCAGTGAAAAGGAAAAAAGTCAGGAAACTTTAATGGTTTAGAAATCCAGAAAACCTAATGAATTGATCTAGTTGTAAGTTGTAAGTTGTAATTAGTTTATTAGTTAATAACCTTTTTAAAAATTGCTCGTCATTTTGATTTCAAAAAGAAATTTTGTGATTTACAATAAGGTTAGCTACCATCTGTCTCATTATTTGGGAAAATAAGACTAGAACTCTCATTTTTCAGTTTCTAACCTGACAAAAAAGTTCTTCAGTTGAGATTACTATTGTTTTAAAAATTCGATATGACAACATTTCATAAATCAAAAACGTCATATCTTTCAATAATGAAAGTTGCCTGATTGATTAAAATTTTGACTACCTCAACTCCAATCTAAGCATCGATGATGGTTCTCCTTCAAAGCAAGATAAAAAAGTAATTCCACTTGGAACACCAGAATAGGTTTATGGCTCTCTTCGTTTTTCTGATGAGAACGAGAAAACCACAACCACCGGAAATGAGAAATAACAAGAAGGCGTTGTGTCGGCTATTCTTCTCATTTCCTTTTAGTTACTCGAAGTTGTGTTATACCTATACCGCTCATTACGCACCTCTGATTCTTGCTGATTTTGGAACTTGTGGGCATTCAGGCGGAACGAAGAGCCAGAAGTAAGTCAAAGGCTCAGAAAATTAGGACGAATGAATATATATGACGACGTGCGGAAAAATCTGCGGGCACGGACAGCTGGACCCTTCGCGCACACGTCCTTCGGGTCCACATCAGTTTCTTTAGAGTCTCTACCGATTAAACATGTACATACACAATCGGTGGAAGATGCTCCAAAAGCAGTGTTGAGGTCAAAAAGAAGAGAAGGAGATGTACAGAAATATCGCGCCTTTTGTTTAAAAGTGACGATGTGCACAAATGAGCTATGATGCTCTTTTTCTTCAGTCTGGGAATGGGGTGTGAAGAGGGTGAAGTTACTCATTACACCTCCGGGAATTCCCCGAGTTTTCGCCACCAGATTCTTGCTTCTTCTATTCTGCTCATCGTTTTTCGTTCCGGATATCAGAGGAAACAAAGCAAAGGTTTTGAAATTCCATGCATAACGAACTTGCACAAAACTAAACACGAATACAATGGAATCCATTCCATACATACATCGAAAGAAAAAGAAAAAAAACATGCAAGAGGAATTTGAAAAAGGAGAAAAATCCCATAACCATAGCGATGAGAAAAATGGGTAGGTGTGAGAAAACGAAAATGAAAGGGTTTGAAAAGGTACAAGGAGGGGAAAAATGTGAAAATAAGAAAAAAGGACAAATGATTTCTGAGGAGGGCAGATATGAAACGAGATATCTTCTAAAGTTTCGTGAGAAAAAAGTACGAAACGCCGATTGAGCAACAGAAAAAAACACAGATACACTCACAAGGATTTTAATAGGGCTTGCTTCTGCTCATTCTGTATCATAAAAAGTTTCCAAACACCCTAGGGCATCAGAAAACAATTTTCATGAAAAATTGGAAATTTTTGATTTGAAAAATAGTTCAAAGAAGCCAGTTCCAAAAGTTTATTGAAAAAATTTGAGATCTTTTTTGAAATGTGTGAATTAAGATAACTACTGTAAACACTCTGTGAGAATGCTCTTTAAACCGTGAATGTTGAGCTCAAATATCTCATTTCCGGTGGAAGATATGGAAAAATGATCTACTGACAAAATGTTCATCGTAAAATTAAGAATAATTTGGCAGTTACTACTTTTTAGTTACTACCACACGAATTGAGATAAATTGACTTAAAGTTAAAGTGATTACGGTAGCACAGTTCACAAATTTTTTTTTCAATTTGCCCGTTTTCCTAGGGCTGTTTAAATTGAAATTGTTGATTGCAAAAATAACTGAAAAAATATCATCAAAAAAAGAGTTTTCAAAAGATTCTCCCAAATTCTGGGGTACTGTAGTCTCTAGATATTTTTAGGCATCAATTTTTTAAAACTGCAGTCCATTTTTTAGATTTTGAAACACTAGAAAAACTCTTCGGGGGAAAACTAACAAAAGCTGAAGCTCCCTATTTTGGATTTTAGAAATTTAGATGCTCTAAAACAATGAATAGCTGAACAGACACTCACACAGCAGCACACTTTTCCAGTCTCCAAATTCAGTTCTACAGACTCACCTCCTATCTTTATGGAACCCGGTGACTGTCAATAGATCCTTCATGGTTCTAATATTTAGCTACTGACCGAATATGAGGAAAAAGAAATATAAAAATTGAGAGGAATATCCGTTTCCTCTTCTCGTCCCCCGCTGGCTCAGTTTCTTTCTCCACCACTGATCCCGAGGGGTCAGATTCCGAGGAAAATCAAGGAAAAAATGCAGTGAAGCATGAATCAGGGGTCGAAATCCAGAAGGTGTTCTGTATTTTTTGTTCCTGATAAAACACAATTACGAGCGATTGGGAAGTGCGATTGGGAAGCACCAATGTGTGCAATTGCTGTCGCGTCAAACGACACGCTGTTTATTACAATCAGTAGGAAGGACAAAAAAATGTTCTGTGAAACAAGTCAGGGTGTCAGTGGTTTGACATATGAAGACAGAGAGAGGGGAGAAAAAAGATGATAAATGAGGAAGATTTGCAACTTCATGATGTTGCAAAATGACTTGGGAACTTGACAATCTAAAGATTGGCTCTGTTTTGATGCATTCAATTGTCCCCAATAACTTTATGCTCTCGACTACGACAACATGCTCTAATAAACAATTATAGACTCACTTTTGGAGCAATCGGTGACTCGGCGATGGCGAAGGTGTATTCCCTTCAGTAATCCCTTCACGCATGGATAGATCGGGAGTTGGAGTGTCCATTGTCTAAAAACGCCAAATTTGCAGTAATTGCGGAAATTCAGAAGACAGAAAGAGAAAATTGTGTTGGAAAATTCATTGAATCAATTAATTATGATTAATTATTAAGAATTCAAAAAATTTAAAAAAACTTATTTCATGGATGATCAACTTCTCCGGAAATTCGGTAACTAGAAACCAAGCCAAGCAAAAATCCTGTGCTCCGAACCTTCAGCCAAAACGAAATACTATATAAAACTATAAACGCGCTTAGTGCCTTTCACAATTTCTCCACTCTCGGAGGAAAAAAAGCCAAAAAGTTTTTATTACTGCCTCTAAACGCCATGATGACGTTCGAAGAGCCGAAATTTGAAAGCTCGCTGACTTCAACGATCCTCGGCTCAATCGAGACGCCGTCCAACATATTTTTACATGTAAATCCCGCAGTAAGTCTTCCGCTTTCCTTTTTTTCGTCGTCTTCTTCTTCCACTTCTTCTTAGAGCCCAAATTATCCGGAAACAAATTGGCAGAGACCTCCCATAGACCCATCTCTTGTTCTTTTTCCAATCTGTGTGAGCTAATTGGTAGTAGAAATGGAGGAATAGGAAAGAAAACTTCCCCAGAAGAATATATAATCAAAAAACGGTATTGAACCGTCTCAAACATTAGAAGGTGTGATTTCAGGAGGAAACTAGTTCTAAACAAGAGGCTGAAACTAATATCACGTTCGAAAGTATTGTTGAAAGCACTGAAGATGACCATGTGGAAAGTGAGCATCAGCTACAACTCATTTTGGACTGTATTCTGCCACCCAGGTGGGTAAATTATTGGTGAAAATAGAAAAATAAATAGTTTGAAGAGTTTACGAACAAAATGGAAAGTTGTGGAAACAACAAGCATCGTTACATCCAGCGACGAGATTGGATATGGTACAGTTGAAAAGAGCAGTTTTGGTTTATAATTGGCCTAACTACATGTCCTCCTGTTTTTGGCACAAATTTGAAAACAAATTTTGATTTCCAAAAGTTGGATAAACTGTTGCTAAATTGTGATTAAGACCTGCCAGAACCAAAAATTTTATGTCCCATGAAAATTAATCAAACTGATTTTTCTTATGGGAAAACTGAATAACTTGAAAAACAAAGAAAAGATTTCAGATAAACCTTGAAGAAAAACTAGAAAGCGAGTTGAAGGATAGAGGCGCAAAACCGTTTGGAATTTGTCCCATTCGACGGGACCTCTACGCTCAATTCTTCGGTTAGTGTTCAAATGGTTGCCTCTTTTTTTAGAACGTTTAACATCTAATAGCACCCCTTGCATCCAAGAATAGCGTATCATTTTCTCTTTCCAGATGAGCTAATCCGTCAGGTCAGTGTATCTTGTGCAGAACGCGGACTTTTGTTGGTTCGTGTTCGTGACGAGATTCGGATGACGTTTGCAGCATATCAGAACGTATTAGAGTCGGCCATCGCTTATGGTGAATTGCATTTTTCGTCATATTAAAATGAACTTTCTTAAAATTAACAAATTTACCAGGTGTTCGAAAGGCCTTATTCATTGAAAACGAACAAACCAGAGCCACGACTGAATGGAAAGTGCAGAAGGAGAAAAACAAGGAACTTCTTCTGAAGGTGAGCCCACAATATATAGCAAGAGAGGGAGGAAATTAGAATTGCGCGCATCTCGGAAGAAATGAAAGAAATGTACATGTGTTGCAGATTGCCCAATTGGAGAAAAAATTGGCAACAGATAAAATTGTAAGCGAGGAGGAATTGGAAATTGTGGAGCAGCGAATGAAGGATACCAACGAGCGTCTTGTGGAGGCTAATCGGATTCTAAAGGTTTGGTGAGAATTCATTGTGGTTTAATTCTTTGTTTTTTTCTAGAACCAACTTCAATCTATACTCCAAATGGATGATATGTCCCATGTGAAAGTTGGAGATACAGTGGCACAATAATTTTCATACATTTATTGAGAGACTGCTTTTTTTATACAATGAATATTTGATATCATGAATAATAATAATAATACAAAAGAATTTAAGAATATGTCGACTAAAAAATATTTTCTCATTTTAAATTCATCGACTTGTGTAATAATAATTGATTTTGTCCTGAACTTCATCTGTGAATGGCATAGAACCACAGAAGAAACTGTCATCTTCGTAGGTGGGTGTTTTTGTGAACTCCTGCTCGTTCCAGAAACTATTTTTCAGCTGGATTTTCATGCTGTTGAACCAGACACGGTCCAAGTTAGGGAGAAGATATTGGTAGACAAGCTGAAAATCATTTAGCTTTGTTGAGAAATTCAGGGGTCCAGTATCCAAGGGGTGCATCTAGAAAAGGTCCTTCGGTTCCAAGGGTACATGTGATTTTGTGGTACACTTGGGAAAACAAAAAATATCAAAATATTTTCATAGGCTATCTTGCTTTTTGCTCAAATTTATATTCTTAGGCTGAATCACTCTACACTTTATGATCCCATGCACACTCTGAACCAAATTACGTTAAGAACTCTGTATACCCTTGGAACCTGGGCCCAATTCTTACCATTTCATGAATCCTGTGATCAATTGGTGCTTTGCTCGTGATGCCAAAGTGAATTGCTCTCGCCAGATACTTTCGTGTCTAAAAGCATTTTTATCTTTTTTCTGTTAGTTCTTCCTTTTTTCTAAACTCACAAATTCCGACTTGTCATAAACTTTCTGCAACAACGTGAAAGCAATGCAATTCAAGTTGTCAGATGACATATTGTAAACACTTGGCCAAATGTTCTGCAACGACAAAAATTGACTCTTGCCCCCTATTGGAACCAAAACTCACATCCTGATCACAACCGAAAGGCCTGAAAGCAAAGTACACAACGGACATCAGCTTCTCGGTAGCGTTCACCAGTGATTCCTGACTTTCTTCAGAAGCTTCGATGATTTCTCTGGTGAATATTTCTTTGGCATGATCTGGAACCGAAGCATCCAGTGTTAAAAGTTCTTCCTCATCAACATCAAGTTTCGAGTTCTCAGCAAGCTGATAAGCTTTCTGTGTCAAATAATGCGGGATTTGCACTGTCTCGATCAGTCTTTGCAACCAATACTCGTCCACGACTGGAAACCAAACATATCTTCAGTCAAACAAAAAGTAATCTTACGATTCTCTTCTCCAGAACCCTCAAACACCTGCAGTTGGCCAAGAGGTAGAACGGAAAAAACGAAGAGCAGCCAAAAAAACATAAAGAAATGAGAAGTGAGAAGACAAATGGGTGGGGATGAAGAAATGCGAAGAAGATGAGAAGTGTAAAGACACTTGTGAGTAAAACTTCAGTTTACATTATCTAGCACCCGCCTCTTTTCTTCTGACTCATCGCTCTAGGTTTGAACGCGACATGAACTTGAATATAAACGAATAGGACGGGGGATTCGATCACAAGACTCAATTCATCAACCTATCCGGCTAGAACTGAAGCACAATCATATAGAGAACAAAGTCAAAAGTCTCGAAAGTCAAAAATCACGTTATTTTTTTTGTTTAAGTTCAGGGGAAGTGGGAGAGCAAAATGATAAATTGAAGTTTGTTAAAGTATAGGAAAATAGAAAAAAAATTTAGGAGACAGTTTTTATAATATGTAAATACATGATCTCTTCTTTTGTCATTTTGAATTGGTAGCTGGATTCCCAGAGGAGATACTCGCAAGGTTAAATTTGATCTACCATGTTTTGAGATTGGCAGGAAAAAAGTCTTTGTTCCTGAAATGTTTTTTTAGGAATGAGGAACAGATTGGAAGGATGAAAACCTAGAGTATCTTTTTTTAATTAAGCACATAATGTAGAAAAAACTAATTTTTTCAATTGAGCATGTAATTACTTCGAAAGCTCACTAAACAACAGATAGGACCGTAGTTAAATTGATGGGCCCATGATCGTTATGTTGGGACTGTTACCATGATAGATGGGACCGGGAGTGCGCGCCTCTTGAGATCGATGGTCCCATCAAAGTGCCTCTTTGCGCAGGTGAATCCTGTTATTTCACCAGTTTCGAAGATGGTTTCAACCTAACTCGGAAATTTTACAAATTCTTCGGATAGAGACCTCAGCCCTGAAAACTGGAAAAATTAGAAACTTTGTAATTAAGCTAAATACTTTTCCGGAAAAAAAGACAATGATTTTATTTAGAATATGGCAAGGGAAGTGTAGCCTAAGAGAAAGGCAGTCGGAATTTGAAATGGAAGTTATGACAAATTGTTCTTTTTGGAATCAGTTTCTTATATGCGAGATTAGAACCGATGAATGGAAAACGACAAGTTGGCTAAGGATACAATATACAGCGAAGTGAGAAACTTGGAATCATAGAGTCGTTTCCATACTAATGATCGGATGCTCATTGAAGATCCAATCTTCTAATCTCTGAATGCAAAACCCGTCCTGAGCAGGTTCAGTAAACGAAGCAGCGTAGTTAAGTATATCTGATAGCTCATCATCTTTCCAAAGTGTCCAGAAGCGATATTGTCGGACTGCTCTTGCGAATTTGATGTTTCTAGTTGCGTCCCATTTCTGAAATTCCGATTTTCGAGAGACACTAAAGTATTTCTTACCTTGATATTTTCTAATTCTCGTAGATCTATAATGGAATCTGTTAAATGGAAGCGGGTCTCTCTTGGAACTTTCTTTTGAGTATCAACAAATCGCTTAAATGCAGAATTGTCACGGAGGTAATAGTCAACTACTGGTGATCCTAAAATGATAATAAATGATTTTGAATCATGAAACCTATAACTCACTCGCTCTGATATTCCTATAGTCATGATCCTCATTGATCTGAAGCCATTCGAGCACTCCTTTCACTTCTTCTCTCAATGTATCCGGATCCTTGTCGATTATTTGAGATCTCAACTTCTTCTCGAGACGATCTTTCTTCTCCTGGTCTAAAAGGAGCTTAGCTTTCATGAGTTGGAGAGCCATATCATCATCGAACACCTTCTTGACTTCCAGTAGCTGCTTCTGGGCTGCTTCCTGCTTTCTCCTCTCCGTCTCCTTCTTCTCAATCTTGCTCCTCTTCTTTTTGTCTCGGTTGATCTGGTTCACAATTCTTCGTTTCGCAGTTTTCTGTGATTTTTCAATCTTCTGAAGTTCTTCTTCTTCCTCCTTTCTTTTCTGCTCCTCAATGAGCTTCTGCTCCGCAAGCCGCTCCTCCACGATTTTCTTTTTTTCCTCCGAAGCCTTCGCTTTGGCAAGCTTCATTTCTTTTTTCAGACGGCATTTCTCCTCCTTGGCCTTCTCCTCTGCCTTACGCTGAGCACGCAGACGGTCCTTTTCTCTTTTCTTCTGATTCTTCCACGCCGCATCCTTCACTGGTTTATTAGTTTTGCTGGATCCAGATGAGGACTGATAGTTCGTGTCGGCGGCATCAGCAGGTGACGGCTGATGACCTGATGACAAGGAAGAAACAACTGGGAGATGCTTGGAAGAGGAAGAGCTAGTATAGAAAGAATGATTATCATCATCATCATCATCTTCATTATCAGGGGAAGAATTCGTTTTAGTCTCCGCAGATGAACGACACTTATCGAGGATTTCTTTCTTTTTCTTGTTTTTCTGTTTTTCAGTGACCAGAGTAGAGCAAGACGGCTTATTCTTCTCAGACAACAAAACGTCCTCTGGAAAGAAAACACTTTTATTAACACAAAAAACACAAATATAGTTAGTTGCCTTCTTGGTGATCCCCATCGGCTCTTTCTTCGTGTGCGTCTTCATCATCTTCTGGTCTTCCAATTCGGTGTGGGTGTTCAGGAGCCTGATAAGGGTTTCTTTCTGGAAGCAGTCGCCGCAGATCATTGGCCAATCTCTCGATGTCCTGACGAGGTGCTTGTATCACGACACCATGGGTATCCAGATTGAGCGGCCCTGGATCTGAAATATGCAACAAAAGCGTTAAGCGAACACAAATTAACAGAAGCTATGTACTAAAAAATATTTTAAAAATAGCCAACAAAAAGAACCGAAACTGGTATTAAATAAAAAGTGTTAAACTCACCAGGAAGGTTGCGATTCTCGGCATCTCTTTCATCCTCCGGGATCTGTCGTCTGTAAACAGATTTGTGCCCGGGGAGAAATCGTTTGGGGGTGTAGTTCTCACTGTAATCCCAATTCGTTCAAATGATAAAAAAGAGAGAAAGGGAGAATTTTGAAAGATGGATTTTAGGAGTTTGTAAAATATTCAAGCTAGGAATTCCCTCAAAACTTGAGTTCTTACAGAACCGACTGAACTACTATGATAAAATGGTCCAAAATTCAGGTATACTTTTTTTTCAAAATTTAGAAATTCGCTCACCTTCCTTCTCGACGAGCTGTCCCGATGAGCGGCATCCTATATGGTGGATACTTGATTTTCACCATGAGTTCCCATTGCGTGGGAACTATGAATCGGATCTGCTCCCCGAATCTTTTGTCGTATGGTGGGCTTTGACGAAGAGTGGTCTCAAGAGACTGGTGACGACGACGATAGGGTTCCTGACTGAAATTGAACGGATGGAAGACGTGCGCCGGAAGTTCATCTTCAGGATGTCCACCCTGTTGTAGTCCTTGTGCTCTTCGGTAATGAAGGAAGATAGCTTGTTGCTCGGCTTGCAATCTGTGCCAAGTATACTGCAGACGCCAGTAGCGCTCCTGCTCATCTCTTTCCTCCATCATTTCAGCAAATGTTTGAAGTTGGGCGTTCGGATCTTGAACGTCGGCTCCTTCTGCTAATTGAACTCCTTGGGCACTGGTTCCCTCTCCATTTCGGTTCTGATCTTGCTGATTTTGTTGTTGTCGTTGTTGTTGGAGGTGACGATACTCTGGAGGCAAGTCTGGAAGACGACGGTGTGATGGTCCTGGTTGTCTATCATCTGGCATATCAAGGATTGGAGGTTCGTGTTGGCCATTGCGGTTTGGACGGTAGTGGTCATATGTGGCCATGTTACTGGTCGATCTTCCACGAGCGGACTGTTGATCTGCAGCATAGTTGGAGAAACGGGAGGACCGAATTAGTGGCTGTGGTGGGCTGGCACTGCTTGAAGAAGAAGAGGAAGATTCATTCCCAGAAGTAGATGGATTTCCAGAAGAGGTGGATGGACTGGCTGATGTGGACGCATTTCCTTCAGATGGTTCCGGAAGGTCTGCAGCAGCATCTACGAACTCTTCATCGTCGTCTGGATTCTCTCGTTCTGCGTCCGATTCTGAGAACATCACAATTGTAGTTTCTTGTCTGGTCTGAAGGAAGTAATCCAATTGTTCTCTTTCCATCTTATTCAATTTGATAAAGACCCCAGTTTCAGTGAGATCCATCTGCAAAAAAATCAGTTTTTATTCGGTAAAGAGCAGACTAAACAGGATGAAACGCTTACCGTTTTTTCAGTGCATCTTATAAACTTTTCAAATCCGGTACGGGTGTGTGTACTGCTTCTGAATGTACAGTTAAAATTTAGTGTTTGTAATATTGCATGAATTTACCGTATGACACGTAGCTGTTCAAAGTTATCCAGGAGCTCAATCACATCTGGGACAGGGATGGAGTAGTCAAGTCTAGTTCTGATTCCTTCTTTTTCTATATCCTTCAGCTGATTGCTCATTTCTGACATCAGATTTTCATTTGTGGTGTCCAAAGGGAGCTCCACGCTTTCCGATTCATCTGTTAAATCTTCAAAGAAACCTCTCACTTGTTCGGATATTTTGTCCAATAGCTGGAGATATTTTTCTTTAATATGGTCCGGGTGATTGTACTCAGCAAGAATCGGGAAGTTGAGACCATTGAAATTGTAAGAGCTGAACCTTGTTTTCCTCTTCAGATTTGGTTCGTGCTGAGATTCCTCTGTGAAGACATTGCCCTTCTTCTCAATGATGGATTCTTGGTCATTGGTTGCATCGACTGACTGATCATTGACACTCTCCTGAAGTTCTAGAAATTCCTTTGATGAGTGTTCCTTATCATGAGTTACAGTCTCCTTTTTGTCATGTTTCTCTTTTACAAGCTTTTCTGGAGCATCAGAAGTGTTGTCAGATAGTAGCATTCCAGAGTTTGTTTCGGCAGTTGGCGGCATAAGCAAATCACTCAATGTTAACTTCTTGGTGGATTTTGTTACTTCCTGAATCTCTCGATTTGTTTGAGCTTCCACACTTGTTTTCAAAGCATCCTCAGAATCAGTTGAGTTCGGAGCCTGCTCTCCGAATCCACAACGCTCTTCAGTATATCCGTCGTTATTTACAAAATGGATGGTCCCATCAATGCCTGAGAACAGAGTTGGATTCAAAAATAGTGGTTCTTTTGGAGGCAAGGATTCAACTAGATTGGATTCTTGGGCCTCCTGAGTTGGCTGCGGCACAGGATGGGAATCTGGATGATAGCTCTGCTGGCCATTCATCTGTTGCCAAGCCTGAGGTTGGGGTGCAGCGATTTGAACCATTTGTTGAGGTTGGTGGTAGCCTTCCTGATTTTGTTTTTGGCCTTCCTGAGCGTATTGGTAGCCTGGATACTGATTTTGGCTAGTAGATTGACAGGAATTGTAATTATACGGTTCTTGCCAAGAGGAGTGGATCATATTTGGAAGGGGAATGCAGTTATAGCCGTTGATGTTGTAGTTGGACTGTTGAAGTGGAATCGGAACTTGTTGAGAAGGTGGGTGATAGAATTGGTTTGGGATTCCGTTATATGCTGGTCCTGGAAAACATTGCTACATTAAAATGCTGGTATTTTTAGAATCTCACTTATAGTCTAATTTTTTATTTAATTTTCATTGTAAATTTTTTGAAAAAGGTTCCGTTTCAATAAAAAAAGATACATTTTTATTTAGTTTACGATGATAGCCTAAATTCTCACTGTATGCTCAAGACGTAGTTTTGATTGTTGTTTAACTAACTCGTAATGCTAATTGAAGCACAATTGTTTTACCTTGAGTTGCTGGAGGTCCATAGGGATAAATAGGATTTATCTGGTTCATGTTCATGGGAACCATCGGCGTCATAGTTGTAGCTGGTGCAATCGGAGCCATGTGAGGCACAGAATGTTGCTGATATCCTTGTTGGTAATCTCGTGATGACAATGTTGGACCATTCATGAACCTCTCTCGACCATTTAAATAGACGTGATCCGAGTGATGATGATTCCGAGTATCCCGACTATATGTGCCGTTCTGACGTTCGCTTCTTTCCTGATATCTATAGTGCTCATTTTGAATATGTTGGGCGTTTCGATTGTTGTTCCTGTTCCCGTTGTAGTTGTTTCTGTATCCTGACCCGTTGCCATTTGAGTTACCAGAGTAAGTCCTGTTTCGATCATAATTTTGTTGGTTTCTTCTTTGATGTGGAGGTCCGTGTCGTGTGTTGTGTTGGGGTGGCCCTGTCTCGAGGGCCATCTCCAACAGGAAGAGCTGAAAATCAAACTTTTAACCAGTCAGATCCCCAACTGTTAACCCTAAACTGATGTAAAATTTCAAACTTTGGTTACCGTAAAACAATCAATGAAAAATAATTCTACATTTTTCCTTTAAGCCAATTTTTCTCGGCTTCTGTCTAAGATATGAACAAGTTGTCAACTGATGTATTTTTTTCATGATATTGCAAGCATTTTATCAGTTGACACATTTTTGGTATATCTCATAGAATGCAAGAAAAAATTGCTCAGAGTTATCAGTGAGAGGCCCTTTTTTGATTTAAGATTTTACAGTATCTTATTTCGTTCATTCTTAAAGCTTCGGGACATCTCAGTTTTTTCTCGAACTTCATAAATACCTTTTTTGAACATTTTTCATTTTCATCATATTTCTATATCTTGTTAGTCAGAAATTATATCTACTAGGCAGCCAACCCGGCCGGAAATAAATTTGTTCTAGCACTATAACAACCAACCCCAACTAAAAAGACTGCATATTCAGTTCTATCTCGGTTGTCAGCCGATTAGATACAATTCAAAAACTAGAGTAACAAGAAAGAAATAGAGAAGTCAAACAAAAGTCAGAAAAAGGGCAAAAAAGGTACTTTTTATGGAGTTTATCGATTTTTTTTGTTCACGGATGTGGGTGAACGAAAAGTGTTCTTCGAATTTTTTGTATTAAAACAAGGAGTTGATGTTTTACCAGAAGAAAGACACACATTTAAAAGAAACCTTCTTTAACCATCTGAAATTTAATATCGGCTTCTCTGGGTTTTATGGGTCCAGAAGATTATCCAGAATACTTTGCATTACCTTCATTTATACATTTACTACCTTACTTTTTTTTAAAATAACAGTTTGCCAATTCCTCAACCCAACTCACCGCCACAATAAATGCCAACAGAAAAGTTGGCTTAATGCCTTTTAAAGGCTTGCTATACATCAAGCTTGTCTGGAAGTCAGATCGACTAATAGAAGTTGAGAACGAGCGGAAGCGCCAACCGGAAGAGAGAAGCTCTTATGAAACAATGAGTGAATGAAAATGACTGGTGGCCGAAAAGGATGAATAACAAAAACGGAAAAGAGGCGTGGCTTTGAGACAAACGTTTCCGGAAACCGGATGGTCCAGCCACTAGGACAAGCTTGTACCGTAGGCTCAAAGATGGGCGGAGATTTCCGATGACGTGGCACTTACGGCATCGTGTGTACGAATACAAATTGAGGCTTAGATAAGTGAGTGAGATGTACAATAAATGTATGTCTGGAAGAGTGCGAAAAAAGGAAATGAGCCAGAAGATCTCACAAATAGGAGAGAATAGAGAAAAACGATGAAAACGGTTAATGCGAAAGTTTTATGTAGCAAATTTACACAGATCTCTACAAATCAATAAAATCAAACATCGAACATATTTTAGATTGATGATGAAAAATTTCAAAATAACCGTAAAGACGCTAATAGAATACCAAAGAAACCGCCAACTATTAGTCTATTTAGCTCATTTCCTATGCATGATATGAACAAGCGGTTCACTGACAAAATGTTTATTGTAATATTAATAACAATTTACCAATTTACCATTTTTTGTTATTTTTCTGCAAGAACCGAGAAACATTAGCTGGCAGTGAAAAAGGTTATGTAGGTCAAAAGGTCTATCAAAGTGCTTACAGGATATAAATCCTGATACATTTTGTCTCGGAAAAATTGAAGTATTTTAACGTAAAACCTGTATTAGAAGGGCCTCCAGACGTTCAAATTTGAGCTGACCCATCCTAATTTTTATGCATGGTATCTAAAATATCTCAGCCGATAAAGTCTCATATTATAATACGCAATTCATGAATTGGCCACTTTTCAATATTTTTTACAAAAAACGTGGCTCGAAGTTGAAATTTTAGCGGGGCCCTTCTATTACAGGTTTTATGTAGACTTGAATTTTTCTCATTCGATAAGCTCATTTTATAGGTTTCGTTTTCAAATTAAGCCTAAAAATGATATGTTTTGTGTTGATCATTTCTCAGAACTGCGTTTCTAGAAACGTAATGTCCTAGTTAATTTATTAGTTCGGAGTTTTTCCATTCCTATTCCCTTTCCCGCTTGAAAATCTTGAAAACTAAATTTTCAGAAATCTTCGATCCCATTATTTTCGTAGTTTTCTTTTTCTTTTTTGATTCTTTCAAATTTTCATTCTCCCCAAACACTCCCCAATTTTTTCACCAGACTGTCTGGCAGTACACTTTAAATGTCAATGACAAAAATTAGAACTGTACTCGTCTCGCTTATCAAAGCAGCCCCGTTTCATTTGATTCTTATGACTTTTTTGCCTTTAAATGATAATGAATTGGTTTCCTTTCTTTTCTTGAATTTTTCAATGAATTTAGTGTTTTGCCTGACGTGTTCACTATAAAAAATGTGAAATGATCTGGAAATGAGAAGAGTACACTCAATTTATAGAAAAGTGCACCAGAGTCTAAAGAGTCAAGAAAATGAAGAGGATTACTGTAAGTGTAAATGAGAAAAACCAAAAATAGATCTTGAATAGATCATAAAATGGGAGTAAAGTCTCAACCGATTTCAAAACATAATGCATGTCATAAAGCTCTCCTTTTTTATAGAGCTGCTCCCCGAAACACACACCATCGGAGGGGAAAAAGGCCCATTCATGCTGTAATTGTGTGAAAAATGGGAAGCATTTACCCGACGGACCAATTACCAAAATCTATACAGAAAGAAATTGATGCTCCGTCCAAAAATGAGCCACGAAAGTTACCAAATGGGCCGATTCAAAGATTTTTCAAGGGAGCCCTCCTGCACCATCTATCTTATTCTTTTCCTTAATCCGGCTAGGGGGTCTTCAATAAACATCTGCTTAAGTTAGTAGCCTCTAAAATTGGAAGAACGAGGTGGTGAAAGGAAGAAAAGCGTTTTTCATCTCTCGTGAGGATGCGCAAAATTAATGAGTCCATATGCAGTGTGGGAGATGGATGACTACCGTATACCTAAGAAAAAAAAATCGTATTCAATCCATGAATCTGGAAGTGTATTCTTGGGGATGTACAACGAAACGAGAAGAATACAATTTTTAGACAGCATCGAGACAAAAATTGGTGCCTTGGAGCAAACGGGAAAAAAAGAAAAGCAGAAAGAAACCTGGCAATTTTGATTTCGAAGGGAAAACTCTGCAATTATCTTGACGAACACAATTTTCGAAACATTGCAGTTAAGCTACAGTACAGTAACCCAGAGGCAGCTGCTCTGAAGAGGATTCAAAATAGGGATTCTGAAAAACTACAGAGGACGTTTTTTGTTGCTTTACAGTTGACATTAGCTTGAATGCAACAAACCTGAACTTTGAAAACTATCATTATTCCCATTTTATAAATGCGGTTATTAAGATTCAGGCAAACCCACAATTTTCTTAAATTATTCTTATATGGGGCAAAGTATAATCAGTTCTTTCTGCGGCGGCCTCTTTCGTGCGAGCCATGCTATCGAAAGCAATCAGCTTTGTGTGGACGTGGCATTCCTCTTCATCATCGATAATAATGAGAATTGAGCATCCGAAGTAGCGATGAGTGGGACTGGATTCAATGACCGCTCTGATCTTCAAGAGCTGGCGGATGACAGAAAATTTCTGGGTTTGCGGGATATCGAAGAATATCTTCATTGCATTCCAAAATTTTTCATTGGACATGGTCTTCCCTGAAATTGTTTTTGTGTTGTACAATGTTTAGTTTCAACTGGTCCCTCTGACTCTCCACAAGGCTCTAGGATCATAAATTCGCCAACAAGGTTAGCATCCTAGATTCTCCAAGGGATCTATTAGCCAGCTGTATCTTAGCAGACATTAATTCTTCGCCT